GTAAACAATCATGACGGCCAGCGAACGCCTGTTGCTCCCGGAGCTTCAGTTCCGTCTTCGTCAGCATCACTGGATCGATTATAAAGTTCCAGTGGTTGACAGCTGGACTCAAAACCCACAGTGTGTTCGAGTTCGCCGTAAAAAGGACGCGTTATTCGGCCACATCTTTGGTTCGTGTCCTTGATTCTTTAAACTGTTCTTTGACGCTGCAGCCTCGGGCTCCTCCGGCCGCCTTCGGCCGGTTCGTTCTAAACCTCTTCAAACACGGAGCGGTTTGACGAGTCTCTTCTAATGTTTTAGTACAGAAACATCAGCCTAAATGTTTATGAGTCTCAGCAGCGCGAAATTATGACGAATGTCGAGTTGTACTGACGTAAAAGTCGCATGAATTCCGATCTGTCTGTTCAGACTGAGTCGCATTGCCGCAGATCGGATACGTATCGGATTTCAGTACCACATATGAAAGCGTCTCAAATCGGAATTGAAAATGTCAGATGCAATGCGTTTTTTGCTGTTCACACTGCCACACAGATGACACATCTGTGTCACATTTGAGAAAAAAGATCGGATTTGGGCCACTTTTACCTGCCGTGTAAACGTAGCCTAAGCTACACGACACTAAGGCGGGCTGTGGCGATGCTGTGACGAGCTGTGCTACCTTATCAAAATGTTCTAACCTTACTGTAGCGAATATTTACAGGTATAGCCGTAAATAAAACCTCTGGGTGGGATATTTTGATAGGCTAAAACTCCTTATCAAAAATACTACCCGTGTTAAAACTACGAGGCTGAATTTAGCTTCTTTTTTCGCAGCTTATTGTTTGAATGTTCTCGTTCCACCTTAAATGGTGCAGCAGCTGTGAGTAGCTATCACAAACATTAGCAAACGAGACAAAATACTGACCTGTTGGTTCTGTGAAACAGCAAAAGTAAGTTAACGTTACTCAGCTGTTAAGCAGAAATAGAGGAACCTCCTCAAATCATGCCTTTCAACCCTCCATGAAGCTGAAGTCAGCTTCTTTTTCACCGGCTGCTTGTTCGAATTTTCCCGTTCCACCTTAAATAGCGCAGCAGTTCAGAACGTGACTGCTGCACCATTTAAGGTGGAATGGGAAAAGTCGAACAAAAAGCTGGCCAATGTCCCGAGAAAATGTCCTCAGAAAAATGTTACCAGCATTAAAATGATAATTAGGACATTCTGAGAGCCTAAATCAGTTTATCAGGGGTGAGCAGTAAGCCGAGTCTGTACTGGATTAGCCTGAGTGCAGGTACGTTTGTAGATCTTTTCAAATCAAGCTAAAAGGAAAGATCTATCGTGTTTCAGTGAGCATCAGATGAAGAACAGAGAACTGCAGGGAAACCTGCTGATTTTGTTCTGACTTATTTTCATCTGCCCTCAGTCTGTAAATGGAAATGTTTACTGCCAAAACCCACTAAAGGAGGCTGCCAGTCTAATGACGTGAATTCAGTGCGCAGTAGCTTTAGCTTACGTGTAGCAATATTAATATTTCAACTCTTTAACAACCTCGTAATTCGGAGGATCCAGTGGTGTTCGAGAGAAGAATGTTCACAGGACAAAACGTATCGGGTTCTGAACATTTTTATTTAACACGGGGCGATAGAGGCGATTTTTCGAAAAGTTTAAATTGTCTACTAACTGGGAGTTTTGCCTGGGACTCAGAGCAGTGAGAGAGCAGTCACTTATTTGTATTTTTTTGAACAACGTATAATGTACATACAAAAGGACTGACAATTCAATAACAACTGAGGGCACATGAGCTATGAAAAAGCTATAAACTGACATATCAGTTTATAAGTGGTAAAATATTCAAGAGTAATAATTGCTAAAGGGTTTTTGGAATGAATTAAGGAGTGTCATTCCAGAAAACTTTACAATAGATACGTTCCCAAAAGAGATGATCAGTGGTTTCATCATAACGGTGACAAAAAGAACAGTCTGACATAACAGCAGGATTAAATTTAGCTAGTTTATAGTTTACTGGATAACAATTCTGAATATTTTTAAGAAAAAAAGTTTTATTTGAAAGGAGAAATTTCTTTCTAAGCGACCAAAGTTCTTTCCAGTCTATGTAGAGCAGTCACTTATGTGAGGCAGAGGAACGCAAGAAGCTGATGTATATATACTGATAGCTCTGATTGGTACTTTGGCAGGTCTGACATCGCCTGCACCAAATTTAGTCCCACTCAGAGCCATGTAGAGAGTCACGCCAACAGAAGGTCAGAATGATTGATGGTCTTGTGATTCACATGGACTTTAGATAGTTCCAGGACATTCTTGGCGGGCAATTTGAACTTGTAAACAAAGAGCGACAGAACTGGGACTTAGTAATTTGTAGTCAATAAATGCATTGATTCACAATATTTTTATAGCATATCAATATGATTTTTTAGAGTTACTTGCCTTGACAAATTTTAGGCTAACGTTACCTTGGTTACAGAGCGTTGCTGTTGTTTATACCTTTGAATTATTGTGATGTTATAATATTATGTATATTCTTAAACCCGTATGGTAGTTAAGAGCAATCATATCCTAATGTTTATTAAAAAAATTAGAGGGAGGGGAAGTGAAAGAATGTTTCAAAATACAGATCAGATTAATTTTCTAACATTAAAATATCTTTATTTCCTGGAGGTTTCAGTAATCCTACAGTAACTGAGAGCCTAAATAATCTTAATGACCTGATGACTATTGTGAATGTGACTTTCAAATAGGACAGATCGAGAAAGAATGAAAAAAGACATTTCTGCTTGGCCTGCATGTTCAGAAATCTGCTATTTAATGGGTACATTAAAACATCACATTCAGATTGGACAGGACATATTTAAAAACACCTATTTATATTTGTTTGTACACATATAAACATATATTTTATGTATCTTGTCTTTTTACTATGCACTTTACTGCAATTACTAAATTACTTACCATTACTAAAGATTACAACAAAAAAAAATGTGACAGCATGAGCAGGCTGTATAAACCTGTGATTATGGGCTATTGAGTTTTGTATTTCCATAGCAGAAAGAGGTCTGTTTTCTGTTGGCTTAAAGGTAAATTACATCAACTTTTCAGAAGCTCTTTATAATAAAATCCATAAATTGTAATGCGGTTTTAAGTCTAGAGAAACATACAGAGTCAGAATTGTTCACAGGAACAACATGACTGAAGCATTTAATACATACATACATACATCATCTAAACCGCTTATCCTTCTGGGTCACGGTGGGGTGCTGGAGCCTATCCCAGCTGTCATTGGGTGGAAGGCAGGATACACCCTGGACAGGTCGCCAGTCCATCGCAGTGCAGACAGACAGACATACATATACAATCACACACACACCTAGGGGCAATTCAGCATTTCCAATCAGCCTGACTGTATGTTTTTGGACTGTGGGAGGAAACCCACACAGACACGGGGAGAACAGGCAAACTCCACACAGAAATGACCCCAGTCGCCCGGCCGGGAATCGAACCCAGGCCATTCTTGCTGTGAGGCGACAGCGCTACCCACTGCGCCACCGTGCCTGAAGCATTTAATGAAAGTAGCCAGCGCTACCCACAGCGCTACCCACTGCGCCACCGTGCCTGAAGCATTTAATGAAAACTATTAATTAATTACAAATACTGATGCCTGAGACATTGTTTTACAATAGTTTTGAGATTAGGTTTTTGAAATGCTTTAATGGTGTGTTGGTACGTGCAGAGTGTTGTAAGACAAAGTAGTTCCCAAAGATTTGTATTTACTATTAGTTTACTGTTATGAACATTATTTATAATAAAATCACAAAAGATGCATGTAGTTTAACTGCTCATTTTGCATAGTAAATAAAATGGCTATATTTGCATTGTGACATCTGGTTCCTGTCTCCACCATTATAGATAAATAAAGTTTCAGTAAGTTTCCCCACAATGCATCATTTTATATCAAACCACTCTAAATCACTTTGTTTACATCTAAAAAGACTTAATAATACAGGAATTCTGTGGAAGACCGTTGGCCAGCCTACTTGTTCAAAATTTTAGGAATTACCTAAAGTAGACTTAAATTTCGCATATCTGAAATTAGTGATCAAGCCAAAAGACTGACAGAAATGCACTTCTTATGGGATAACATCTTTATTGTAGACAAACAGTATATGGAAATCCATCAAAAATGTAATTTTACGTCTTTGTAGTACCTTATGTGAACAGATTCAGTTTTCTTGGTCTTCCAAGTGAGATCAAAACAACCCTGTATTTCAGACACGCTTATAATGGTGGATGAAACTGTCAAGTGCAAATCATCTCTAAGGCATGTGACACATGTGACACTGTCATTTATCTGAATCTTCCACATAAAAATTGTTGAACACTGTTTAGAAATATAACATCATTCGAAAGATCTTACATGACCTAAGTAAAATACAAGCTTATTGTTTTTAGTAGCTTTTAACTCAGAATTTGTTCTTCTTGGCTCGCAGGTGAAACACTGATCTCAAATTAGCTAAAGGCTCACATCAACCTAGAAGTACTGTAAGCACACGAAAAGCCACAATGTCAGTCTAACACAGAGGATAGTGATCACTTAAAGGCATCGTTTTAGCGTTATTATTTGAAATAAAGAGGTACATGCTGAAGCAAAGGGCATGCGCATACATATGCTCATGCTGCGCACACAAAGAAAAATTGTAATAGTGTCTCTTACAGAGCCATACTGCAGTAGCAAAACTGATTTGACATAAGCATACATTTCACATTTTAAAAATACAGATTTCACAACATGTATTTATGGTCTTGACAGCAAAATCTATATACTGTCCATAAACTCTCTAGTCTGTCAGAATCCATTTGATTCACTACAAAAGGCATATAAATCTGTCCTCTGTAAATGGTGAGGTATTTGATCTCAGACAAGTGGTCAACAGATAAAGTGTGCCGAGTTCTTGTGGTGTGGTGTAGAAAACGTGAATCCAAACAGGCAGTGATTTTTGAGATATATATATATATATTTATATATATATATATATATATCAAGCATACAGTAGCCTTCATGAACATTGACCTAACAATTCATGAATCTGTACATACTGGTGATGTAGTGCATGAGAATGAGGGAGGAGCCTGGCTCCATTCACAACACTCACCAACAGCATAAAGGAAACAGAACATCATTAAACAAGCTGATTCTTCAGCTGCATTATTGCCCTTCTCCCTGCCTCGACTGAAGGTGCTTTTCTGTCACTCATCTCCACTTTTCTCAGAGCCCGTTCCTATAGCAAGCTCGTAGCAGTGTTCAGTGCCGGACTCTGGAGAGATGGGGCTGAAGTCAAAGGCTTTGTTCCCGGAGCCCATGCGTTTGCGGTTGCGGGCGCCTGGCTGGTACAGCTGCATGGCAGGCCGGTCCTGTCCCAAGATAAGAGTGAGACACAAGAGACAAAAGCGAGACACTCATATTTTATTTCAAAGCAATAACACTGAACCCCCCCTAAAAGGCCTGTTTTAGCAGAGCAAAAGTGAACCACTGTCTGGCTCTAATCAGTGTTCTTCCCCCATATTTAACAGTTTAGAACACCACGCAACACGTTTTTGACAGCAAAAGCATTGAAAAGTTGCTGAAATTCACTTAATCCTTTTTTAAATGAAACTTAATCTTTTCCATAATAGTGACTTTTGGTCTTGATGTTTGTTAAACATCAGCTGAATTACGCTGAAGTTTCAGTGGAATTTTTAAAACCTGAACGTGCTAATGTGGGTTAAGTTAGGAGTGTAACATTTGATATTGATCATGCTGGTGTGGGTTAAGCCGAACGTGCTGGTGCGAGTTACGCTGTATGTGCTGGTGTGGGTTAAGCTGAACGTGCTGGTGCAGGTTAAGGTGAACGGGCTGGTGCCAGTTAAGCAGAACATGCTGGTGTGGGTTAAGCCAAAAGCTCTGGTGCAGGTTCAGCCAAAAGCTCTGGTGCAGTTTAAGCTGAACGTGCTGGAGAAGGTTAAGCTGAATGTGCTGGTGTGAGTTATGCTGTATATGCTGGTGTGGGTTAAGGCCATCATGCTGGTGTGTGTTAAGATGAATGTGCTGGTGCGGGTTAAGCTGAAAGCACTGGTGCAGGTTAAACCGAACATGCCAGTGTGGGTTAAGACAGAAGCTCTGGTGCAGGTTAAGCTGAAAGTTCTGGCGCAGTTTAAGATGAATGTGCTGGAAAAGGTTAAGATGAACGTGCTGGTATTGGTTAAGTTGACAGCACTGGTGCAGGTTAAGCTGAATGTGCTGGCGTGGGTTAATGTGTACGTGCTGGTGAGGTTTAAGGTGAATATGCTGGTAGTGGTTAAGCTGAACGTGCTGGCATGTGTTAAGGTGAACGTGCTTGTATGTTAAGCTGTACGCACTGATGCAGGCTAAACTGTACGTGCTTGTGTGGGTTAAGCTGAATGTGCTGGTGCGGCTTGAGGTGTGAATGTGCTGATGTGGGTTGAAATGAACGTGCTTGTGTGGATTAAGCTGAACATGCTGGTCTAATTGATTGGGAGCTTCAGTGTCCAAACAATGCAACTGAATTAAATGTCATTTTTAACAAATAGCAGTTTATATCGCCGATCTCCACATTGCTATTTCCACTGTATATTGTTTCACAATGTAGTGTTACACCCCTAGTGGTGTGACATTGTGAAAAGTATCACACCAACATGCAGTGCCTCTTTTTGCTGTCAATAACGAAATCTAGAGTTGTAAAGTGTGGGGTCTCCCAGCGTACAGCAGTGCGGTATCCCCCCCCTTTGGGTAGAAAGGCTCAAAATCTAGCTGTACCTTGGCTGGCAGAGCCCCTCCTATCTGGTCTGGCCCCTCAGACTGGGAGGTCCTTTTCTCCTGATGCACTAACACAGACTGAGAGACACGTTGTCTTCCGTCAATGATCAACCCAAGATTGCCAACTCACAGCCAAATTCAACAGCTAACTGCCTCAACAACACATTCAGCACTCTACAGCTCACAACACAAGCATGGGCTGCAATACAAGCCCCAGGAGGGAGGAGGATTTGTATTGCACACCCACAGCTATAATGACATGTGAATAACAGTGACCGCAGGGGAATAGTCTAAATGGAAACAGTACCACATAGCTGAGTGCTGAACAAACAGACTGATGAATGTTATTAATAAATGCCATGACATGTGCTTGTGTTGTCCTTAAGCAGTGACTGAACTTTCACATTAAAGTGCATGTTTCTAATCACTGAGTGGGTCTGGTACACACTGATGCTTATGAGGAGCTAGAGCCTGCAGTAAAAGAACTGTGTTTGAGACTCTGCTGGTCTATCAGCTCTTGCTTACCTTATTGCGAATGCGCTCTTTCCTGTTCCCCATGTCATCCCTGTCCTCCTTGCCCAGCTTGTCCCCTGTCTCTGGGCAGTACGAGTAACTGTGATTATGGCCATCTTTCTTGGCCCTGTCTTGACAGTAGCCTTTGCCCCATTTGGTCTCATCCTTGCGCCGCATGAACTTATCGAACTCGTAGTGGTGTCGCTGCCGTTTGCGCTCCTCTTCTCGACCCCGGTGCTCCTTGTCCCTCTGCCGGCGGCCGTGGCCTTCACGCTGCTCCTTATCACTCTCCAGCTGAACTCTACCAAAGAGCAGAAACCCACCACAGAAGCATCTACTTACACAGCAGAACATGAGGAAGGGGGTCATCACAAATAGCACCATGGCTGTAGATCATAACAGCCGGGGTGTTAATTGCTATTATATGCAGCCTCAAGTGTTCCATTGCTTTTCCAACAGAGAAAAACATGTAACACATAAATGCCCTGAACAATGTGTCAAAGATTTTTTAATATTGGCTATTTCGTCTGCCAAAAAAGTAGTTCCAGTGGCTTAAAGTGAGCACTGTTATTACACAGCGTCCAGCAGAATAGAAAAAAAATTCTGTATGTCCAAATGTTTGTAGACACCTGCTTTTCTTCATGGTGTTAATATAATGTTAATAGATTTAAAATGGGGGTTTATTCCTCTTTTGCTGCAGTAACAGACTCTACTCTTCTGTTAAGGTTTTACACTAAATGTTAAAAAAGAAGATTTGATTGCATTCAGCCTCAAGAACATTAGTGAGCTGAGTGCTGAGTGATTAGTCTGTATACTTTTGGACATATAGTGTACATGCTGTTATCACATACAGTTAACAAAATTAGTAGAATCCTTTTCAACCAATCAGATTGTGTGATTGAAACTAACTTGTATAATTTTCAGTTATCAGTGGAATTATATTGATTTTGTAGTTTTTACATTTTTTAATGAACCAACATGATGGTTTTTATCACTCTGAGGCAGATCACTTCTACACTGCTAGAATAACTTAGAATAGCATTAAAAGAGCCCTTACTTGTCCTTTGGTTCCTTTGACTTGTGTCCTGCAGGTTTCTCCCACTTGTTCCTCTCTGTCTCTCCACTGTCTCCTTTATCTTTCAGTCTATCTGAGTCCACCTCATCATCCCTGTCACATTTCTTCAAGAGCTAGAGAAACATCAGGATTGCATATAAATGCTCATGACACAACGCATTTCAGACAAACATTGAGTGACAATAATGTTTTGATGAGGACTAAAATCCCTTCCTCTTTCAAAAAAGTGATCTGAAAGAAGAAGTGGCCATACCTTGATTTTGATCTCCTTTTCAGAGAGTTTCTTCTGTTTCTCTGCTTCCTTACGCTTTCGCCTCTCCTCCTCCCTGCGTTTCCTCTTCTCCTCTTCCCTTTGCCGTTTCTTCTCCAGCTCTCTCCGGCGCCTCTCTTCCCTTTTTTCCTCCCGGATTCTCTGTGGTTTGAAAAATAATCTGGTGTAATAAAGTGTAGCAATAGAGTTTTTATGTTTACCTACCAAGATAAAGATCTGATGAGTTTCTGTGTCCCAACCTGTTTTTCCAACTTCTTGTTCTTTATGTATTCCAGAAGTGGTGTTGTCCTTTTAGCTGAAATTAAGTGAAATAGATAAAAATGTGACAAAGTTAGCAACCACAAAACAGTCTGATTGTGAAATGTATTTCAGCATGTCCTGTGCTAAACATGTGAAGCAGTGGGAAATGTGAAAACGCTATCAGCTTCACTGTGCATGGTACCAAAGCAGAAGTACATGTTTACCTATGAGCTCTCTTGTTTTAGCCTCAATCTCCCCCAGCAGTGTTTCTGGATTGGCCATTGACTTCTCCTCATCACAGGAGTAGTTCTCCAGAAATCGTTTGTATTCTGGGTCTAACAACAAAAAATATTGGAAGTAGGAAAATGTGTTACTTTGTAGACCATAAGTATTCAAATGGGAGTTTTTTTTAGCTAAGAATAAGGTGTGATTACAAAACAACCAACTAGTTATGTAAGCTGCTCGATTAACTACCAGTCATTACAAAATCCAGGCTGATTTGGATCTGAGGTCCAAACTTGAAGACCTTAGCTGTAGAGGATACACAATAGACTTTTTCAAAAATCACCAATGATTCACAAATACCTTCCTCAATGCTTCCTGCCTTGGCATCTTTCTTCTTGAGTTTCTTCTTGGAAACTTTCTGAAAAGGTGCAAATTCTACAATAGCTGGATACTCTTGGCCTAAATGAAGGACAGTTGAGGAGAAATGTTTTCTTCAGATAATCAGAGTGAAAATAAACAAGTTAAAGCATGAGGCTGTCAAAAATGGTAAAATGCTAAGAAATGTGGAAAGCATTACCTTTATTGTCGATGAAAACGTAACCATCAAAGCGATCTCTGAAGAGAACAATATCATCAGGGTTTTTAAAGTTGATGTAGGCTCTGGAGAAAAGATGTGGATACAGACTGTGGAGAAATCATGGACAGGCTTATTATAAGTTGTATTTTCATACCAGTCTGAAAAATAAAGTTTGAATAGCCCTGATAAACAGCACCTTTGATCAGCTGGAAAGAATTCAAAATAGTCAAATGAAGGCAGTGGACTGAGATGCTCCTCAAGTTGGTCTTTTGATAGACTGGGTGGCAGCCGGCGAATAACAACCTGGAATGAGAAATGAGCTGTTGGTCATTTGGCTTCGGCACTGAAAAAAATCCCCCAATGTCACGTGGATTTTAGTGTTACAAGACTACCATTCAGAATCAGATCCAGCCCCTTCATATCAGCTTCAGTCTCAACTTTAAGCCTTTAACGTATAGTATTTAATGTATAGTCTGTTGATTTTAAACGTGCTCTATAAAACTCATGTTATGTCTACACCTTTCTCAGCTGCTTTTAGCCTGCGCTAAATGGCGCTTGGGAGGCTCATGAATGCAACACACACATGAGCACATCTACAGCACCGCCTAGAACATGTTTTATGGCTGGATTGCGCAGCGTGTCAGCAAAGGGTCAAACTGACATATTCTCAAAGAACGAGTCTTAAGTCCACTTCTTATTTGCCAGCTTCTTGTTCGAATTTTTCCGTGCCACCTTAAATAGTGCAGCAGTTCCATTCTGGTGCCTCAGGCGTTACTGTAATAGCTGCTGCACCATTTAAGGTGGAACGGGGAAATTCGAAGAAGCTGGCGAATGAGAAGCCGACTTCAACCTTGTACTTAAAGATGCCTTACAAAACAAGCAAGACAGGCCTTTAAATGAGAAGGACATTTAACCCACTGAACAGCCCGGCGTCCATTCGGGTATTAGCTGACGCGGTGGTCGCTGTCCGGGGTGCTGAATCTCCTCCACCTCCCTCCACAACCACCGCCCCCACCCCACCAACTTCCCCCCTTCCCCCCTTCTTTCTCCACAGGACAGCCGGCCCGCCCCTCGTCTAACGTACCTTAGTGAAGATTTCTTTTTTCTCCTCTTTCTGTTTTTGGTTGGCCGAGGCGCTCTCCTGCTCCCTCTGGGTGTCCCTGAACTGGATCTCGACGATGCTTCTCTCCCTGCTTCCTGTCGTCTGCTCCCTTTCAGCCCTCATATCTCCATTTCTCTTCTCCGCCCGCGCTCGCGAGAACTTGGCGCCAAATCCCGCGAGAGTTGAAGTGAAAACAAAAACAGTGGCGATATCATCGTGTTTCGTGTTTCCTTAATGTCCCCGTCGCGGTTTTTATTTTTGTGTGATGAATGTAAGCTGCTGTGAACTGTATCACAAATTAAACTTGTCCGTTAATTTAATGAAAAAAAGGGTGAGCTGTCGTGAGTATACTACTTTAAGGCCTTTCAGGTGTTCTCACTGCTGACACAGGTGTTCAACTGCACACACACAGCTTATATAATCTCCCTAGAAAAGCACTGCCAGTAGAGTAGGATGCTCTGGAGCAGCCAAACATGAGCCTAAGGTTACCATGCCCACTGCCAAGTGTAAGAGGGGTAGAGAGCCCCCCAGCATTGGTGTGAGGAGCAGTGGAACTGTGTTCTCTGATGAGTGAGGCAGCTCAATCCAATACCTTTGAATGAGTTGGAGTGCCAGAACTAATCATCCAACATTAGTACCTGACCTCACTATTGTTACAGATACCAAGCAGACTGTGTGCCACTGCTGGACCACCCTGATTATTGTCCTGCATACAAGGTCTAACTAGTATTTAATCTCCTCAAACAAATTTTAAATGTACATAGACTTTTATTTTAGAAAATAAACTGGACAAATATTACAAAAAACTCAGAGAAAAAGTTATAATGACTAGGCCTAATATAAAATGATTTCATCAAAAATGTTGTGGCTGACACTTTGCTAAATTGGAATGTGAGTGAAAAATGAGCGATTAAAAGTGGCATTTTTCTAACACTCTGCTTAACCACTAATAGGCCACAGAGAAAACACTGAGCAAAAAGCCAGTGTGCTGCCAGCTTTGCCATCAGTGTCCTGCTAGCTTCTTGCTATCTGGGTCTTATGGCCAAATGCAATCAAATCCTCACAGCAATGTTCCAACATATAGTGTAAAGCTTTCCCAGAAAAGCAGAGGCTGTTACTGCAGAAAAGGGGAACAAACTCCCAAGTAATACTCCTGTTTTCAGAGGAAACGCTGGATGAGCAGGTGTCTGCAATGGGGTGATGTGATGAGAAAGGTCACTTTATTTTGTTGTGTTCAGTGTTTTAGTGATGGACTCTCGCTCTCCTCAGAGTCACTGCTGCTGCTGCTGGTGTCGGTGCTGCCACTGGCTGGTGGGGGCCTGCGGGGGCTGCAGGGTGGCTGAAGCCCAGACCGTCCACTGCACTCCCGACCAGGCACTGAAAAACAGCATGAAAGCAGAGATGATGAGAAACACAGAATCTGCTGTTGTAGTGGATTATGTGACGTAAACACAAGCACAAGCTGACATGTAATGCTTTTTTGACTGAACAGCTGGAAAATCCGGCCAAGATCTGGGGCCTGTGTGACCAAGTGGGACTTCTCAGCCAGCTAACTTTGACCTTAGTCCTCTGCCTCACAGTGGTGGCTCAGCATGTGCTAAGTTCAAGATTTATATATATGTTTCTTTTTGTCTTTTTTATACATGTACTTACACTTTTTATGCATATACACTTACCTTTCTCTTGCTTATGATTATTTGACTTCTAAATTAATGTTGTGGTACCCCGCTAGTTGCTCGTGCTGCTTCCGAGAAGCTCAGGGGGCAAAGCCATGTGAGTGGCCACACGCAGAGGCTTATGGTAGGCGTGCACTTCCTTAAAAGGGACTGTTTATTGTTGTTTATGGTTATGCCTCATGGAGGCTCATGGTAGATGCCCTCCCAAAAAGGGACTTGAATGTTGTTTAAAAGTCATTGTTTCTTAGTGTACAGATATGTGTTATTTGTGGTTTATTGTGTTGGGGGTTGGTCACCTTGAGAGTGAAGCCTGTGGCTAGTAGTGACCTCCCCCCAGGTTCGGTGCTTTGTTTGTGTCTTTCTGCCCTTGTTTAATAAAGAGCACTTCTCGTGGTGGACTCATGGCCTCCCCTTTGTCTTGCTCTACACCAAAGCTACAACGTGAACACTATAACTCCAATACCTGTGCTTGTTACTGTTGCAATAAAGATGTGCACATGTTCATAATGGTGTTGTGGAAGGATGTATTTTTCATACAGACTGTATTAGACTGTGATAGAATACTGGGCGTGGGGAAACTTTAACCACACTATGTGGAATCAAGTCCAGAGCTCTTGATTACTGAGTGCCTAGAATCCAGGAATCTTTTCTATTTGGGCTTGACTCCCAGCCCTATTTGTTAGTTTTTTTGAAACTGAAAGAGTCAGGAATCCTGTCTTACTTGAACGTGCTTCCTGAAACAGACCCGTAGCTTATGGTGGTAGCAGATCTTAGGCTATGTTCAGACAGCAAGCAAATCAGATTTGTTTCCCAAATCAGATCTTTTGAGATGACCGTCCACTCTGTTATTCGCAAGTGATCAGATTGGAGTCCAGGCATCACCAACCTATCTACATGGGTTGCTGTGGGAACAACGTCAGTAACTACATAGCTAAACCGGCGATGTGGATTTCAAATTTCAGAACTTTCAAACTCTTGAAAATTTCTGGCATAAGCATGGATCTTTGGAACTTTTCTTGAATACCAGCACTTCCGTCACTCTGGATTTGACATTGTCGTCGTTTGTCATGTGGTGATTTGATCTGATTTGAGCAGCCAGAGCACCCAGGCTGAGAGCGTCAGACAAAGCATCCAGGTATTTCAAACCACATTCATATAATCATATTTTTGATCAATCTGGATGTACCAAAAATCAGATTTGGGCTGGCAGCATGAACAAGGCCTAAGATAGCTTTAAATAATCTTAAACCATGTTCACATTACAAGTCTCATTGCTCAGATCTTTCAAACGTTTTTGTTCTCGTTCGGGTATTGGATTTAAATCTGTTATTAATGTGAAAGAACCTGCGTCCTGAAACGACCCGCATGCGCACATCCTAATCAGTGACGAAACGTGAACGAATCACGTGCGTCAGGAATGGCAAACAAACCAGCCAAACAAGCCTATAAAAAATAATTTGGTCAAAACCGCTCGCAGCTGCTCATTAGAGCAAGAGGAGGGAGAAAAATAGATGTGTTGCTTTTTCCTGTTTACTGGCTCCGCTGCCTAGTCAACGGTGAACAATGGCGCATGCGCAGTGAGAAAAATAGTCGCACAGCCACGAATCGGATGCGTATCTGATCTAGGACCACATATGAAAGTGGCTCAGATTAGAAAAGATCACATCTCTGTGTTCACACAGCTCTGAAAACACCAGATCTGTCTCACATAAGGGCACAACATTTGTGCTACTTCAGCCTGCTAATGTGAACGTATGGATGCTCATTAGCTATTTCTGGTCTAGGTGGTCAAAGTGGTTGACAAACTAGACTAGACTGATAGACTGTTGGTCAAGCTGCTTCACCAACTGCTGTTCTTTTTTCAGCAATTAAAGAAAAAAAATTCCAAAGTCTACCTTACCACTGAGGAAAGTTTGTTTTCCACTACTGGTCTCCACACACAGTCTAGGCGAGGGTCTCTCCGGAGTGGACACGGAGCTCTTCAGACTCGGTACGAAAGTGGAGCACGTGTCCAGATCTCCACACACGCGCTCATGAGTGTAGGTCAGATTTGATTTAGTCGGTGCGCAGCCCATCTCTCTCACTGCCGCTTCTCCTAGCTCCCTAACCATGCTCTGTCACACTGAGATCACATCTTTGACCCCCTCACTGACTGGTCTGTGAAGAGCCATGACGTTGTTTAATGAAGAGGGGGCGTCACTGGATAAGGACTGGGGGACTCGACCACCAGCTGTAGTAGAGGGAGGATGTAGGGAATGAATCTTACCACTGCTTTTTAAAGGAAATTGAGAGCAGCCAAGTAAGGGCACGTCTTGTGTTATTCAACGTTACTGATTTGCAAGTTGCTGCAAGTGATTAGAAAAACTGATGAAGGCATAAAAGTTTCTCTTTAGCAATAACTAACTTTTTTGTTGTCAACAATGTCGTTACCAGCAGAGACTTCATCTGTCTGACTACAACCCAGTTTTTCCATTATTTTCTTTACTATAAGACAGTATGTTTCAAGCATGAACAAGATCACTAAAGACAGTGTGCAAAAATACTGATACAGGGTTTATTGCCTGGATTCCTTTTTTTCATTTTAAAACGCCTTTGCATTTATCTCAATACATTTATTCATAATAAAAATTCACCAGGGCTGCAACACGAACATCGTTGTAGATTTTGAGGGAGGAGTGCAGCATGTGAGGTCTTCCTCGGAGCACTCGCATTTTTTTACTCAGTCCTTTATAAATGTCAGTATCTATTTCTCTCTAGCACGCACAGTTGCCACCATCACGTGCTGGTGTCCGACATGGAGGTCTCTAGCATCATGTCATTCTCATGCATGTCACATTCTAAGAGGAAGCGCTGGAAGGCGTCGGCAGGCGGCGTCTCCAGGGCCATAACGCTGCTCTCCTCCAGAGGCTGGGTCTGGCTGTCGCTGGCGTCAGCTGACGTGCCGAGTATCTTCTTTAGAGCTGTCGTGCTGGGGATCATCTTCACTTTATCCTTGATGTCTGTCCCTATGACAGAAAAACAATGTCTGAGCACACTGATTTTTTATATGGACAAAATTTTAAAATGTCTTAATATATCAATGAATCAAGTAACAATTTACTTGGACACTGCTACATAACATTGACATAACTGTGGCATAAACATGACACTGCAGATGCCATATGCTGTCATGAGCAGTTGTGACAAATTTTGTTCATTAACTGGTTACCAGTAATGGTAAAATGACACTGTTATATTATTGAACATAATCTGTCAAGACAACTCATGACAGCACATGACATCCGTAATGATATGCTTATGGCATGCTTATATCAATGTTATATAGCAGGGTTCAAATAAAGTGTTACCACAAATATTTCACCTCTGGCTTCTTCACAGGGAGTGTGTGTTTCACTCACCTATATAAGCATCAGAGTCACCAATATACATCTCAATGCAGTTGCCGAGCATAGTAACAGAAAATGTGTCATCCCTTTTTAGACCAAGTGCCTGCAAAGGAAAATTTTTTTAGCACCTTTGCTCACTGAGAATGAAAGTCTGCATCTTGTAATAATAAGAAATTGAGCATGCATTCAGACAATTGTATTGCTTACAGTGTGAAAGTAGTCGATGGCACTTTCAAAGTCTCCCATGAGGCTGTGCACATAGCCGATAGCTGAGTAGGTGGAGGCATGCTGAGGAACGAGGACCAGGGCCTGCCGATGGTACTCCAGTGCCTGCTCATACTTTCTGCAAAATAAATAAATAAATAAATTATTAACAGTACTAACATTTACGTATGTTTAACACTGTAAGACTGCTCTGCATAATCCTCATGTGATGGTCTAAGTGTACTAAAGCAGTATTGTACAAACTAAATGTAATTTCTCAGGAGCTCAGTAACACAGCTAAAGAAAACAGGTGTTGTCCAGTACCAGTGTCTACATTTTCCAGAAAGCAAGAGAATAGCTCATTCCTAAACAAACACTTAAAGAAAGTAGCAGGGTCTTGAAGTATGAATTTCCAGTCTCTTTGATATTCAGTGAGTGGGCATGCATAATTCATTGAGCAGTGGGATGACAATACTGAACAAGTACTCTGTTTATGCAGAGAGACAGGAGCAAATCTAGTGAAGCTTTGAGAATAAATGGCAAAAAAATGATTCAATGTGTCCAGGGCTCTCTGAAAGCTCTTCATTAAAAACACCACTTTGAGTAATTTTAGAAGCCTGTGCTTTTCAGGTCATTTTGTAGTTAGATCATCACCGTGCCCTGCCTGGAAATAATGTGGCCTATTGACAAGATATTGTGCAAAATAAGAGGACCACCTCTCAGAGGGCTTATTAAAACACATGAATTAGCACTAATGAAGTAATTAGGCATTACAGGGCACAGCAGACTGAATAGTAAATGTTCCAATAGATATTCAAACTCTGCTCACAAAAAAGCTTAATGTAAAAAAATAAAATAAATAAAAATAAAAAATATTTGAAGCCATACTGCTCGCTTTCAACTTACTTCAGTTTTCGACACACATGACCCAGATTGTTCAAGAGTGGCTCCCATTTGTCCACTGTTACCTGAAGCAAAAAAAGAAAAATAAATAACAATAATTCACTTCACCAGAAGATCCAATGTATACAAGCCTTGTGTTATTTCTTTTTAAACACAAGAAGAACAGAAAGTGTCTAAGAAATGTTATTCCTTTGGTCTGTAAGAAATTTCTCTCAGGCCGACTGTACAATTACCTCATTGCCAATGGCTTTGATCTTCTCCATTGCATCTAGAAACAACTTCTCTGCCGTCTTCCAGCTAGAATGATATAACCGGTTAATTATCTACGTAAAAGTAAAAAATCTGCTAATCTGTTAACTTTACAAAAGTGTTAATATGAGGACCTGTAAGGCCTACTCACTCGCCATTCTGGAAGGCCACCACAGCTACCTCGTGGATGACGAAGGGGTCTTCTGGAGCAATGCTCAGAGCTTGGCTGAAAAACCGCTCTGCCAGCTTTGGGTTGTTGGTGAGTCCATACTCCAAACCAATATACAGCATGGGTAAATGACACCTTTTCAGCAGTGGACATGATAAATCAATAAAAAGTCAACGCTTTTGTACTTTTTTTTTTTAACAGAACAGCAAGTCCCAAGCTTACACATCACCTACAGTAAACAAATGCTAACATTTATTTAAAAAAACCCTTGCATACCCTTTCATTAGCTGGGCAGCAGTGAAGTAGGCTGCCATGGCTTGATCGTGCTCACTCTCCACAGCAAACGAATGGCCGTATGCAATCCATGCTGGTCCATATGTGCGCTCCAGTGTGGTGGCTTTACTACAACCCAAACAAAACATTATACTGACTGATCAGTAGCAGCTTAGTATTACAAAGGCTAATGTGCTGCCTTGCTAGCCATACATTTGAGTATTCATGTCGATTTATGAGTCACTGAAGGGCAAACTTATTGGTCTTACCTAAGATACCGCCGTGCATGCTCATTTTTATGCCCTACCATTAGGTAGTAACATCCAACAGCAAACCATGACACCTAGGCAATTATTTAAAAAAAATAAACAAACAAAAAACAACTATTTATAAAACAGGTACAAAATACATTGGTACATATAAGAAACTTCATTTAAAGGCTGTACTCACTGGGTTATTTGGGTATAGATCCACCAACTTATGAGATAGGTAGAACAATTCTGCCAGGACACAAATACAGGACATTTACAAAAAAATTAAACACTTAAGTGGAAAAATAAAGCAAAGTAATACATTTCCTACCATTTGCTTTGCTCAGCTCCACCAGGGTTCCTATGTGCACTGGTAAACAATTAGCATGGAATGGGTCTTTCACCATTACCCTGAACAGAAAACATGTGAGAAGCACTCAGTATAGACCCACCGAGAATAACAAGACATTCACAACAAGCAATATGGTGAAACACAAAGTCAACATGGGCACAGAGGAATGTGATTCCTTTTATGTCATAACATGTTACCTCACCCAAGATGATGTTTTAACATCAGTTTGATGCACTTTGAAAAGTACTGTCACAAGGTACAGTGTGATTCTGAAGTAGTACTTGAGCAACTGTACTTTGTTACTATACTTCCACATTATTCTACTTTACTCAACCATTACTGAAATAGGATAGTTATACTCTTAATATTACTTACTTTTTATTCCTTTTCGTTTAGACTTCATTCCAAATTTCAAAACCATGATTTTATAGCAGTTTTTCTTTGTTTTTCTCACATATTTCCCACATTATTATATAAATGTGTGTGTATATATATATATATATGGATAAAGAGACATTGGAATATGGACCTCAGGGGAAAAATAAAGATATAATGTAAGGGACCTTTAAGTGCATTTGCTTTTACTGAAAAGGGTGAATTTTATGCAGAGCCATTTGCCTGGGTTATGTGCATGTGATCAGCTTTAATTAAATGTTAAATTAAATGTTAAAAACAACAACAAAAAAAAGATTGTGCCGAATCTTAATTTTATCATTTTTGATCATGAGTTTGTGTACAATTCTATGAAAAACATATACTTACATTGATGTAAGAGCGTAGCACATCTTAAAATCACAGTTGTAATAATGTCGTTCTGCAAGAGAGACGACTACATCCAAATTGTCCTGAAGACCATTGACCATATCAGGTACGACCATCTCACTCGGTTTGTTATACTGTCAATGAGGAGATCAGCATTTTAGTGAACATTCAATTCTTATTTTGGCAGTATTCAATTGATGTATAAGGGCATAATTTTAAAATGTGATTTCTGCATCTACAGATCATATGATACGGAGATATCTAAAGGAGAATGAGATGCTTTCTCACCTTCTTCAACTTGTTTTCATAAAGAAAGTGTAGTAATTCCTCTTCCTCTTCAGTACATTGCTGGCCTAAGGGAAGGGAATCTAAGAAATCTCTTTCTGCAATGACAGAAAAGGCCAAGATGAAGCTCCAGTGGAAAGTCTTAATAGCATGTTGTTAGCCTTAATAGCTTAATGGTAAACACCAAACAGTAGAAAATGCAGTCAGCTTGAATATAAACTATTTCTCTCACCCTCTTGGGCAGTCAGCATGTGATGGGATGTTAAAAGGTCAAAGGCTTCAAAGCAGTAGACGTCCAATTTCAAGGCCTCTTTGTAGCTGGACGTGGCTAGAGGTCTGTTGTCCATGGCATCATAGATTTTTCCCCGCAGGAGGCAGATAGAACTGCTGATCTGAGGGGCATGACCACAGGGAGTCAGAAACACTTAACCTGCTGTGGCCTTCAAATATCAACCATATTTCTGTGTGTGCTGCCATGAAGGCAGGTCACCTTCAGCCTTGAAATAAGGAGTACATGAGTCTGAACTTATATTAGTCATAAAATGCACAGCTAGGGCACTATCGAATTTTTATCATCACCAAGGCATGCATTTTCACAATAAACACACAACTATATATAGTTGCATGCTAAGATGTGGTCATATTACCCTTGGTCTTATTATAGATTAACAGATTACAGAAATTTCAGATTGAAATTCACCTGAGAAAATCTCATTTAAAAAGCTATTTGTCTGGACAGGAAGCAGTTATTTGCTTAGAAAAACTAATATTCAAACTAATATGAATAATATTAATACAATTGGTAGTAGTTTTTATAAATGTGCTGATTTAACCATTTAACCGCTTAGTCAATATTTAATTAAATTAAGTAAGATGGTGATAGAAGTTAATACATTCAAACATCACACACACACACACACACACACTTATATATATATATATATATATATATATATATATATATATATATATATATGTGTGTGTGTGTGTGACGTATGAATGTATTAACTTCTATCATCAGCTTACACAATTTGTAGTATTTTAAAGCAAAAACACACTTATTGCTGAGATAAATTTTAAGTAATGTGTTTGGGTGCCTAAGACTTTTGTGCAGTACTGCATAACATGCAATTGTGATCTAAGTGGCTATTAGCATTCCTTTTGTTTGCATACAGTTGTTGAATATTGTGATAAAGATGCAAGATTCTGTAATTTACAATTAAAGTAGCCTGTACAATTATAATGTTTAGGAGATTTCACTGATTTTGTCTCTCTTTGTTTTCATGCTGACTGCCTACATGAAATGGTTATTATTCAGATGAGTATTATCAACTGATTTTTTAGTTTGTCTGATCTGAAGCTGCCTCTGAGAACAGCTGAAATCTATCTGTGTGTAATTTAATATTGTTCCCCCTTTATGGTTATGAATCTGTCAGTCTGTTATTCTTTTTGGTGCAGTTATCACAGAAACTCATATTGCAAATGACAAAAACACAATCTATCAAATCAGCCTTAGTTTGAGCGATAAAATCCACTTTATACACTAGACCCAATATTTTTGCTTGAGCTGAAGAATCTGATCAGAAGTCTCAAACAGCCCAGCAATCATGAGAAAGTATTCAAATGAAGGTAATGTGACATAGTTGAACAAGAGAAGCAAGCAGATAATTATACATTTTTTCTGTGTCAATATCATAAGCAGAAAAGAAATGCTCACTGAAGCTGGGGACATTTCCCATTCTTTGGTTGTTTCTCTTGTGCCATTGTCCTCTTTTGGACCTTTGTCCAATAACTTTTTACTCGCTGGTTCTTCCGTGTCCAGAATATCAAGGGCCTGCTGGTACTCTTTGGCAGCATACTGAAAGAAAAAAAAAATAAAGAAAAAAATAAAGAAAGAAAGCACTTGCTGGTGAGAAATTGAGCAATGAAATAAAAATGTCAAAGAGAAAAACACCGAAATGCATTGTAAAAATAAGACCTACACCTATTGTGGTGTAAATAGTTGCATGACCAAGTATGCAAATAAACAAATACATTTCAATGTGCTTTGAAATGTCATATGCTTGGAAATACTCACATGGCACCTTGCAGCAAGATATTGACAGGCTCCATATAGCTTTAAAACAAAAACAAAGCACAGATCCCACAAACATGGTGTTATTTGCCAATGTCTTGCCTACAAAAATTGGATTTCTACATACTATCCAGAACAGACTGCTCCATTAGTTCCTGAATTGCATAAAGTTCACCTCTCTTACTGTTAGCCTGAATAGAAAATTCAGACACAAGGCTTTTTCCTTCTGTATTTGTATCCTTCTGATGTATGTACAAGTAAACATAGAGGGTCTTTTAGCTAGCTGGCTGTTTTTTCTTTAAGATAGGAAGGGGTTGATGGAGGAGGAGGTGAAACATGATATTATTGGTTATCATTATTTTTCTCTACCCACTGGTGCACAGTGATATAAACAAAACCCAGATGTTTTCAAACTCATTACATTTCAATGAACAATTATGAGTAAACAGGAATTTAGTCTTTTAAATCGTATGGTATGATTATTTGTACTTAAGACCAAGAACATCACACTAACAAGGTTAAAAGAGCAAATTTTGATTGCATGTTGACTTTTAAGTATGTTAGCTGTCAGTAAGAAGCACAACTGGCTTAGGAAATCCATGTGCCACTTTCCAAGATGATTGACAAAGTTAACATTATTGTAACAGTCCTTACCTTGTCAAGTTTGCGGGACCTTAGAGCATGAGAGGCTCTGTGGTACTGCGACGTAAGATAAAGGCACTGTGCTAACCAATAAATGTCTTGAGGATCCTCTGATGAAAATAAACATAAGGATCAATCATTTAGCATCAGCAACAGTATGTATTCCGTCAGTCTAGAAACAGAAGTGTTTCAAATTTCATTTCACACATTAGTCAAATGCAGCACCTGCAGTATTAGCAGCTATGATACTCACCATGAGATAAAGATGCTACCTTATCAGCCCAGAATAGAGCACTTTGATACTGTTGCTGCAAAATAATGAAAACAATGATAACTGAGATGAAGGGAAAAAACTTGGCCAACTTCCCTTCACATTTGGACAACTTAGTTTCCAGCTATCTTGCGGAACTAATGGTTAGTGTTTGAATACATTACTGTAAAACAAAATAACACATCACTGCAAATATCAATACTTCTGATAAAATATGCAATCAATTCCTAAGCTGTTAAATGTAAAATAGCAGTAAGTTCAATAAGTTTGTAGACCAGCAAAATGGTTAGCAATCTAGCTAGCTAACTGTAGCAGCATTCAGAGAGCGCTCATCCGTTCAGAGAAATCAAAACACAGACACGGGGGTCAGATGTGTTTTCTGGCTACAGCAGCTCACAGTACTGTAATAATATCTGATAGGTTTGAATCTGTTATATCCGTTAAGTACACAAGTCAGAGACTGCTGAGCTAAGCTAACGGCTAGTCTCTGTAATGCTGGCTATGTAACACCAGTTTGGCCGTGCTAGCTTTAAGGTCTCAAGTCTCTTTTTACCTGATCTATGTAGTGTCGCACACGCTTCCGAAGTCTGTCGAGATTCATGGTGATTTTCTGGGTTTCTCATACACAAACCCGAGTCATGCTAGTGAAGTCTGTGGGAGGAAACGCGCCGCTGTGAAGCGGACTTACTCTCAAACCAACACACAAACCCGCCGTTAGCATCAACTTTGTGTAACGCTACACGGTCCCCAGAAACACCGGCTCTACAGCCGAGTTCCTATCTGATTGTTTGGTGCCCTGCTGTCCTAACATTACTCCTGACAATTTCTTCTATACAGTCGATTTAAAGGAGATATATTGTACTGTTTTATTTATTTGACATTTAACATTTTCTTTGTGAACATGTTGTTTGCAGGGTGTTGATTTTGTGTGCTAAGGACTACTAAGTAGGTAAGAGGTGTGGTGAGCTCATCGGAGCACAGTGTAAAAAAAAAAAAATAATACACACTTTAGCTAGCTGTCCTAATGGGAGTATAATATTATGTTAGCGAAGAAGCTATTAGGCACGTCTATTTTCACCTTTTACATCAGCTCTCTAGCTTAAACACAGACGTTTGAGGCTCATAACAGGCACCTAAGTAACATATTCTTTACTTTGGATGTTACAGTTTGGACATGGACTCCTTCAGTAGAGAGGTAATGCCAATCTTTGAATATTACTAGAGCCTGTTAGTCAAACTATCTGCCTATTTATCTTATTTTAGTGAGAGGCCAGAATATAGTATACAGAAAGATTGTAAACAGATTGTTAAAAGATTGTTACAGTGAAGTATCGTATATATAATTTGGCAAGGAAAATGCTTTTTTGTTTACTATGTCTCCTTTAATGTGTACACTGTGGAAAGTCATTAATCCATAGCTTTTTATATCAGAAATTCAATTTGAACAGATAAAATGTAAGTAATACTAGTACAATTTCAAATTGTATTTTACTTGTTCAAACTAAATACTTGATATCAAAAACTGTCAAATATATATCAAGAGCAGAGTAGCCTAGACGTAAAGCAACACTCTAAACCAGGAAGGTTAGACTTCAGTCCTGGAGAGCCTCAGCACTGTGAAATCTGGTGTGTTAGAAATGTAAAACAGCTATTTTTTGCAGCAGTATGGCCCCCGCAAGGACCAGAGCATGTCACATTTACTCTAGTCAGACTTTTTGTCCTTTCAGTAAAGATTACGGTCATAACTCCAAATTACCACATGATGGGGCTCCTGAGCAGAAAAACCTCACGAGGTGCTCTCTGTGAAATTTGAGTAGAACAAATGTGTACAAATATACAGCTGTATTAGTATTTATTAGTAGTACTGTTGCTGACTGTAGTTTTTTGGATGTTGGGGTGTATTTGGCCTATTGTCACTGTCCAAAGAAAAAACATCTCAAAAATGCAGAAAAGGAGAAAGCAAAAACACTCTTAATTTATAATGTAAGGTAACATAAAGAGCTTTATTTTTAAGACATTTTGCACCATTTCTATTGGTCCATTTATTATGAAGTTTAAATGAAATGTAAAGGATAGCCACCATCTTTAAATGATGTAGAAGAATAAAAATGGAAATACATGTTTGTTTTATATTGGACAGCAACTTATTACTGGTTATCATGGCAGTTCAATTCGCATTTCTACTTTAACATGCAGAGTTTGCTCAGAGATCGCCCAAAATAACCAGGCCAGCATGTAAGTGTCTAGTTTGTTAGCTGACACCATGTGCACTCATTTAAACTAGTCCAAGCCTGTTTCCAAAAAAAGTTGGGATGCTGTACAAAATGTAAATAAAAACAAAATGTAAATAGAAAAATGTATTTGTATGTGTGTGTGTGTGTGTATGAGTGAGTGATGGTAGGAATGCATGTTTTATCTTATATTTTATTTTATTCACTACATGTAAACTGATACTGTGCACTGTGAGTTCCTGTAACCAAAACCAAAGTCCTTGTATGTGTAAGCATACGTGGCCAATAAAGCTTGATTCTGATTCTAAAATGCAATGATGTCCAAATCATTTAAACCCTATATTTAATTGAAAACAATACACAGACAACATTTCAAATGTTGAAACTGACAAATGTCAGTTCACCATTTTGTTTGAATCACTTGCTCTTTTAACAACACACTGTAAGCGTTTGGGAACTGAGGAGAATAACTGCTGTAGTTTTCAAAGTGAAATGTTTTTCCATTCTTGCCTGATATATAATTTCAGCTGCTCAACAGTTCAGGGTCTGCTTTGTCATATTTTCGTTTTATAATGCACCAAATATTTTCAGTGGGTGACAGGTCTGGACTTTTTACTACAGAGCTATGCTGTTGCAATATATGAAGAATATGGTTTGACATTGTCTTGCTGAAACAAGCAAGGCTTTCTCTGTAAAAGACGTTGTCTGGATGGCAACATGTATTGCTTCAAAACCTGTAAATATCACTCAGCAGTAATGCTGCCTTCACAGATGTGCAAGTCATCCATGCCATGTGCAGCAATGCACCCCCAAACCATCACATGCTGACTTTTGAACTGGGCGCTGCTAACAAGCTGGGTGGTCTTTAGCCCAGAGGATGAAGCATCCCTAATTTCCAAAAAGAATATCAAATTTTGATTCGTTGGACCACAGGACACTTTTCTACTTCGCCTTAGTCCATCTTAAATAAACTCTGCCCCAGAGAAGGTGGCAGCATTTTTGGATCCTGTTTATATATGCTTTCTTCTTTGCATGGTAGAATTTTACTTGCATTTGTGGATGCAGCACTGAACGGTGTTCATAGCATTATTAGCATTATTCTTGAATTGTTGCACTATTTGCCTGCACATTCTTTCACAGAGTGGTGAACCCCTCATCATCTTTACTTCTGAAAGACTCAGCCTCTCTGGTTGCTCTTTTTATACCCAGTCATGTTACCGACCCATTGTCAATTGACTTTATTAGTTGTGAGATTCTCCACCAGGTGTTTTTTAGCATTACACAACTTTACCAGTCTTTTGTTGCCCTGTCTCAGCTTTTTTGAAATGTGTTGCTGGCATCAAAATCCAAATGGGCATATATTTTTCAAAACATAGTAAAATTTCAGAGTTTCAATGTTTGATATGTTGTCTTTGTACTATTTCCAATTAAATATAATGTTTAAATGATTTGCATATCATTGCATATTGGTTTTATTTACATTTTAATTGTCTTGTGATGTCAAGATGTCAAATTGTTTTCTCAAGATCACAACCTATCTTAACCTTACAAGAAAATGAAGTTGTGATCCCAAAATAACAGTCCAGAATATTGTAACTACATCATGGCCTCTCCGGACTTCAGTAAGGTTCAACTACCTCTAGAGAATCTACCACCCTGGAGAGTTCAAATCTAACACACCTAGCTCCTCAGCCAATACACAACTGTCAGAGGCTCCTGAAGGCCTTCATTACCTGGATCAGTTGTAATGGATTAGGGTTGGAGCTAAACTCTGCAGGGCGGTAGATCTCCAGGACCAGAATTGGGCACCTCTGACCTATACTGTAAGCTTTTTAGATACCTGCTCATTGGATTTGATGTTGGAACATTGCTGTGAGGATTTGATTGCGTTCAGTCACAAGAGCATTAGTAAGGTCAGCTAATGATGTTGGATAATTAGCTCTGGATCACAAAGGTCTTGGAGGGAGCTCCATTACTCCAGGGAATGTGGTCCCACCCCTCTAGGAAACACTTGGCATTGGGCAAGGTGACCTCACAAGTGGCTTCTCCAGAAAAGCAGAACTGCTTAGAAAGGGTGTCTGGATACTTTTGAATACATAGTGTATTTCTGAAAATTATACTTGCATCCATATAGCAACCTAGTTAGAACCATTCATGATCTCCTGTATGCAACATAGACTTCTTTTTTTGTGCCACATACATTACGAAGTCATGTGCAGTGTGAGGCTCTGAAAAGAATGAAAAGGAAGGACATTCAGACCTACTTGGGCAATAATTTATTTTTACATAATTCTGGCAACTGATAAACAAAAAATGAGAAACACTGAATGGCATTGCTCTTAAACCAGATTCTGCAAGAGCGCAAATGTTAGTGTAATACATGACCTAAAATGAAACCATATGTGTTATTGAGGCATTAGAGAAGAGTTATTCATTTTTCCTTTACACAAATCACCTTTCCACACATTTATAAATGCCTTTTTTCCATATTTTATAAAATATTGTTTTATTTATAATATTCATCTCTGTACATACTGCTACAGTAGATACAGTATTTTACAACGGCAACAAGTTTTGTGCTGGTGGTGTGAGCTGCATGCTGCTCTGTCCAGGGGTCTCTGGTTTTGAAAGTGCATTTGATCTATACACCATGTTAAGTCGTACAGAAGGTACATATCCAGGAAACAAACAAAAAAATCTGTTGTAAAACATGTTACTTCATGTACTCTCCTAGTGTTCTGTGATGCAGAGTGTGAATGGGATAGGTGTGCAAGTGGGACACTGTCTGCCATGAGGGTGAGGTATTGGATTTGTGGAGATCCCCCAGAATCCCTCAGGGTCTCTGGACAGGATTAGTTCACCAGCAGCAGCAGCTGACATTGTGCATGTGACAGCTCTAAAAGAAATCTTGAGTCTCCCACTTTCATCTGGACTTCTTCTCCTTTGTACTGCTTTGAGGCCTGAGTCTTTTCTATCCCCTTCTCCTGTCATCAAGCTTGGAGTTTTCAAGTGTTTCTTCATTATTTTCCCTTTTTGTTTGTGTGTGTGTGTGTGTGTGCAATTTTTATACAAGTCTTTAAAAAAAGCTGAATTCAGTGAGGCAACGAAGACCCAAGCTGTCAAACAGCGGAGCCAGTCCTATACAGTTTTGCGCTTTGATCCAGTCACAATTGGCCGGGCATATTCCACAAAGTCATCTATGAGGACTGGCCATGCTCCTAAAATAAAACATTGGTCACATGATTACAATTCCACATTTTAAAGAGGATTATTCACAGCTTTCTTGAAATTAATTCCAAACTGTTGCACTACAACCCAGCAAGTGCACCACTGTAATTAACTCAATGTAGGCAGTGTAAGCATAGGGCCATATAAGGCATGGTTTTTATTAAAGAGATACATATTAAACAATCACTCTCACCTTCCTCATCATAGTTTGACATATCATCAGCAATCATGTTGCCAAAATCCAGAAGCAAGTTCCACGTATCTCTTGGAATTGATCGCTTATGGTGCTCCTTTTTACAGTACAGGAAAAAGAAAAGCGAGTTAAAGACACTTTTTGGTAGTAAATAAAGTTCAAATAAGCATCCCACCCAGCTGGAAACTTCCACAAATTAATTTTTCTTCTGCAAAAAATAGGCAGCATAATGACTCATTCCTGAAGATGCTCATTCTGCAGTCACCATAACAGGCGTTCCTTGAAATAACATATACTGACATGCTGTCAAAAAGAGATTTTCATTTCTAACAGTGTCAACTGTTTTGACTCTTTCCTTTTCTTTTTATGACGGCAGAAATAAACTTGGATCCATGTTTTAATATAATGTGATACATCGGTGTGCAAAATATTTTTATTTACTTTCTCTGAGCATTTAACATTTTCCAAAACTCTGTATACTTACCAATAAAAATCTATTCCAGAGGTCAAGAAACTTGAAGCGGCCAGTCAAAACTAAGTTCCAGTAAGCTACTGCCATCTCTAAATCTAACAAAAACAACCATGAAATTAAATTTACACATCATGGTCAAATTTGGATATTACTGGTGTGTTGTTTACTGAATATCTCATCTCCACCATTACCTAAACCCTTCTGTCCAGGATTCTTTGCAAAGTTGAATGTAAACTGATAGAAGTCCTTAAACTTTCCACTGTCTTTCAGTTCCTGTTCCAATCGAGGCAGCAGAGCCCGGAGTTTCTCTGGACTATCACACCTGCAGGCCAAAGAGAAGAGAAGTCACAAATCCAATCACAGGAATCTTCCACAGAGATAAACCTAAAGCAGAATTCCAACTATTTACCAAACATTTCTGCATAACTCCATCATTTAGAGAAGTTTGATGTAAATACTGTGTTCTAGAGAAACTTACTGAGGCAGAATTTTTCACAGTGGTGGTGATAGGAACCAGACGTCCAAAGTGCTACTACATGTGCTACAACAATAGTTACAAATATACTGTCTGATGCCTGAGACAATGTTTTACAGTAGTTTCAAAATAAGGTTTTAGCCTAAAATTTATTTTTTTAATGCATTTCAAGGCCAAAAGATACACGCAGGGTGGAATAGTACACAAAAAACATATTTTTTTGTTTTCAGATTTACCATTATTTTACTATGAGTAATATTACATATAAAAGGTCATAAGACGTGTAGATTCACTGGCCTTATGGAAAGTAAATAGATTGGCTAAATTTGCACTGTAGACATCACAAACCCTGGTTCCCATCACCTCCACTGTAAAGAAGAGCTGATAAGTTTCTATACAACACACATTTTCATATCAAACCACTCTGAATTACTTTTCTAATGACATCTGGGTGACTTCATTGTGCAGAAGTTTTGAAAAAGTCCCTTTTAAGACTCAAAGATATAAGACAATAACTGTGCAGTCTATGATGACCATGGGCTCAAAGAATCATTTGATGATGTTCAAGCGCACCCCAAGTCTGTCATGCCATCGAGGAACTCCTTCCTGCTGAACTCGCACTGCGTCGCTGCTCGGAATTTCCATGCCACTACCAGAACACTTATGCTGGCCGGGTCCAGATTGAGATCATCACAAAACTGTTGTATTCCATCAATTCCAATCTTATTCTCATCCTGAGGATCTGAGAGAGACAGAACCTTCCATTTATGCTTGTATAAACATGTATAATTCCCTCTTATTATGCAAGATCATGCATGGTCCGTCTCACCAGTCATGCTAGGGAGTAACGTTCAACAAGTGGTAAACATACAAGCACCCACTGAAGCAGCGTGTGGGAAAACTTGCCTTTGTATCTGTTGTAGAGCTGCTCCAGCTTCTTTCTGTCGACTGAGGTTTTCATGGATTCCTTGAAGTAGAGATCTGGGTTCTGGAAGTAGTTGTCGGTGGCCACTTCTAGTTTCCAGTCATTCTGAGTGAGGCAGTACACAGCTGTCTTCTCCCCCGCTTGCGTGAAGGACATGAACTGTCGTACCTTGTCCTTCTGTGAAGATTTCAGCTTATGCTGCACGGACACAGAGGAGAAGAGGCCTTCAGTCACACAGTGTGACAATCGGAGAAAGACACACAGCAGGGTGTACAAACAGAAACACACAAATACACTGAGGGGCAAAAGTACGCACATTCAGAGACGCAGGACAGAAGCAGACAGTGAGAAGACACAGAAGGGGTAAATGGGCGTTAATCAGTTAATCAGACACTAGGCAAAATCAAACACCTGGCTCACACAAACAGATAATAAGTCTCTGAAGCAGGCGGTTGAGATTTGTTAAGCTTCCAGCAGAAGACACACACCCTGAACTGCCTGAACTGCGACGGGCCACTTGCAAAACTAGCACTTGACTTGTAATATGAGATGACAGACCTCTCTCTGACGAGCTCAGGGCGTCCAGTGCACAAAAACAAACCATGTTGTGAAACGGTTATTTTGATCATGCAGAGTAAGCTTTAAGTTACAACTATTTTTACAGTCGTGGCTGTAGGAAAAGAAATGGACAACAACCATCCTGGCCATTCAGAATCGAGGCGGGCGTAAACACAGCGCAAAAGTTGCACTATGTTCAGGAACAGTTATAACGGCGTGTTACTCGGTGTCTGACAGAGCTGCTGGCAAACCCGGTCTGTTGGAAACTCATCGACTGCGCAAGTATCCAATTACGCACGACTAATATCCCACGTTTATTAAAGTCATCAGCAGCGAAAAGTGCAGGCTGGCCGTGTGTTTAGGGTGTCGACCCCTGCAGCCTGTCCGCGGCGGCGGGCGAGCCTCAACGCCGGGGTCAGTCCGCTGCTCTGCCCTGCACACCAAAAAGGGAAAGGTACGTGCGGGGCCACCGCGGCGGACTCTAATATCAACAACTGACCTTCCTGCTCTCGCAGCCTACAACATTTCTGCACTCAAACATTTGAAGGTGCGACCGAGGCTGACGAAAAGCCCGTTTGAGTGGCGCTACCGCGGCACGACTCACACACCCTCGCTTCCGCCTCATGGCAACGGTAAATATGACCGTTTGATAATTCCCCAGATCACCTACCATTTTATCACCCGCTGTCTGACCAAATTGATACCCAGTAGTCCCATATACGGCTGCGCGTGAGCGTCGAGGGAATGCGCTAGAGGAGCATGGAGCATGCGCACTGGCGCTCCGGTATGACGGGAACTGTAGTTTACAAGCGAAAGCCACCGGCTCTGCAGATGATCTGTGGAGGTAGTAACTCTTAGCGCGCGCTGTCAGTACTATGTTAGTAACCCTGCAACTTTGAAGTTTTTTTTTTTCTGTTATCACAGTTATTGTTGTTGTTGAAGCTGTTATCCAGTCATTGTCCAGATTGAAAAGAACATCTAATTCATCATAAAATTGATCGTAACAATAATTATTTAGGCACAGGGGTGTATCTTTGAAAGCCCACCAATGTCACATTATGACAATAACATACATACACACATAACAAAGACCTGATAAATAGCTTTAATAAACAGACTGTGTTTGTTTATATGCACTTTGAACAGCACTGGAAATCAAAGCAAGCAAAATGATTGCGCAACTGCTAATTCTTTCTGCACTTTTGGGTCTGAGGGAACTTTTGATTATTTTAAATATGGTGGCAAGGCTAAGGGGCCTTTATTTCATTTATTGTTGTTATGTATTTAAGGACTATTCATTCATTTGCACCTGCAGTGGACTATACTCAGTTTTTGACCACCTTGGCCAGCCCTTGTGGGCCCTAGCAGTGAGAGGCCCTGATCACTGGCCCCACTCACATAGTCAATAATCCATCCCTGTTGGCAGATGAAGAAAACCTGCAGCCTACGGCATTACACATATATTACACAGGACGTGTTTACAAAGACAACAGACAACTAACTGTATGTGCTGGCCTATGGGTACTTTTTTTTATCAATAGGCAGAATTTATTTTTAGAATAGGGAAAATCGCTGAATAAGCTCTTTTTTGGCCACTGTCTTACAATTATCCTGACCAGCATTTAACCCATAAGCTGAGGATCTGGCTCACTCTGCAGTACTACAGTATTACAGTAGTGAAGGGTGGTGCATCGTTTTCCACACTTTTTATTTCTGGGTGTTCTTACTGATAAGGTCTTGTCTGAAACCATCACAAGTTGCACAGTCAGTGCTCCATGCCCCACCCAGAAATGTACATTATGTGTTTTTACTACATACTGTGAGAGAAAACTGGGTCTTGGCTTGTCCAAGTTTTCACAACAGTGTACTTGTCTCTCTGTGTGCATATGTATCTTGAAAAGTAAACTTTGTTTATCATTCTTGTCTTGTAGCCAATGCTCATTTGGCAGTTTTATTTATTTAATTTATGATAGCCTTCTGTAAGGTCTGATGAATAAGTCAATATATAAAAACGAATAGAGTGGCATTAAAATAGTCATCATTCACCAAAAAAAAGATACCAACAAGACGACCCAAGTAGAATTGAAGCCACACTGTGGCAATTTGATGTGGCTCAGTCATGACGCAGCTCTTTGAGAGGGGTGAGTAGCTCAGAATCTTTATCTTTATTTGACAGCTGGTATGTAGCATATTACAGTGTATTAGATAAACAACCAAATAAATAAATAAACAAACAAATGTACCTGATCATTATTTAAAAGACCTATCTGGGGCCTACAACAAGGGTAAAAATGACTGGCCTGCTATATTTTTTATGTAAAATTATATCAGGTAGATATTAATTTGGCTGGACACCAGCTGCCATTTAAAGGCTGCAAAGTTTTAAAGTGAGTCACCTTTTCTACTAAACACTTATATATTATGCGAAGAATTTGTTATTGTTGTGGTCTCACTCTATTAAAACGGGGTGACCCCGCTTAAGCCATATCGCCCCCAGCTTAAGCTTTCAAACTTCTCCCGAGCTTCGTTGGTCTTCATGGCAGCCGCAAGAGGCGAATCAGGAATTAGCTGCTCGGCGTCCTTAAGAAACAAGAGGGTGGAACTACATCACCTCGACTAATGAGAGGCTACCAACGGAAAGCAACGCACAGTGTTGACCAATCATATCGTGGCAGAGGCGTGGCTTCGGTGAGAACGACTCTGCAGCGTCACAGGTCTGTTCGTCCAATCGGATCGGAGCTGCTGCGGACACCGCCAAGCTCAGTTTTCGGAGGAGCAGGAGAGAGAGAGAGGGAACAGCCCGGGCTCGGAGAGCTGACGCTCATTCAAAACGCGAATGCGGCCAACTGTAAGCGGTGTCTCCCCGGCTATGGCGTTTGCCAGTTTCACGCAGTAATTAACTGGGGGGGGGGTCGAAGCCTGTCTGTGTGTCCTGCTCGGACCGTGTCTGTTGTGTTTGCAGAGCGTTAGCGAGCTGAACGGCGGACTGACCGGTTAGTTAGCCTGTGCTCTCAGTGTGTCACTCCTTAGCGCTGACTGGTTAGCTAGCTTAGCTGGCTGATATCAGGGAGCTAACGGGGCTGCTGTCGCCGGCTCCTGAGGAAAAATAACCCGCTACGGATGTTTGCGCCGCCGGCTAGCTGAGCTCGCAGTAACACTGTGCCGAGTCGCTATTCTTGTCGCCAGCTATGCTGCGAATAAATAATAGCTATCTACCTAGTTGTAGCCACCAGAGTGTCAGTTAAGCCAGCTACAAAATACTGAGATTAAAACGGAGCTCATCCCACTTATCCGCTTATCTGAAAATGATCTCGCCTGATGGCTACACAACTAATTTTCTTCCTCATCTTCTTTCTGTTAGTCTCGCTAGCTAACCGCAGACAGTAGCAAGCTAATAACTAGCTAGATATCCGGTTCTTTCCTCCTTTCAGCTGGGCACCAGTCTGAGTCCATTTATCAGGAGTCGATCTAAACGATAACGTACAGTTAGCTATACTATCGGTCCTGGTTCATTTAGGCCTGTGACAAATGAACAGGCGAAAATACCAGTTGGCTTAGCATGTAAAAAATGGCTGACCTAGCAAAAGCACTGGCCCGAGATCATTTTTTGCTGATCTGGTTTTGTCTAATGCAGCCATCTAATAATATGAATTACTATCCCTTCAAACAAACGCAGCAGTCTATAGCTACAAAGTTCAGTTTGGTCGTCCTTCAGCCGTATCGTAGATTATTGGGCTGCTCCGAGTTCAGTAACGTTAGCTAACAGAAATCAATTTTCATATATGGCAAAAACTAGCTACCCTGGCTTTACTCAAAATGCAAATAACATTTAAATTAGAGCACGTATTCCCCACGGTCGTTGCTCTCTTATAGAAAAGGGGCTCCTCTCTGTGTGAATAAACTGGCAGTGTCGATGATAAGCAGCTGCTGTCTTGCTTATGTTCGCATCCATTTTGTTGATGCAAGTTAACGTTAGCTGGCTAGTAGTAGAAAGGTTTCAGTGACTAAAACGAACCGCTCACCGTCGTGGACGGGTTAATGATAACAGGGACATTTTAGTACAATTACAAACTTTTATATGAATGTAAATTGAGTTTTTTGTTTCCTGTTGTGAGAGGGGCTTTCAGACCTCCTCTTCCTCTATCTATCCTTAAAAGCTAGCTAGCTAGTAAGCTATGCCAACAAAACCCCAGGACCCAAGAAGGTAGGGTATACAAGACAGTATTGACTTCTAAGTTCAGTGCAAAGTTTTTATAATTCAGTTTAAATGGCCTGTGTAACACTAACCTGTTTGCGAAGCCTTGCACAGGTATATAGGCTTCGTGTTATGAACGGATCGCGTTTTGTTTTGCCCCTAAATGACGGTTTCGCTATAAAACAACGTGTTTCCAGACCAGCTAGCTAGCTAACTCTGCTAACATGCTTTACATCAGAGCTGTCTCCAGCCTGGCCCTGTTTGTTGACTTTTTTCCCTTTTCGAACTGCTTATAACGAGGATGCATAGCGCTGTTAGCTAGCACCCTGCAGCTCATCAGCATTTTCGCAATCTTTTAATACTTGGGAAACTGGCAGAAACGTAGGTCTAAGAAGGGACATACTTTCCGAGCAAAATAAGTTACCTAGACCGATCAGAGCTTGATCATATCGATTGATTTGGGTAACTGTGCTCTCGCATAGCAGTGCAAGTTAACTTAGTGGTTCGGCCATGTCCCGGTTTAGACGTGCTTGGTGCTGGTTTAGATCAGGTCGCTGGAGCGAAAATCCCTAAAATTAGACATGTTGAATCGTACAGAAAGCGCTTCTCGTCCACGTTTTGGCTGTTTTCGAGGCTTTGTGATATGGATAGTGCTCAGTCACGTAGATGCAGTAGATTTGGGCAAAATAATGAAAGCAAATTGCGGCCTGCTGTAATGTAGCCCCCCTGCTTTTGAGAACAGCACATGTCAGAGCAAACGAGCTTCTAGAGTCATGCACTTCAATCTGCAAACAGTCTTTACCTTTTAATAAGTCCTTGCTTTGCTTAGGGATTTAGGTCAACCATATTGTGTTAGTTACAGAAGAAATGTTGCTCAGATAGGGCGTTTTGGTTCAATGTGAAACAAATGTTTGCTAGTAACCTCGGTTACTGCACTGACATACTTTTGTGCCAAAATCACTTTTTTTTTCTTTTGCAGGCATACTCCTTTGTGAACATTTGGCTTTGATTCTCCAGTTAGACCAGGCCTTTGCTCCTCTTCCCCAAGGATCATGGCTAAAGATGTAAGTGTTTTATTTCTGCTTTTTGGTTGCATGTGAGAGCCTCTCCATTAGCATGAGCAATGAATTTGTCATCATTCTGTTCCTCTCCAAAGGCTGATCTGATTGAGGCCAATGGGGAGCTAAAGGTTTTCATTGACCAGAATCTCAGCCCTGGCAAAGGTGAGCAAAGCAGTAGGTGATATAACTAGATGTGCCTCTCGTTAAAATTATGTTTATGTCTAAGCAGTAATTAGATTTTATTAAATTTATTTTCTTTTGGAGTAAATTGTAGATTGTTTTCCAGAGGCCTGTCTCATGAAGCATGTTCAACTTAGACAGGGTTCCTGATTAGGTTCCAGCTTTGCAAAGTCTTAACAAATGTAATTGCAGTTAACAACCTTGTCAAATCAGGTTTAGGTGGTCAAACTAAGATTAATCTCTGTGTGCATGCAATTAAAAGTATGATGTTTATGACAAAGCCAGTTGTATGACACATGGAGAGGAGACAGGTGGCCTCGACAGTGGTACGAGAAATCATTCTACGTAAAATTAATAAGGTAAAGCCATTAGAACCATAAGAAGCAGCGTGGCGGCCACTGTGTTAAAGGAGACATAGTAAACAAAACGGCATTTTCCTTGCCATTTCACGTATTCGTTACTTGTCATCATATCTGCCATCCAAGAACTTGTAAGTCTCTGTTTTGGAGTATATCCCTTTTACAGAAAACATGATGGTACAGGCTGTTATGATTTACTGCTTGACGTCTCACCCCACTGAAAAGGCAGTCCCACTTAGCCAGCCTTCATACTTTCACCATCACAGCTACTGTGTCATACATTGTTGTCTCTAATGGACGGGATAGTGTAAAACAGCAACGCAACGTCACATATTTCTAACTTTAAATTTCTGTATTAGTGACTGAATTGGCAGACTTTTTTTCGATGTCAACAGGCTTTCTGTGGGCTAATAGGACCAAGAGTAAGTTGAGATATAGGTGGCAGGCTACAGTAATATTTAGACACAGGCTTTGAGTATAATTTCTTACTGAAGTGGTCAAAGTCCATACTGTTTAATGCTAACATTACACTTAAAATCCTCTTTATAAGGTTAGCAGAAATTGGCATTATCTTAGCAGTGGCCACTTAAGCAAATTACAAGGTTTCTGCATTAAACATTTCTGGGTAGTGACATGCTTCGCTGACATCTGTTCATGATTTATTTTGTGTTCAGACTGCAGGCAAATCGGATTTGTTTCTCAAATCCTTGATTGAATCAAATCTTTTGATACGACTGTCCGCACTGTCATTTGCGAGTGGTCAGATTGAATTTGTGTGTCCAGACATCACCAATCTGCATGGGCTGTTGTGATAATGATGTAGGTGTCATTAACTACGTAGCTACACTGGTGACGTGTATTTCAAACGCAGATGAATCTTTGGTGTGCTACTTGAGTTCCAGCACTTCCATCAGTCTGGATTTGATATTCTCGTTGTTTGTCATGTTGCAAGTGACACAAAAGACTTTTAAATTTGATTTGAGCATCCAGACAGTCCAGACTGAGATACATTTATTTACATTTACATTTTTTTTGCTGTCCAGACTATCAAGTAACAATCTGGATATGCCAAAAATCAGATTTGGGCTGGCAGTCGGAGCATAACTTTAGTGACTGCTTTCAGCATAAACAAGCTTATAAAGCTGAACATGTGGTCTCAGTACACTGTGCTCTGCTGCAGCCATTATACCACCATGGCACAATCTCCTCACTCCTTACCCCACCCACTCTACTAAGACAGCCAGTGAGAGCAGTGGTCATTATTAGCATGCAGGATCGACACCTTGATGGATACTTTGCTTCACAGAAGAAAAATGACAGTGTAAAATAAATCATACAAAGAATTAGTGTTGGGTTTTATGCTCCGCAGAGTTGCCTCACTCCACAGGGAATTATTAAAATATCAAATGTGTTTCCTTTAAGTGTTGCTCTTAGTTATAATTGTTATAGTATTTGAATTTCTTTTTCCTCTGATTTGTCTCACTGATGAGGCTGTTCATCTCAAATGTCACTGGGGTGGGTGAGTTGTTGCTGTGCAAGTCTTCATTTAGTCTCTTGATTTTTTTTTTTTTGTGAGCTATGTGCACTAATTACTTGCAGTAGTTTGTAGGGTGTGGGGGGGTGACCTGTAAAGGATCAGGTCGGTCCATCTCTGCAAGAAGGTCAGCCTTGAATGGTCCAAGAGGGGTTTCTGAACAACATAAATTCTGAACTTTAGGCTTATAGCATAGGTTGCCATGCCCGTGTAGCTTGGTAAAGGTGATCCACTGTCCTGCTTCATGAGACAGGCCCCAGGCTTTGTTAAAAGTGCTAGGTAAAATACTTACCACCTCCATGTCCTGCATTATGTGCTGCATATTGTATATTTGTGTTTTACCCTTTAGGAGTTTTGTCCTTAGTGACTGTACATCCACAGTCAGTTGGAGTGGGAAAACAACTGTTACCAAAAACTCTGGGTCCTTCCAATGTCAACATTGCACCACAGATGGTAAGTCTTTAAGCAGGGCAATGATCCCAAATCAACAAAACAGTGCATAGTATATAAGGTATAAATATGTTGTTTCCCACAAAACCACATTGCTTGTCTGCCTTTTTGAGTTGCGAGTGATATGCCTGCTACTATATGCTGTACAGGTCATTGGTACGCCCCAAAGACCGAGTGGGTCCAATGTGCTCCTTATGAACAGTCCCCACACACCCAGTTCTCAGTTCATCACTCAGAGCCAGCCCCCTGATGCCTCACCATGGTCCTCAGGGTAAGCTAAAGCCAAAGTGTTCCCACCTGAATTTCGGTTTTTGTCAGTTAAAATTTTGTTTCAACAGCATTGGGTTCAGTGAAATCCCTGTCTCTGTGTCTGGTTTAATAAAGCTAAATAAAGTGTGTAAAAATCATTTGTTATTCTAGAGTGAAGTCATGCCTTTTGTGAAGTTATGTTAATGCTCTGTCTACAGGAAGAGGAGTAAGAAAGGGGATAAGAATGGGAAAGGTCTGAGGCATTTTTCTATGAAGGTCTGTGAGAAGGTACAGAGGAAGGGTGTCACCACATACAATGAAGTAGCAGATGAGCTGGTTGCTGAATTCAGCTCTGGTGACAACCATATCTCTCCAAACGAAGCGGTAAAGACCATCATGTTGCAAGTAGTATGGCTGAAAGTTTGGCACAGTATAGTTAAAATTGCTGATGATTTTGGTGTAGATCACAGAAAATATGGCTTATTAATCTTCGATGTCCTGTCAGTTTTTAGTAGGAGACATTACCAACAGCTGAAGCAAATCTGAAATATTTTGTTGTGTAAAACAGTAAAAACAACTGAACAATAAATACATAAACCTATGTCAATACAGCTCTCTGTCACTGGCCCCATAGGTCTAGCAAAAATGTTATTTCACGGCTGAATTTCTACAAAGCTTCTTATTGAACAGCTTTTTGTTTTGAATTTTCTGTTTCACCTGAAAAGGAGCAGCATTCTGTAAAGTCATTTGAAAGTGACTGCTGGACCATTTAAGGTGAAATTCGGATAAGAAGCCAATTATCTTTCAAGTTATTTGTCTTGGCACACTTGATCAGACACTGCTGGAATTTGGAAAATTTTGCAGGCTATCAGTACCAGCCATCATTACTAGCTGGCCCTGAGACTGCTGCATCGTCTGACCAAGTCAGACGGCTTCTCAGGTGACACTCTGGTGTCCATGTAAAGGCATAGGCTAACCCTTAAAGACCGGTCATTCCTTTATGCCTGCTGCCTCATAAGCAAAGTGTAGTACTTCAGATGCAGCAGGAAGTGATCAAGGGACTGCTAGTTTTCATTTTCATTTGAAACATGACCGCTGCGTCCATGCCTCACCCAGTTGGCTAAATAGACTAACATTAGCATGCTTTGTACAGTTTGTATGTCGCATTATCTGCACTTTTTGTGGCATACCAGAATGGCAGTTATGACAAAACCCGTACCTGAGGAAGGATTTCAGCTGGTATACTGGACGAACCGGTATACCGCCCACTACTATGTCTATGATAATGTCATGTTCCGTAAAATAGCAATGTCTCAACTGCTTAACTGAAACACATCATTTAAGACTTCCTTTAAATTCATTTTAAGAGAATAAATCAGAGCAAAAGTGTAGTTAAAACAAGACATTCTAAAGGATTGTACATGGGTTCATTGACTTTATTAATGCAAACTTAAATATCCTCAAGTACCATGGTCCCATAATGTACTAGGAAAATATTGTGACAGTGACTTATCATGTCCCAGCACCAGCAATGCGACGTATTTAAAATTCAGTACTGTATCTGAGTCTGTATTGTGTGTAGGGAAAAATTGTTGTTGCATCTCTAATTGTATTCCCTTTCACCCTTTCTTACCAGCATGTGTATGATCAGAAGAACATTCGGCGGCGTGTATATGATGCCCTCAACGTGTTGATGGCCATGAACATAATCTCAAAAGAGAAGAAAGAGATCAAGTGGATTGGACTCCCCACCAACTCAGCCCAGGAATGCCAGAACTTGGAAGTGAGTTTCTCTATTTTCGTGTCTAAGCTCAGTGGATGCCAGTATATCCGTCTTGGCATTTCCTCCAATCCCAAATGCCCGCTTTGTTGTAGTTTAATTTTCCCTCTGGTCCATCATATTCTTTAACCTGGAGTTTGCACATCCTTAATGATTTTGGTCAAATTGGAGGGAAAAAGATAAGTTGGATAATGCCTTAGCAAATTCTTAGTTCATACTTTGTGTACAGTTCAGTCGTTAAAGGGTGCAATGTATAAAGTTTATGGGTATCTATTAGCAGAAATAGAATGTAATATACAAATCTGTGTTTTTATGAGTGTATAATTACCTACAACTACAAATTGTTGTGTTTTCATTAGATTAGGATGAGCCCTTCATATCTGCATAGGGAATAGGTCCTCTTCCAACAGAGACCACCATGTAGCGCCGCCATGTTTCTATAGTAGCCCAGAACGGACAAACCAAACATTTTTACATTGAAGTGGCAGCTTTAATTTGGTGGCACTGTAACGCTGGTTGGAAGATGTAGAAAGAAGAAGAATCAGTGGTTGCTGCTGGTGCTTTCTAACAATTTTGTATTTGAGAACCCAAATTTTGCCAAGTGGAGGATCACACCTGTTATTTATCACAAGAAAAAGCATGAGGATCAGTCCTCGTCATCAAAGAAGCGAAAACATGACCATCATAGGTTCTGCTGCATGCTTGGAATGGGAGGGGTGAGGGAGGGGTGGTATGTTGGTTGTAGTCTGCAACCTCACTGCTAGATGCTGCTGAACAGATACCCATCAGATAGTGCTTGATACATAGGGAGACGCCACTCTGTCATTTTGCTTTCTCATACGAAACACAATTATGAGTATGCAGCAGCTCAGATTTTTTGGAGCGTTTCTCTACTGTTAAATTGTATTCCTTAATATGTTTCTTGAAAGAACACTTGTAAACCTTTTCCATGGCATATCTTTACTATTAAAGAAAATATTAAGACATTTGAAGCTATGTTGACAGGGGCTTTAAGATATAAACATTAAACTACTTGAAGATGTTAGTGGTTTGATGTGAAATCGTTTATTCTAGAGAAACTTAGATTCTGAATTGTTCAGGGTGATGGTGGTCGGAACCTGATGTCCAACATGTTTAGTGCCTATGAAAGCTACCTCACAGTTTTGGATAATAAACAAAATGGCTAGATTTGTGTTGTAGACACTAGGGCTGCAACAAAGGACTAATTTGATAGTCGAATAAGTAATCGATTATTCGGATTATGAATCACCATTACCAAATAACTTTTTGTAGCTATTAGCTTTTAAATTTGAGTTTTATGCATTTGCTAACTAACAATGAAGACAATATAGATGAATAACACTTAAGAATTCACTGTTTTAATGAGCTTTCCTGCTAATATAAAAGATAAAAAAAAAAAAGAAACTCAAATATTTTTCTGCCAAAATTTATAACCAAGGATGAGCCTAGTAGCAGCAATAAAATATTAGACAAGTAAATCAGTTTTCCTTTAATCAAGTAAATAAAAAGAATCAGTGTGAGTGCAGTCTGTGCTGTGTGCAGACTGCTGTCTGTCTACAACTAAATTCTACAGTCACAGGTCTTCAGTGAAACAGAGGAAAGTCAGCATCTCTCTGTGCTCCTGTGAGAGCAGATATTCACTTCCAGCTGCAGAGGAGATGCGCTCTGATGGAGCGGATGGGAAAGTGGCGAACGTTTGTGGAAAAAAATCTCTTCGAACAGTTATATGAACACTTTATGTAAACACTTAATTTCAACGGTAACCCTTTGTCCAGCTCCCCTGTTAGTTCACAGTGAACTACCTCCCTAAACTGTTAGCGAGTGGAGCCAACGTTCATGGAGAACAGAAGACTCGTTGGAACTCGTTTTGTGTTTGCCATATTTGAGCATGCCGGTGGCCTCGACATTAAGACAATGATGCAGTGTTTAAAAGTGTAAAGGTTATCTGGAGTGTGAACAGGGTCACTGTTAGTAATAGTTACTTGCTTCTCTGTTCCAGCTCCACTAACGATTCAAGAGAACCTGCATTTCAAAATACAAATGTTACAGCTCATAACATGAAGTAGAATGGAATTTAACTTTAGGTAACCAGCTCGCTAGTGCAACAAACTATGTCCGTGTCCCAAACCACACACTTCTGCACTTCACACGCTACACTAATGAGTGCACTTTTAATGGTATATGTGGTATTTTTACACACTTTAGTGTGCTAGTATGCGGTTTGGGACGAAGCATATCTTACCGAGATGAATCTTCTTCATGCAGTGAGCTGATGAGTTTCGGCTTCTGATGCTGCTGATGCATCACACTGTTGTTAACTCTCCAGTGAGCGGTAATGTCAAAACGTTCCTAGTGAGCATGAGAAAGACGTGTAATGATGTCACCAACTAATCGACTACTAAATTAGTTGCCAACTAATTTGGTCATCGATTTTAGTCAACGGAGCTGAATAATCGCTGCACCCCTAGTAGACACCATCACCCTGGTACCTAAGAAATTTGAGTCAGTAAGATGCTGAGAAGTTGCCAACTGTTTCAGCAGTCTAACAGTGTGTAGTAGTGTTTAGTGTAGCAGCTAAACTAACAGCTTACTTCATGACCTTAAAGAGTAACTACTCAGTAAGACTTTTTTTTTCCATTAATAGCTGAAATGCATTGTTATTATTTATTTATTTTAACATTTTTAGCACCCCTCTGGGTCTACAAAGGCGTGGATGATGCGTCTCCCGCTCGCTGTAAATCATTTTCTGACACTACACTAACTCTTGGGCAGTATGTCTGTCTGATCAGAAACACCTTCCCTCGTCGAAGATGGGGATGGTAGTAGAGAAAATTCTCGTAAGATTTCAAAGTTGCAAAAGTGCTGTATGATTCTGTCACTCTCCTTATTTTCAGGTAGCTAATGTTAGTTACATCAGCCCAACCCATTTTTGAGCATTTTTCAAAATTGAGCCAGGGGTGCGGTTAGCTGAAAATAGTGTGGTGTAGTTACTCTTTGAGTGTACCGTACTGCACTACAAAGCGCCTACGTTTGTGGTTTTTTTTTTGTTTGTTTGTTTTTTTTTGTTTCCCCCCCCCCACTCTTTTTTCCATTTGTGGTCTGAAATGGCATGTTCTTTGTGCGTTTGGTAGCCTTTGTGTGCGTGTCACTGATTGTGAAACTAACAAATTGGCTTGGGACATACTAGCGGCAGCAGCAGAGGTGGATTTTTTTATTTTTTTTTCAGTGAGTTCCACAAATATTTAAATTTGATTTTGACGTTATGACTTGTGCAGGAATAAAGTTATAAAGGACATGATGTGACCATGGAGTGTATAAAGAATATGACAAAAAGTGGTAGGGATTTTAGCTAATAGCTAACAGGCTAATTAGGCTGCTTCAAAAATATTCAGTTGCAAGCTTTGAGCTTTACTAAAGGGGTCAAATGAAATGATACTGAATGATGATAATGTGAACAAAATGTCTGCTCAGTCATGAATGGACTGTTTGAGCTGCAGCTGCCATGGACAGCCTTGCTTAACTCTGTGCTAACGTTGCTATGTGTGATGTGTTCATGAAATGACTGCAGTATCACATTGTGAAAATGACAGTATGGCTAATCACTTAACAGAATTCTCAAAACTGCACCGTTCTGATCTCTGGAAGGCATAATTTTAACAAGCATGCTTGTGTAAGCCTGGTGTGTGAATGCAGGGTTGGGTTAAACCTGTATGCCATTGCAGACCACAGAAAGAATTCTTACTTCAAACTTTCTTGATTTGTGGTGCCAATTTTGATTCTAATGTACTCTTGTTAATTAATTCTGCAGTCATATTTCTGTATTCATCATTTCTATCATTTGTCTCTGCTGGGAAGTCACAAGTCAGAGCATTTCTCAATTATGACAGAAAAGAACAGATCGGAGGTTGGACCTGGCGTAGTTGGTCAGCAGCAAGGGAGAATATCTTAAGTGTTGTTGGCTCTTTTTCCAGGAAGTGATTATTGTACATTAACATTACTGCTGATTTAAAGTTGCTACTCAGGGCCAGAAAGATTGGAGCCTTTGCTCTAATGCAGTGGATTCATGGAATAAATAACTCAACACCTTGTATTTATTTTGTCATGCTGTGAAAGAGGCATTCAGGGCTGCAGTTGAAAAGCACCTCTGAAATGTTGCTTTTTTCTTGCAGGTGGAGAGACAACGACGCTTGGAGAGAATCAAGCAAAAACAGTCACAGCTCCAAGAGCTCATTTTACAGGTAGATGGTTGTGTAAAATAATTTATTGTTTTTAGAAAATTTAAGAAGTGTTTATAATTTACACTAATGTGAATTCTAATATTTGTGTGTAGCAAATTGCCTTCAAGAACCTTGTGCAACGTAACCGTCAGACAGAGCAGCAAACAAACAGGCCGCCACCGGACAATTCAGTCATTCACCTGCCTTTTATCATCATAAACACCAGCAAGAAAACAGTCATCGACTGCAGCATCTCCAATGACAAGTAAATTCTGACATCCTGTTACAGTATCTAGTTTTTTTTTTTCTTTGACATCATTGATAATTTTCTACAATACAAGTACTTATTACCACTGCATAGTGCTGAAAGATTATTTTTGTATATCAATCACAATTTGAAACAAAGCAATCTTTAAATCGCAAGAGCTGCGATTAAAATTGTAGCCTAAATGTCCACTATGTTGTCTTATGTTTTAACAGGGAGATTTAGCCTAATAACAGCTTGTGAACTATCTTTAAATAAGTTACACCAATCAGAAGCAGCCAGGCACCAGTATACTGTGTACACGACAACACAAACACAACTAATTGGAGGTCTGGCACGCTACATTCAGCGTTCAATGTAGAGCCAAAAAAATGTAAATGTGTGTGTCTGTGGTCAAAAAACAGGCCTAGACTTTAATTGTGATTATTTTCTATAAATTAAAATCAGTCACAATACAGTCAGAAACATCAGTTAGATGTTAACCATAGCAGCCCTGTCTCTACTGCGCTAGTTTTCAATGAAATTTAGGGGATTTATTTTATTTTTAAAAATGGATATTAGTCAGTGTCAGTTGTTAGATTTAAAAAAAAAAAATAGTATACTAAAAAAAATTTGTCTGATATCTTGTCATCTCTACATGTGTTTGTTAATTTTCATACAAATAGCAGTTTCCTTTCTGGTGCTTGTGGGTTTGGCCCTCTACGTGTTCCTTTTGTTGATGCATGTCTTACAGGATTTGTTCATGTACTATATTTACTTTTTGTCCTCTTCTGTGGTTTTATGCAGGTTTGAGTACCTCTTCAACTTTGACAGTATGTTTGAGATCCATGATGATATTGAAGTACTGAAGCGCATGGGTATGGCATGTGGGCTGGAGGTGGGGAAATGCTCTGCAGAAGACCTAAAGATCGCCAGGAGTCTGGTGCCTAAAGCACTGGAGCCTTATGTCACAGGTCAGACCAAACGTTACTGAAACAGGGGTGTCACAGTACACATGTTAATATTCATTTTTATCCAAAATAGGGGTCACGAGCTCATACATACTGTGAATCAAACAGTCCATGATATTCTTAACATTAATAACCAAAAACATTAAAAAAACTCTACTGCACAGCTCTCAGAACTAAACTAACTTTGGTTAGCCTGCCTTGGATGGTCGATTAGTCAGTCGAGTACAGTAATGATGGGCAACGAGCGGTGGGCTGAACAGTGACAGTGCTGACATTCCTTCACACTCGTTAATCAAATACCCAGATATGCTAACTCTGTGAAGGCATCAACCAAATGTAGGGCGGCACCTAACATTTTTATTTATTTATTTTTTTTTTATCAATTAATCTAACTATTCCTTTTTTCAATTAGTTAATTCTAAAGATGTTTTTTTTTTATTACTCAGTTAATATAACATTTAATTTACCCAAAATAAATATCAAAAACCATGGCTCATTAATATTTCAACATTTTATCATCTCTTAAAAAAAACAAATGTAACAAACAAAGTATGGACTGCAGAGCATTATTTCACAACTGAAAATGGCCCAGTCTTAACTGGTAATCTCAGTTTCTGTGATGGGTTGATTATTTCACGGAAGCCTTGGCCATTCACAATAGCAAGGGTTCTCGTGCCTTTGTTAATCACCTGAAGGATGCTGTCAAAGCTCAGCAGCCATCTGGGCTGTTCATAGATTTGGGTTCCTTTGTGAAAAAGTCCCCCACACTGCTTTGCCTCATGCTGAAAAAACACATAAAGCACATTTAGAATAATGACAGTAGTGGCATATTTTAAAATTAGTCTAATTTCCATAGAACTGCTGTGCCGTGGTATTAATAATAATTATATGCCATATTTGTCAGATGCCTGATTGGAAAATACTGGACTTCAGATTCAAAAGCATTGCTGTGAGGCACTGATTAAAGCAAACCCTTTCCCTGAACTGGAGAATCAGTATTATTACTTAAGTACTTGACCTAAAACTTAAAATATTTGACTTCAAATGAATTTATTTCATTATAGGAGTAGTATGCCTGTAAAGACAATGACTTGCAAATGTATTTTTGCATTAGTATGGGGCAAGGAAAATAAATGATTTACAGACTGTAACATTAGTTTAAGCTGTTTTCTCACTTATACATGGCCGTTAAACAGATATATATATATATATATATATATATATATATATATATATATATATATATATATATATATATATATATAATATAATATAATATAATATAATATAATATAAAACTGAACAGTGAATAACAATGTTGTAACATTACCATAACATCAGCACTGCAGAAAATAATTTTACCATGGGGCAATGAAGAAACATTTAGAAAATAAACTTTGTGGCTACTACTAATGTTCCGCATGTTGATAATCCTAATCTATTACGCTTGAGTGGAAACAAAAACTAAACAAGACATACAGTGCTATCTTGCTGCGCTCTGGGATACTTTTGCTTCATGTGTTCGTGCATGGCAGTTGTGCTGCTAGGATAAACCATAAAAACATTTTTAATTTCCAGAGCTTACAGAGCACCTCATCTTAGGGTCTCTGTCTAAAATACTCACACACTGTAGATGATCTTGGGTTGGGATTTTTTTCTCTGCAGCTTATTCTCCGGGGGAATCCATGCTTTGACCGGATGCAGCCATCTTACTTTATAGTGACACACTGATGCACGTCATGCAAATTGACACATCTGAAAACAATGCTGCCAATAACCAATAACTGAGCAGCAGCTCAAACTGTTGTCCAAGCAAATAAAAACGTTTAGCTTTATCAACTGAATTACTTTTGAAGCAGATTATACTGTTTACCTGTAGTTCTCATTTTTCAAGTAAAGTGGTAGCATGGTATTGTGTGCTTCTAAGTAATTTAATATTTAATTATTTATGTATTTATTTATTTATGCAGAGATGGCACAGGGCCCAATCAGTAACGTATATATGACGGGGGCATCATCTGCTAATGGGGGTCGCTATCATGTTGGCAGGTAAGTCAGAATTTTTATGCTTTATAAAGTTGATCAGCAGAATCAGCTGAGTCAGAGTGCTTTTTAAAATTTATTTATTATGTAAATTCTTGTCAAAGTGAAATTTTTATACTGAATGAAGAACTTTAGGGTACCTCATCATGTTTAGACACAGTGGCCCTCAAAGTTGTGTACGGCCAAATCTGATCATAAAATAAGCACGCAGATTTCACCATTGGCTTTGTTATGCAGTTTCCACTTTGGCGAAACTCGCGTCTGGTAGAAGTGTGTATGAATTTGAGAGTAAAAGTTTAACAATCTGAGGCTTGTAACTAACCAAAACCATTGTCAGTATGATTTGTAATACCAATAATAAGAATAAAAATAGAAAATAACAATACTAATTTTATGCTGCATGTGTTCCATGTTCAATTTAAAGACATACTACGTTGTGCTTTCGTTTTATACAACTGACACTGCCCAAAAATATAATGCAGCTAGTGCAGAACAATTTCATACTGCAGTAATTCTGTGACTACATTTATTTTAGGAAAATAATCACATTATAAATCACATAATTCCTAAAAACTATAACTATATAAAAAACTATAACTAAATAAAAAACGTGTACTTTCCAGTTGTCGTAATTTTAAAGGGGACCTATTATGCTCATTTTCAGTGTTCATAATTTTATTTTTGGGGTCTACTAGAATAGATTTACATGCTTCAGTAATCCAAAACCACATTTCTCTTATACTTTACATCTCTATGTACCTTCTGTCTGAAATCCTGCATTAGAGCTCTTGTGTCTTTAAAAGAAAAAAAAAAATCCCTGTGCTCTTTTAAAATAAACCTGTCATTTACTCCTCTATGAAGAAAAGGGTCATGTTTGCTTGTTTTTTTTTTTTTAATGCTATTGACACGCTTTTACTGGCTGTCTTAATGGAATGACTGAGTAAGAGACATGGTCATTTATGGCTATGGAGAGCTCACCAATGGTTGCAGCAAAGCACAGTGTAGAGATGCTATTTATCATTTAAACTGTGTTTGTCCCATAGGCAGTCACAAAATTATGAACATGTGCTAGCTGACCATGCCATTACACAGTAATTAATAACTAAATAAATGAATAAATTCACTTTGGCAGTGGCTGTTAGCTGTTGTCTGCAAGGCTACAGCATGACCTTATCTGTTTAGCAATTGTTGTTACTAAAGAAGACAATTGTTTTTACTGAATTGTTGAAACTGCACTTAAACTGTGTACTGCACTTTGAATTGTGCTATAGACCTCTGAAGTCGTGTCCTCATTCTGTAGTTGGGTGGTGTTGGTATTTATCAGTGTTAAAGTCTTATAGTAAATGTACTTCTGAGTATTTACCTCACTTGTAGCATGTACGCAGCAATTCATATTCTAACTCCTTAACAACCTCATATTTTAGTGGATCCAGTGACATTCGGGGGGTGGAGATGTACACAGGATAGAAAGCATCAGCTTTGGAACCTTTTTGTTTACTAAAAGATGTGATATTGGCAGTTTTCAAATATGCAATCAATTTTTTCCATAGGCAAAACCACCTCAGACCCAGAGTTCCTAATATGGGTGTGACGCCCCCTACAGAATGACGCATGTTTTGCGTTTTATCAAACTTGTTTTTGTTCTAAAGATTATTTGACGGAACGCATTAACTGATTAATCTTTAGCAGCTCCTCTAGTTTCAAACCTATAGCTGTCTGTGAATATTATTGGAGCCTTTTTGCTACCTGCTCAGCTGATCAAACTACTCAAGCGAGGACAGAATATAGTCCGCTTAGCCCACAGAAAGCCCGTTAACAGTCTGCTGAATCAGTCACTAACACTGTTGGCGTTGCCGGTAGGTGACATTCCGTCACTATCCCGTCCGTCAAACAGGTACACAGCTAGCAATATCTCATCACACGGTGCTATTTCAGGACAGATCATATACAGGATTAGACCAGATTCTTTTTTTTTTCCCCCAATCTAGCATCTTCGGCTGTTATTGGCCCGAAACCGATACACCGTCCTTAGTTGTGAAGGGTACCTTTTATTCATTAGATAATGAGTTTGTACCTAATTTAGAAGTTGCAGTTGAATCATCTTCTGCACCTATTTGCTGTTTTTGTTGACTGTGGCGAATGAACGCTTATTTGCTCAGTGGTTTTTAAATGTGAACATTTTTATCTGTTGCTTTTCCTCTAGTGACAGTGGGGCAGATGGAACAATGGCCTCCAGCTCCAATGATTCACACTACAGTGGTTCTCGGGTCGAAACCCCAGTCTCGTACATGGGTGATGATGACGATGAAGAGGAATATGATGAGAACGACGACGATGATTAGTTCTCTCACCTTCATTGCCTGCAATTCTTCCATCGGCTGTATTCAAGGGATTTATCAGTCACACAAGCTCTCTCTCCCCTTCCTCTAGCACATGTTTTAGTGTCTTATTTTATTTTTTTTATTTTTTTTTTTATTTTTTATTTTTTTTAATCTCTGATACGGGCATTGAAGAGCATGGACTTTAAAGGGGTGAGTTGTTTTTCATCCTGCTCTTTCTGCTGTATGGCTTTTCCTGTTGAATCACAACTCTGCGTTTGGTGCTAGCGCAGATCTTTTTGATCCTGCTGGGTCTAGTTTTCAACAGAAGGACTTTAAGGGGAGTCAGTTTGAAGTAGCAGCACTCTGCCGTTCAGTATCCACTTGGATTAGCACAACTCATTGGAACCTTCCCTCTAACTTTACGGAAGAAACCTTCTCTCATCCAGCCAACCACCTGCTGTTGGAGAATGTGTAGTGTGACCTCCGTGTGAAATAGTTAGGCTGTCTCCTTTTGAATGATTTATTTTTTTTTCCTTTTTCTGAAAAGTGCTGGCTCGATTCACCTTCTAAAGACTGAAGATGGCCGCCTACTTCACTCAAAGAATCCGCATAGCCAGCTGCCATTTTGCCCCGTTGGGACAAGTCTTTGGATCTATGGACACTTTTCGTATGATTGGATGAATTAATGGCTTTTTTGTAGGTTTCCTGTGTGTGTGTGTGTGTGTGTGTGTGTGTGTGTGTGTGTGTTTGGCCTCCTGTTATTCTGTGGGCAGCTGTTTTAGAGAGTTCTTTTGAACAGCCATTCTTTTTTTTGTTATTTGAGCTTTAGAGGTGAACCTCTCCTGTTGTTCCCTCTTTGTTTTACATCTGACGGGCATCAGGAAATCTGAGAAACTTTATTACCCGCTGAAATTTATAGGAAATTTGAGGTACTTTGTTTGCATAACGTATCAGAAGCCTCGGAAGATTAGTTTGTAGTATCCTCTCCAGGTCAGTAACACTACGGAGTATGTATGAATATTCGTGTATATCCCAATGTGGGATATAGGTCTCTTTGGACTCCCCTTGAAAAATCTTCAAAAAAAGAAACTGTTGTACTGACTCAACAAAGGTAACTTTTTCTGTAACCTAATATAAGTTTGGAAATTAAAATATAATGTTTTAAAAAAAGAACTCAATGTGTTTATTGGTGACATTAATGTAATAGTACTAATTACAATAAACCTTTTTATATATATTTTTCTATGTGTGTCTGGATTGTGGTACCTGTTTAAGGAGAGACGTTTCTAAAAATCCACAGTCACAAGATGCCAGACTAATTTACGTACATCATACTTTCATGGTCTAATAATCTGTCCTGTTTATGTACTCTAATGAAGACAGCACAGAAATACGAAATGCCATCAAATTCAGAGGAAAGCTTCATCAGGATGGCCTGCTTGTTAAGACTCTGTCCTGTTTAGCAAGGCTTGGAGGCCCTCATCCTGTTGTGCTATGAACTCGCAGCCATTTCCCCTCAAGGTGCCTTGCTTTCATTGCTCTATTGTATGTTAAAGATGCTTGCTGCAAGCTTTACCCTGATTGTAATTAAAGCAGACCGTTTTTTTCAGAATTTTCCGGCCATTCTTGCAGCCTGAACCTAGCAGATATGGCCTGCAGGTGGCGGTATGAGTCAGAGAGTTCTAATAGGCCTTGGTGTCAGTCATAGATGCAGAGGTGTTACACTGTTGGTAGTTTTTAATGTTGTCCAGCATAGCAGATTAACAGTGGATTAAAAAAAACAAAATAACACAAGAGGCAAAAACATATAAATGAATAAAATGTTTTTCAACAAACGTTACTATTCCACGACGTTGCATAATATGTAGCGTAAACATTTATGACCATGCCAGACATTAAAGGGGAATTACACCAATCTTTTGAAAAATCTGTGGGAAAACCCTTTAAGCATCTTTGCGTTGGTAGTTACATAATTCAGAGATGTATTTTGCCTTGAAGGACATTTCCTAACAGTGAGAAAATCCCTCCATCCTTTTCTATTATAAAGATATGAGGGCTGTCAACCAACATTAACACTGTTTTTTATTTATTTTTTCAATGTCATTAATGTATGTTCCTACTTTGCTCTTTGAACTACCCATGGCAGTGCACGGTGAAGCCCATGTGCTTACATTCTCTTGCTATGATTGAGTATGTGAATGCAACTTGCATTTTCAAGTGAGTTAAATCAGCGTTAGATAGCGTTAGGTATCAAAATTGAAAACTTTCATCCCATAAAAATGAAGATTTTTACATTTACAGGATGTTATTGAATTGTTGAAATTAATAAATATATTCTGATGAACTGTATGTTTTTAACTATATAAAATAATGTTTTCATGTAATTATTTTAATAGTTTGACAGCCCTAATATATACTTCCAGAGGGTTTTTCCTTCAGTCTATAAATGGTTTTCCGTTTTTATTTCTTTGCTTCTGGTATCCTCTCTCTCACTCCGGCTGTGCCGTGGCCTGGAAGATTTTCACCTCGTCCTTTGTGTTCTCTGCCAGCAGCGTGATGTTGAAGGCTTTCTCGAAATTTTCGATGAATAGCAGGTCTGTCTGGAAACGGATCTATCAGAAATCAGACAAGAGCAACTAATGGGAGGCTGAACACTGCAAAGCATACACCCAGTTAGAGATGGCTCCGTAACTCGTTTCTACCTTAATCTCCTTTTTGTAAAATTGCACAAATGGTGCATACGCCAGCTGGACAAAATGTCACTAGCACCTTATAATGATTAAAGGAATAGCTCACTCAAAATGGCAATTTTGCTAATAAGTAACACAATGCAGAACGGTCCAGTTGGCATTATTTAAATTAGTTCATGCCAGCTAATCCGTATAGCCTAACCTTCATTTGTTCAGTGGTGTTAGTGTTTTGAGCTGGTCCTCTAATGATATAATTTGGGTAGGGGAGCTGGTACTAGGTCAGGTATTAACTGACCTTGTTTGCCCAGAGCAGGATTGTGCCGGGCCTGCAGAAGTGCTTCATGGTGATGAGAAGCTCATCCAGACAGTTGTGATGATAAACGACATCTGCGCACAGGATGTAGTCGTAGTTGTAGATGGAGCTGGGAAATTTTCGGCCCAGTTCTTTCCCCCAGGTCAGCTGGGCCACCTGCGGTGTGTACCTGCAGCGGCCCCGTGTGTTGCGTGAGAGGTTGAAGTTCAGGTTGTCCAAGATCTCTGGCAGATCTGTGGCTGTCACCCATGCACCTAGAAGTGACACAGCTTTGAGACGCTCACACAAACTGTTTCTCAACTTGTTTGCTCCTTACAGCTTAAAATCTTAATTCCTCTCAGCATTTTTCCTCTCAGGCTTTTGAGGATATCTTCCTAATACTGCTACATTATTTTTGATTCAAAAGTATTGAAGGAATACTCCAGTGTTATTAATCTAATCTCTATCTGCCACATCTGGTTAGTTACCACTGACAGTCCCTCTGAACTTAGATCAGAAAACCTGTTGACTCAAAACATGTATTGTAGAAGCCAGGGGGCAGATGCTCTTCGGGTCAGGATGTTTCTGCAGCTACAGGCACGTGTTTAGCTTATTGCATAGAAAATAGGGGAACACTTTGCTGTAGGGCATAAGGTTACATGACACCTACAAAAGCTCATCATGACGACGGACATAAACCTACATAAACATTTATAAAGGCCTAGTCCAACATGTGTCATCTGTTATAAAGGCTTTTTTGGTCAACTTTGATGTTGAAGTTGACATAACTCCTATGTCAGGCAACCATTTTTTTGGAGATTGGGTTGTCATGACACATTTTGGGTGAAATGACAGCACATTATATAAGTGGCTTTGTAACTTAGTGTCTGTCATAGTGACATTATGCTGATGTCACAGCTTAAATCTCATAAAATAGTAACATGAAGCTCACTTTATCGAAGGGCCACAGAAAATGCTGCTTTGTTTGTCACCTGACCTACATGTTTACAACAAATGACGGCTATTGGAGTAAGTCTTCATAAATGTTTATGTAGGGTTATGTCAGTTGTCATGACAGGCCTATGTAGGTGTCCTGTAGCCTTGTGAACACAACCCTTCAGTAGTAATTATTAATAATTATTAGTGTCATAATACATTTTCATAAAAAAATGTTGCTAAATGTAAGGAGCTAATGAAGTTTATGAAGCACATTTTTGGTCAAAATGCATTTTAATAAGTTTTATTCATTTCCCACACCTGTGATTTAAATTTTTAAGTGCAAAGTCATTCCTGAATTACAAAATTACTTTTCTTTTAATTGGAAGTGCATTGTGTAGATGTTAAAACATTATATATATATATATATATATATATATATATATATATATATATATATATATATATATATATATATAAACAAACAATGCTGTTCATCAGTCATTTGTCATTTTTCTCTGTAAATGTGCAGAAACACCCATGAAAGTTTTCAGTACAGATAAATAATAGATATTAAATTGGAAGTTATCCTTAAAGCTCACTTACCCATTAAACTGGCCACGATGGACACGAGTCCTGTCCCTGCTCCCAGCTCCAGCACTGCCTTATCTAGCAGATTGAACTGCTCCTGATTTTTTTCCAGGTAGCTGCAGAGAGCCACTGCCTGAACACATTTCAATTGATGCTCATCACCTTAATAAGAACCAAACTAGTCTCAGGCATTTCAGTCATCTGTATGTGGCACTTCTCACCCCGGGCCAGATGAGAGCACCATATGTGTCCAGTGATTCACGGATGCTGATCTCATGGCCTGCAAAGGAGAAGCTTTCCATTCCTAATGAGTAGAAGACGCTTGGCTCCCAGGCGTTTCTCCTCTCCAGCGCCTCTCCAGCCATTACTTCACTGTCCAGTTCCTCTGTGGCAAAATGGAACATGGTACAACTACAACATTTCAGCAAGTGAGCTTCATTGTACCCATGCAAATAAATGTCACATCTCCATATGCTGTACATTACAGCTAAACAAATGGCTGGTCGTGTAGCTTTCTACTTGCCCTCGTCTATGACATTGGGCTGAGGTTTGATGTGATCTGGATGCTTAATGATTCTCTTCTTCGGTTCATTTGTAAGGCTTCGTTTTTCACTTGTTTCCATTGTAGGGCCAGTTCTGATACCACTTTCTTGACCTGTGGTAACCAACTTGCAATACAATACAAATATTACAATATAAACTCTCCATATTATCACTCCATTCCATTACTGCAGTTTGGTGGCTGCATATGAATCTAATGCATAAAATAACATAAACTGAGCTCACTCACTTAAGCTTCCTGAGTGCTTCTTTTGCTCTCTTGCGCAAAAACACGCTCCCACCGACCTGTTTAAGGGACAGTCCTTCTCAAATGTTGCCATCATCTAGGCATCCCTGAGCTTATAAAGCAGCACTGTCCCCTCTTGGTCCACCCACAGAATCACTGAGCTATATTTAAAAGGGTTTGTAAATGTAAGCGTGAGAAGAGGGGAGAGTAGAGCAGCTTAAAGCTAAAGCGCTTTGGATCAAGTCCTCTCCCATGGGTTGACTGATCCTTCTCACCAGAGCCATGTCCCTAGCCTGTTTGTAAAAGAGGGTGGGATGGAGCAGTAATGATCTGCTCGTATTCACACCGGCCTTATCTGCCAGTGATTGAGGATTACTTCACCGTGCATGCCTCCACGCATGCAGATATGGTGAGCTCAAAATCTGCGTAGCCTGAGAGCAATCAATAACCTTTGCTTGGCTATTTTGAGGCACAAATGGAGCCCATGCTGAAACCAGGCTTCAGTAACATCATGGCTCTTTACCACTGTGCAGATACAAGCCTAACCCATTCATAGTGCCAGCTGAATGACTTTGGAAGAGCCACCCAGGTCCAGTATCCCCTCCAGACATAGATGGGGAAACTAAAGCTTGGAGAGTTTCTCAAGCCACTTTGGATGTTTTGACAGCGCTGCTGGATAGAGTGACCTAACCCTTAGTTTTAATGACCTGGGTGGAGCCAAGCAGCAGGAATAACCTGAGCCTCAAATAATTACCTGGCAAGCTTCTTGGTGCCTTAAGCTCTAGCTATTCAGTGTCAGTGATTTTGACTAAACAAGGATAGAGAGTGGTTTTATTCAGTTCTTATAATTCGGTTCTTATAATTTCAATTCTTATAATTTTTTTTCATTGGATATTTCAATCAGTCATTTAAATACATAATACCACTGTGTTCTCTTTTTTAAATGTAACTGCGCTACAGGACCAGCGGCTTGTAATGGTATATACAGTGGCCCCAAAAAGTTTTTTGACATTTTGTGCTGTATTTAAGTGATTTATGTTTGGGAACAAAAAGTTAAACCAAGTAGCATTTATTATCAACAGACCATTCCAGGACTTGGCAAAGTATTCTTTGAAAATGCATCTGGTGGGTTTCAGATTGTTATTGTTTGAGCAGTGTCTTGTACAGATTTCTGCAGGTTTACATCCAAAATGTGTCTTTGCACCTCTGAGTTTGTGATCCCATCAATGAACACAAGCTCGCTGACACCACTGTAAGAAAAGCAGCCACAGACTTTGACGTTTCCACCTCAGTGCTCAACTCTTAGTACAGTCTGGTTGGAATTCTTCTTCAGCCTTTCTCCACACAAAGAGTCAATTTGATGATGTGCTAGGAGGGTTTTTCTTCAAATGTAATTTTGTTAAACATTTTAGTAACCTAAAGAACTTAATTCAAGTTTGCCAATGGTTAAATGGTGTCCAAATACATTTAAGACCACTGTATTGCTGGTGCACTCATTTTTTAGAAAATGTAAATATTTTTTGAGAAAATGCGAAGTTCTGAGAAATGTATTTAGACTGTTTAGTGACATGTAAGTCAGACATACTGACTTTCAAAAGAAACAAAGAGCTCTAAAGTGCTGTATTTACTAACTTAACTGGCATTAAAGGGCATTTGTACTATTGCAGAAGTAAAACATAGCTGAAGATGGCAAACTAATTCAATAACCTAATCCTTTTGACTACATTAGCCATTACGTATTCAATTAGGTATTATGTTCCCTGTAACAGAGTATGTTCTGGGAGAAACCCAGCTGTGTTTCATGTTGTAAATGATATAATGATTCAGGTATGGAGCCTCTTTGGCCCATGTAAGAGATATTTGGTTCCTCTGAATAGCTGCAGGATGGAAGCCAGTGTGGCTGCTGACACCTGATTACTATGGCTGTATATCTAACCACATGCCTTCATAATTTCATGTAGGTCACATTTTCTATGGTGGTACGCTTACCAGTTATTTGAAGCAACCAAATAATAAAGGAATGAGTCACATTTTGATTTATGTCTAACACGCTACGAGGTTCTCCTGTAACTGGGTCAAATGTAACTACATAACCATCATTTTAACTGTGCATGGAATTAGATTAACAAGATGAACATGCAAAACTAACCTGAAAAAGAGATTGGGCTGTTTCTTGCCATAAACAAACATTCCTGAAACTGGGTCTTCTGGGAAATCCACTGGATTATGCTCAATCCTGTTGTGTACTGAACATCAACACATTATAACATGACATTATTCTTTAACAGAGCTGTATGGAATGTCATTGTGACGACCCCATAAAGGCCGATGTCGTCAGCCAGGAGAGAATGATGGACAGATGAGCTGCTTTAATCTGCGTTTGTTGTCAAGTGGAGCCAGATGGATCCCTCGCTCTATGGCTCTCTGGTTATAACAGGAGGGGTTAAGTGCAGTGCTCGATCTGCATACTACGACTAGCTTTGTAGGCTCAGATGGGGCAAAATACCTAATCTCATACACTGGAATAGTGGTCTCTGTAAGGCTTCACCGACAGAACCCTCTGAGTTCCACTCTCTGGAGAGTGGATTAGCTCCATCACAACAGATACTTCACATAAGCTGCAGCCAGACAACACCAGAAAAATGATTCATGGTTAAACCAGAGCCACCCACAAGTTGAGCATTAACCTCCCATCAACACTCCCTCTGCTCCCCTAAATAGCAGCCCTGCTGCTCCATCCTGATTTCAGCTACTACAGGAAATGATCCAGAGAGCAGTGCTGCATCTCATTCCACAAACAGTTGTATGCAGACATTTGGGCACCCCTGGTCAAAGTACATGTTTTTGTTGCTTTTCTAAGTGAAAAAAAGTGAACACGTCCTCTACAGCGAAGAAACTTAAATATGGCATTTTTGTGCAAAGTTCAGCACATAATTTCTTTGCATAATATTTGCATATTAGGGAAAAATCATGAAATATAAAATGTTAAATTCATAATCAATAAATAAACAGTAATTGTGTGTTCAATTGTGCAGAGATGTGCTCTCTGTAGAGGATGTATTTACTTATTTTCACATAGAAAATCAATAAAACGTGCAATTAGACCAGATGCGCCAAAATACTTTTTGCCATGACTGTTTATGGGTAATAACGTGCAAATAATGTTGGTGTTACAAAATCAAGTATTGCTAGCAGTCATAGTTGGGCATAGTTGAGTCATATTTGCAATAAGAATATTCTTAGCTAGCCAAGCCTATTCTGCTTAAAGGGGAATTCCACAGACTTTTAAAATTTTCTGCATAATTCAATGGTTGAGCTGTAAACAAAATCTTTCAGAGTGGTTTGATGTGAAATGCTCCATTCTAGGGAAACTTACTGACTTAGATGTCTTTACAGTGGTGGTGATAGAAACAAGGGGTCATAAGGTCTACAACACAAATATAGCCATTTTATTTACTTTGGGGACTATTTTACCTTACAACTCCCTGTGTGTACCTCTCCACCATGAATGTATTTTTTAAGCCTAAAGCTGATCTCAAAACTAAGTTGAATTTTTCTTCATGCAAGCTGGTTGTTTCAGCTAGATAATGTTTGAGCTTGTGATTTGATTGGTTAGTACATGCTTGCTCCTGCACTCCTGCAACCTTCTTTCTGAAGATCTGCTTTCCTGAAGAGTTTTGTTCTGACCTGCATCTAACATGCTGCACCCCTTAAACCCCTGCTGCCCCCAACATACCTAACATTAACACTTTTGATCCAGCCAATAAAGAACTTCTGAAGGAAGTTCTTCTGGAGCAAGTATGGAAATTATGGCTGGAGCTACACTCTGCAGGATGGTAGGTCTCCAGGACCAGGGTTGGTGACCACTTGTTTGGTTGAATGTTCTTTCCTGTGATCTAACAACTTAGCTGAATATTTCCTCCTCTGATTTCATTGGTTAGTACAAGATTCCCTCCTGCACACTGATTGGCTAGTGCTACGTTTTCCCTTGTGCTCTAGTTGACTAGATGAATTTTTCATCCTGAAATCTGATTGTCTAGTACAGTGGTTCCCACCCCTCATCCTGGAGGACCCCCTGCCCTGCACAGTTTTGTGTTTTCCTGCTCTCCATACACCTACTAATCAGTTAATTAGAAGCCCATCCTGGCTTGAACTGGGTGTTTTAGAGCAGGAAGACACAAACGTGCAGGGTAGGGCATATTCCAGGACCAGGATTAGGAACCAATGGTCAAGTACAATTTTCCATCCTGCGATCCTGTGAGAAATAATACTAACAATTTACAATCCAGCATGCATTCTCATATCAAGACGTATTTATGATGATTCATATCCATATTCATCAGGTTTGGACATATTCCAGAATTTGTTATAAAAATAGATTCATGTATGTAAATAATAAGTATTATCCCTGTTGTCCTCTGAAAACAGAGTATGCAAGTATATATATATATATATATGTACATATGTATGTATAAATATATATGTGCGTATGTGTGTGTGGGTGCGTGTGTGTGTGGGAAGAGTGGGACTTTTAAACGTGACAAAAACACTTCAAGGGCACTTGGATCATCCAGGGTTTTTTTTTTTTATCAGGATGTTTTTGATGATAGTTTATGAGTAAGACTTAAGTGGCTTGTCGTAAATGTTTATTGATGTAAACGTTAGATATCAGCTTCTTCTGAGTACATTAAATCTCTTTTCCTGGTTCGACATGCCAAAGCTTTGCATTTGATGAGGACAAAGCAGGACATATTTTTGAGTTCAGAAATTACAGTGATAATTCATGCACGCTTCACGTGAATACAACTTTTTATTGTTCATAGTCTTGCATGTGTGTGCATGTGAGTGGGCGGGGAAGATGGGTTCATTTTTGATCACGTGTGTTTATGGTCAAGTTCCTGTGCAAGTATTCCTATGCAAACTCGCACGCACGTGTGTGTGTGTGTACCTGAGAGAAACAAAGCTGGTTGCTATGTGTTAATTTGTTATAAAAATAACAGCATTAGCTTTTGGTTCGTCATCAAGTGTAGAACTGATATTAATTCATAAACAGCTGCTGCAGCAGAATAGAAATCTGACTCAAACACAAGGGACAAAGCATTTATTTGTCATTAACCTGATGAAAGAGTACTCCAGTATTATTGAAATTGAATTCTTGTACTTTTACATTTCCATTTTCGCTGCTTATTTTTTAATTTAGAGCTTTCAAGTACTTGTTACAAAGCTTGTTTAACCCCTAAATTACTACAGAAATACTCTTGGGTGTAACATTAATAATTTGAGTATACTTGTGCAGATATGTTTGAGTTTACTGGTTAGCTCATAGTAACTGACCTAAAATGCTATCAGCCCACTGGAAATTCTCCCAAATCTCCCGATTAACTATTCCAACATTGCTTTTTACTTTTATATTGAGTATATAAATATTGATTCTTTTTTTACAGACTAGTATATTTTGATGCTTTACTTTCACTTTTAATTGAGTAAGTTTTTGGCTAAGTAATCAATTTTCAGTATACTTTCAAGAGAATTACTGTAAGTATTAACCATGCTTGTATATAATTAATATACGTACATTTGCACCTCCTAAACTAGACAGAGAAGTTTTCAATTATATCTTGTTAGAATTTTGAGGCTAATTGAGAGAGTAAGTCATCCTGATTAGTGCACAATATGATCTGTGAGTTAATGATATGATCTGTAAGTTAAACCTAAACCCCTCCTGAGGTATGAAGCCTTGTGGATGTGGACAAAATGTATGCTTCAGATTTAAAAGGCCTGCCTGTAGTTCTTTCTGAAGGCACCATTAACAACTATATATCTGCACAGCAACAAGGCAAGAAAGGATACTTGTAATACTTTATCTGAACCTGACCTTGGAGTATAGAGAGTTCAAAGACAAGACAAAGTGTGAAAGAGCAAAGAGCTACAAAATAAAATAGTTATTACTTATTTCCTTGCTGTATGTCCATGTGTGAGTATGTAATGACAAAAGAGATGCCCTCATTCTGATGGGGCATGAAACACTGCGGCCAATCTGTGGCTTGAAAAATTCCACACCAACACACACACAGGCACAACTCCCCAGAGCTTCTCAACTTGATCCATTATTCTAGTAACAGAGGTGTTTTTAATGGACCAAAGTCTGAATCATGATGATCATCATGGAAGGCGGCTGGCCTCAGAACAAACACTGCTCTCAGACCAAGTGGCTCTCTCTTTATCCCCCAGATGACACACAGAAACAGAGGATTCCTGGAATTCCAGGCTGGCTGAGGGGACGGAAAGCGGGCAGCTCTGTGTTGAGAGCAACTAGCTCAAAACCAGTGCCTGACTAAAGCCTGATGCATTGTCCAAAAGCTACTGCAGTCTCCAATTTAGGGCAGCTGAGTTAGACACTACCTCTGTGGAACAGCCCTGACAAACAGAGATCAACAAGATACAGTGAAATCTCCCATCCCAGGAATAAACTGGATCAGTACTTTGCTTCCAAGCATTTTGCCTCTGTCATAAACCAGAAAAAAATCCTCCCCTGGGATCATTGCAACTCGCCTTTCCCTAATTATCTCAACTGCTTGTGCTGCACATGTGGAAAACAATACATTTTAACAGCTTTTAACCTCACAGTTCTTTCAGTCTCTCAGCACACAGAACACTTAATGCTCACCTGCATCAGCAGCACCACACATTACTGAGGCCTGATCATTTCATTCCATCTGGGACCTACAGTACCTCTCTGATTGACTCATCCAATGCTCTGTCCACATATATGTTCTTGCATAGCACCTGTCTTATGCAACCTAATGAGAATGTAGTAAAACTTTTTGTCCAAATGACTAAACTTATTCACTTCAAACGATATTTTGTATATGGCAAATTAATTGGAGGCAATGCTGTCAACATATCACTTCGGAGGGGAAGCCTCAGGGCCATCTAGATCTTCAGAGGAGGCCTAATGATCCTTCACTGGGTCCCTTTAAATAACTAGCTTTAAATAAGTAGCTACAGTAGCTAGCAGTATAGGCCACAACATTAGCTAGCGTTAAATAAAATTGCCGCAGCTTGGTAGCTTTCATTGTAGCATATTAATCAGATGATTAGCCCTATAAACTCTGATAAAAGATTATACCCAGTCTGTCTTCGGGTTGACCGTTCACTTGCATACAAAATGTGGAGCATTTTGAAATTAATTACTCGCTCTGAATTTGTATTTTAACACAAACTGAGTCATGACTGTCATGTAATGCTTACCAACCTCACAGCAGTAGAGAACACATTTATGTGCAGAGGATGGATAGGTTGATGGCATTACTGTATAACTTATTGCTCTGTACTGTCAGCACAATCAGGACACCTTAGTGAAAATAGTAATGTATGTAGATGATGTTGCAGGCAGCAACTCATATTAGGATGAGGGATTATAACTGACTTTTGAAAGTAAAGCCATTATTGAAAGCACATCCCAGTCATTGTTCAGTTTGGTTCCAGGACTTTCTGGCTTGTTGTCAAGTTTAATGAGGAAGCCAGCAGGGAGATGATTAGGGAGATCATCTAGAACTAGTGAGAATATGTTTACGACCAGTTGTTTGAAGGTCATTTAAGAAAGCATATCATCTTACATCACCCTACTATAATAACTCATGAAACTATTTCAGTTACTCTGATAGTTCTAGTATGTTCTTACCTTTTCATATTACGTTCATATTGTTAATAGTAAGAGTGTACGTCTCTCCAAATATATCAAGACAAATTTCTGTACACGGCAATTGTCTTTTGTATTAGTGAGCAGGACAACAGGTCACAGTAGAAAAAGTTTGTTTTAATGTATTTTTCATATACAAAATCAAAGTATGTGACTGATGTGAGACAATAATAGACAACTAAGACAATATGAGATAATATGTACATTTATAATATTTGGTGGCACTGAGAAACCTGACGTAATCACTGTGCAACTATCAAACTGGCACAACAAAATGAAATAAATATTAAAAAGTTAGAGCTTTGGCAAATAAAAAAAAAAAAATTATCTCAAGCAAGAAGTCCAGTGAATTTTTGGCAGTAGGTTGGTGGCTCCTTAATAAGGATAGGAGCAGATAAAGGCTCGCAGGTCCCAGCATGGCATGTCATTGAACTTCCCATCACCTGTAAGGAAATATTACAGTGGTGGTGACATATCAAACAGCACAGGTGCAACTCTGCAGCACAGAAAAATCTATTAACTGAAATATGCTGTACTGTGATTATTTAGACACTGCACTTATTATGCTCATTCTGTAAATGTTTAGATTAAGAGCTTACTCAGTAACTCCACGCAGTTTTCCACTCCAGCAGTGTTATTAGGCTCCCCAGGTAACCAGTCAGCATAGCTCCAATGTGTCCCGTCCAGCCATATGAAGCGTCTGGTCTGAGAACACATAACAACTAACTTTGAGGTAAGTACAAAAGCAACTAGAAAAAACAAACTCTACTCTTGTTTCAGATCAAAAGACTGAAAGCAAGTGTCCCAAAAAGAATGGAAGCTGCAATAAAGGCAAAAAGTGCACACACTGAATGCTGAAAAATGTACATTTTATTTAGCTGTTGAGGCTTCTGTGTTATTGTCTGTTAAGTATATGTTTCCTGCATGTTTTGGTTGGCCAAAAAAGATTGGCCTCTGACTTTTACGCAGTACTGTGTGTACAGTATAAAGCACTCAAACAGATAAACATACATCTAGGTATCTCAGGCCTCCAATCCAGGTACGTGTTCGACCCCCATTTTTGTCCATGAGCGCCATCATGTGTGTGTGAATGTAGCTGCTTGTCACAGAAGCCAAATGTCCATCAGGGAACTGTTGTTGGCAGTAAAACTGATAAAAAACAGACAACAATTGCAACGTGAATCAGAGATTGCTCACCAATAGCTTCGAAAACCTCAGAGAAAAATGTAACAGGAGTAGTTCACATCCACAGTGAATTTTACTCTGGACTACATTCAAACATTGAAAGACATAAAATGTTAAACCAAACCAGCCTTAAAGGGAAATTCCACCCACCTTTAACATGTCTGTATAATTAAATCATTAAGATGTTAACAGTCATTCAGAGAAGTTTGATGTTAAATGCTCCATTCTAGATAAACGCAATAAGTCAGAATTGTGCACAGTGTTGCTAATTGGAACCAGACATCTGGTTGATGATCTGTAAACTAAAATTTATTTTTAAAAACCCATTCATGGCTATTCCAGCTAATTAACTTCTACAGAGGTCCTTGATTGGCTGGATTGGGTGCATCAGAGTTAAATAAGAGGGAGGCAGCCTGTTAGTTGCAGGCTGGAACTAAACCCTGCAGGAAAGCAGATCTCCAGGAGGAAGGTTGGTGACTACTGTTCTAGAGAGTAAATAAAATGGCTATATTTGTGTTGTAGACATTATGATCTCTGGCTCCCATCACCTCTATTGCAAAGAAATCAGAATATGTTTTCTCTACAATGCACTATTTCACATTAAACTACTCTGAATGACTTTGTTTTAATTTCAACTATTGAATTAAGCGGATTTTGAAAAATTGGTGAAATTCCCCTTTAAGACTAACAGAGATGAAAGCATCCACTGATACCTCAGCATCAGCCGCTCTCTTGGGTCCCCTGAAGAACTGGTAACATTTACTGTTGATGACTACACCGTTGCATGTCTGCCACCCTGTGGATTCCACATGACAGTTACTCGTCTCCAGTGTACTTTTGTTTTTCTCAAAGCATGAAAAACCAGCCCCTGTATAGTACATACCTAAGTCCCAACTGTCCCATACACTATAACTTTTGTTTGAAGTGTTATTAACACTTACTGTACTGGGATGCATCACTCTCAGCTGGTTCCTCTGCGATTAATTCTCTCTTTTCTCTTATTAAATTCTCATTCATTAACGACTCCTCCATATAAGCCCGATCAGCCATCATTAGCTCTTCCTCTCCAATCAGGGACTCTGTCTCTCTCTGTTCATGATCCTGCATTAACAATTGTTCCTGTGAAGGTTCAAATGCCAACATTCGATCCTCGGCCATATTGTATTCGGGCTCCACTGGCTCCATTAATGGCTCTTCGTCTGCAAGATAACCTGCCTCCACTAATTCATCTTCCTGAAAGACATTCCTATCTTCCGCCACTAAGGTCTCTTCAGGTTCTAGCTCCATCACTGGCTCCACAAATTCATTGGGGTTTCTCTGATAGATTTCCTGCACTTCTAAATCAAAATTCAGCTCCATCCCAGTCTCTAATGCATCTTCTTGCAAGACATTCCTTTCTTCCTCAACTAATGTCTCTTCAGGTTCTAGCTCCATCACTGGCTCTACAAATTCATTGGGGTTCCTCTGATAGATTTCCTGTACTTCTAAATCAAAATTCGGTTCCATCCCAGTCTCTAATTCCTCTTCCAGCAAGACATTTCTATCTTCCTCCACTAATATGTCTTCAGGTTCAAGGTCCAGCATTGGCTCCTCCACAAATTCACTGGGGTTCCTCTGATAGGCTTCTTGCACTTCTGAATCAAATTCCGACTCCATCTTGGTCTCTAATGCCTCTTTCTGCAAGACATCCCTTTCTTCCTCCACTAATATCTCTTCAGGTTCTAGGTCCAGCACTGGCTCCTCTACAAATTCACTGGGGCTCCTCTGATGGACTTCCTGCTCTTCCGAAACAAATTCTGGCTCCTTTCCAGTCTCTAATGCCTCTTCCTGAAAGACATTCCTCTCTTCCTCCACTAATGTCTCTTTGGGTTCTACATCCAGCACTGGCCCCTCTACAAATTCATTGGGGTTCCTCTGATGGACTTCTTGCGTTTCTGGAACAGGTTCTTGCTCTTTCGCTGGCTCTTCTGCTGCCAGATCCTCCTCAGCTATTTCCATCTGCCCCGTAAGTGCCTCTTTTTGATCCTTTGGCTCATCCATGACAGGTTCTTTCTTGAGCTCTATCTCCTTAATAACTTCATTTGCTCCTGCCTCCTGTTTCTTGACAAGAGGCATGTCTTCCACCAGACTTTGCACTTTAACCGGCTCATTCTGCTGCACTGGGTTTGGTTCAGCTGCTTTCTCCTGCACTACTGACTCTTTCCTGGCAACAGGTTTTGGATCCTCTTGCACCACATGACCCTGCTCAGGCAGTAGGTCTGCCAGCAGAGGACTTCTCTCCCTCTGAACCACCTCCACACTCTCCACTGGTAACCAGTCCTGCACTGGGAGACCAACAGCCACTGCAAGACACAATAATGATGAACAGCAAAATTCAGATCATTCATAAAGTAAGTACTTAGTGGTCATTTTTCTGACATGAGATGTCCAACCTAGGATCTACAACACCATTCAATTAGAAGGTTATTGATTAGCTTCCCATGTGGAGGGAACAAATGTTTTGACCTAATCCTGGAGAACCCTATTTTCAAGTGCCCAGTTTTCGGGGATGCGAGATCTTGAGCTGCTCATTAACAGACTTCACATGTTTTGAGAAGATTCACTCCTTCAAATAATCTTTACTGGTGCAAGTAGGTTGCAGGGTTCAAATAGCATTCATTGGGATATAAAGATATTTCTGATTTAAGTTTCAGCAATACCCCCCCCTCAAAAAAAAAAATAAATAAAAAAATACAGGTTTCAGTTTAAACCTATTCAGCCTTCATTAGTGCTGTATGTGTGTGCTGTACTATCTGCTTATACTTTACTAGAAACAGTTTTAGAATATGCCAAAGCATAAGAATATCATAATGTAGAACCTATTCTTTGCCAGATATTGATTTTAGAGCAATATACTGTATAAGCTCTGCAAAACATAAAACACACACAGAAAACTAAACAAAACAAGATTTCACCCAAAATATTCAGCAATTGTCCAAAATCATGCCAAACCTTTGGCCTGTGTACATCAGTTGAGGGATAGACTGTGTCAGAGCGGCTCAACCAGAAGGCCTTGCCATTCATACTGTAGCATTCTTGAACACGCTAAAATACCATATTGAACTGAAATTTATAGGGAAATTCAGACAAAACAATTACAAACCATTTCATCATTCATAGCATGTCCGTGACAGAAAGTGGAAAAAGGATCAAACCCAAATCTAAATAAACACACATCCATTGTACAAATTTAAAAACCTCAATAGGTAATTCAGGCATTGTATAACTCTATTACATATCTCTACTGACAAACACTGTCTTTTTTTGGTTGAGACAAGATGTGAGATCTGTGTTAACTGTTTTGTAAAAGTATGTGAAAACCAATCAGAGTGGACTTCAGTGAAAGCAATGAGAATGTGTTAACATATTTGCAAAAGGACACATCTGCTTTGCTAAGAAAGTGACTTAGATGTAAACGTAAGTGTAAAAACTTAGAAGATTAAGTTGATCCCAGTTACATTAAATGTGTTTGAGTGATCATGAAAAACTGTAATAAGCAAATAATAATTATAATTTTTTAAGCATGTGCAATAGAATTATAAAGCATTTAGACCGCACCTGCAAGGCTCAGAAACAGCAAAACATAGGTCCTCATACTTATCGCCGCACCTGAGAGAGAGAGAGAGAGAGAGAGAGAGAGAGAGAGAGAGAGAGATAACCATTAATTCAGACTTCTATGTGAGGTTCTACACTTTTTCTCAGTTGCTTGAACATTTTTGTCCATTCAGAAGCCTTATCTTCAAAACAGATAACACACGATACCTAAAAGAGGCTTAATGGCCAAAATAACAGTTTATTTATCAAAATAGTTTGACCCCCAAAAAATACCAAACATACTACATCTTACAATCAAGTGAATAAATTCCTTCAATTACTCACTGAACAACAACCAAAAAATACAAAATACAGGTTTCAGTTTAATCCTATTCAGCCTTCATTAGTGCTGTGTGTCTATGCTGTTCTATGACGCTGATATTTTGCTGTAAATAATTCTACAATGTTTCAAAGTTTTTTAAACTTAAAAAAATCATCTAACATAATCATGATGCATTATTAACCGTTATATCTACCAGTGTTAAATCTCACTGTGTGTCTATCATATCATATGTGTATTATCATATCAACAATCTGATTGGTCGCCGCTCAGTTCATTTGCATACAGTATGTCCTGAAGGAGAGAGCAGAGTGAAGATGTGCATATATCGCATATATGTGCATCAAATATATGCTAATCAGAATAACCTTTCTGCTCTCCCTGTTCAACTGTTTTGAAAAAGTCTGTGAAAATGAGGGAAAGTAATAGGAGACTCCTGCTTTGCTAAAAGACTGACGATGATGATGAAGTTGACTCCAGTTTAATTAAAAGTGTTTTAGCAATCGAGAAAAACTTTTATTTTAATTCAGTCCCTTTTTATATTGATACACAAACAATGAAAATGATAAAACATTTTCTCAGACAGTGTTCCCAGATACTGAGGCTGAAGTACTCTCACCAGCCCTGGTTCAGCTTATGAAGGCTTCGTAAATTAGCTGTCGAGCTGCTGTGGCCGGATTGAGGTAAGTTAAAGAGTAAAATGGCTAGCACAAGGGTCCTTTAGGAGCAGCAACACTGACCTAAATAAATGAACACTCTTAACCAATCATGCATTAATGGAAATTTGTGTGAACAAGAAAGAAAGACAGAGGAAAAGAAAAGCACAAGTTGCTTACCTGCATAAATGCTCTCTGTGCACTCCTGAGTTTGGTTTTATGGTTTTGTTGTGACTTAAAGATCTTTCTCGTCTTATATATCTGACTGGGGCTGGATATTGGCTCATTGACTTTGTGCTGTACTGCAGAGATTCTGCCTATTTTACAGTCCTCCTTATCTAAGCGATACCTTATTACTGCCACGTGACTTCCAGGAACAAGCTTTCAATGGGTTCAAAGTGTTTTAGATTGAATGACTGCGGCTTCATTAAAAAATAACATCTAAACAACATTATGTAAGTCTACATTAGAGCACAACAGAGTGCCAATCAAAACACAGCAGGGGTTCAGTGTCTATCAGCATGATTCCTGCCTATCAGCTTTATTTGGGTTTCTCTCCCATCATAAAATAATGAATAGCATGAAATGTATTTTTACAATGTTTATCTTAACTGGAAACCACAATTCTTTTAACCCCTTAAATGGCCAGGGCTCACTAGTGGGTCCAAAGTTTTATTACACTTCTATAAGCTAAGAATGGCTCAGCCAGTTTGCATTGAAGTCCTTGTAGTTACTGGATAATAAGCCTTAGTATGTAATAAGCCTGGAATTTAAGGGGTTAATCTATGTGATATTAAAAGAAGCAAACATAGATATTGTATGTGCGTATAAAATGTTGCTCCTTTTTGCCCAAATCATTGTACTTTGTGCTGAGTTTTGTTCTGTTCTTGAGTATTGATTTTATTGGCTATCACACATGTCCATCTTTATGAGTACATTTAGACCCACCCAATCATATCTACAGTGTTTCTGGATTTTGTTGTTATTGTGTAATATCAGCTTATATTTACATCTTCCAGGAAAAAGTCTTTATAATCAGCTTTGAACGTGACACCTTTGGTTTTAGTTGGTGTGTGTGTGTGTTTGTGTTTATCTCTTATGGTGACCAAATAATCCCAGAATAATAAAACACACAATCATGATACTGTTTGGGGACATTTGCCTGGTCCTCACAAGAAAAAAATGCACTTTTTTGTCCAAAACAAAACAGCTTTATTTGTAAAATTAAAGATCAACAAAAATATTTCCCTTTTGCTCCCTGTGAGGTTATGATTTTGGTTGGGTTAGGCTTAGCAAAGCAGTATTTAGTGACAGAACCCCACAAAGCATAGTGGCATTACCCCACAAAGATAGCAATACACAGCTTTTTATGTGTGCATTGAAGTAGCTGCTGAATCTTTATGAACATACTACGTACCAAACAAAACATATACTATTGCAAACTGTAAAAAAATGTAGATTTTAAACTTAAAAAAGTTTAATTGAGGATGAAACATTGAAGAATGATTTGTGTTTTACATTTGTTAACTTAATATTAATTATTAAATTAAATTATTAAACCTCAATTAACTCCAAGTTCCAAACTTAACACAGTTACTTACTTAGTGTGAAAGCTGCATATTATTACTTTGTACAAATGTAATATTCTTGTCGTATAAATGCATACATGGGGAAAGCAGGTTACACAGGATCCCCAAGTTTTCTTTTACTGAAGGAAAAAGGGACAAGGACAGAGAGAGAGAGAGGGAGGAGGGGAGAGAGTGGGAGAGAGAGGAAGGGAGAGTAAGGGAGAGAGACAGAAGGAGAAAGAAACAGAGAGAGAGAAAGAGAGAGAGAGAGAGAGAGAGAGAGAGAGAGAGAGAGAGAGATTCCTGCACTGGCCATTTGCAAACCACTGCAAAGGGAAAAGGACCCCACTGCTGGTCAGAACTCATTACAGATTGACCATTGCACTGGACACGAGGGAGGATGAGCCGAGCACCACCGCTTAACCTCAGTGCTTTGCTGACCTTACTGCTGAGTGAGTGGCTTTTTACTTTTTATTACTTTGTAAAGTTTATAAAGTTTAAGTGAACTTTTACATTTTCCTGGTTCTACAGTAAATCGACTCTTAGCATTCAATCTTGATGTGGTGTTAGAGTTTAGAGTGTTTATTAAGTTTTATTAACTGAATGAGAAATTGCTGTGAAATTTTATACATCACAACATTATGCTTTATTTTGTTAAAGAGAACATTGGTATCTAGTTTATATGCACAAAAATGAAGCCCCCTAGAAGGAATTTGCATTCATAAACGTTATTATTAACGCGGTGTGAGGGCAGAGTGTATGAGACAGAGTATGTGAGGGTGGGTCTGGGTGGGGTTCCCTGTAGGCCCACTGCTGTTTATCCTCTGAAGTGTTATTTTAGATGAAGGTGATCTCCTATCAGTGTTTCATGTTGTTGATGCCCTCAGTCTGACTCTCTGCATAACAGTTCTACAAAAAGATTTTATCTGTCTATATTATCTAAGTTGTAATTTATTTGATTCTGGCACACAAGAAGGAGGATGTGTTCTATCTAAGTCAGCAGAACTCATTAATACAAACCTCATGCAGAAACAGTAGATGTAGTGTGGAATATACTCATAGGCTTTTACATGATTATACATGTCATCAACAATGACGTATTTTGGTTTTCCATTATTGCGGTTTGGCGTCACATGGAGGTGACTGTAGATGTTACCGTTCAGGGTGGGTTGTGATTTTTACTAAGCCCCTCTTCTCTTCAGCTGGTTTGGGTTACTGCAACACAGCAAGACTTTGTCTCACACACATACACACACAGAGCAGGGTCCAAAAATCTGAGACCACTCTAAAAAGGCTTAAATTTTGATTTTCAAGATTTAACTTTATTTCCGTGTCACTATTCAAATTTGTAAAATTGACCTTTATACAAAAAAGGTCATTTTTTTTGTCTTATCTCTCCTGTTGAAGCTCATGTTTAGACGACTCTCAGGTGGATTTGACCTGCTCATCAGAGGCTTTTGCACAAACTTGTAGCTCGAATGCGGAATGTCTATATGATATATACATACATATCACTAACCCTAACTTTAGTAACCAAAAGAAATGGTTAAAATGTAACAAATGGCTTTTGTAAAAAGCCTTTTAGAAAGCCAGGAGCATTTCATTGGTCCTGTAGGTTGGAAAGTGCACTCTCTCTCTCTCTCTCTTTTCTGTCTCTTTTTACTTTACTCACATACTCTGAGATTAAGGTCTGATAATAACTGATAATAAATGGAGAGAGAGAGAGAGTATTTGTTTTCAAGAGAGGTTATCAGGTCAGACGCAACCGGTCCCCCCACCATGCTGTCTCAGACTGTCCATCCATCTCCTAAGCATTCCAACACAGCCCCGTTCCTGGCACAGCCAAGAGGGATGTGTGGGTGAGCAGCTATGGTGGGAAAGTATGTTAGAGTAGTATGACAGTAATGTTATATGTTTCAACAGTGGGCCAGATTCTCCCCTTGTTTCAGAGAAGAACACTTTCCTCCTTTTCTCTTCCTGTGAACTGCGATTTAAGGTCAGGAATGAAGTACAACTCTGTAGGCAAAAAGCATTCCACTAAAACAAAGAGGGCTCCAAATAACAGCTAGAAGGAACTGACTAATAATAATAATAATAATAATAATAATAATAATTATAATAATTATAAGAAGAAGAGGAAGAGGAGGAGGAAGATGCCTTAATGTAATAGAAGATGTAGAAAGAAGACATTGTGATTCACTTTCATACTTAATGATTTGATATGCTTTGGTACCTGCATTAACTGAATTGTCTACAGATGTAAATGGACTATAGAAGAGTTTGATGTAACATGTAAACACTGTTAAAGTTACAGTTCAGGACAAAGTACTGTTTACATCCCGGTCTATACAATCCATGTATGAAAACTAAGCTGCAAAAGCAGCCTGTTTAGAATTCAGTGCTTTTGTGATGTGGCAATGAACCAGCACCAACAGTTTAGCTCTACTGATTCACACTGAAGTTATAAGGAGTGCTTCTGGACAGGATCAAGACAGGACAACCAATCAGAACTGAGATCATTTACGTATCATTTACTGTTTACTTCTAAGGGATAAAGAAAGGTTGGAAAATGGTCATGCAAGAATGGATTATGACTTTTTGGTATGTAAAAGCACACAATGAAAGTGGACAATGAAAAGAATAAAATGTGGGACATGGGCTCTTTAAGTACATACAGTGTGTACTATACATCTCAACAAACTACATTTTTTTCATTATACATGAAATGTACATAAGCTGTGTGTGATGTTTCTGTAGAATGAAAGAATGAATGCATGTATCATATGTATGTAATATTAGTATGTTTATGTTTCTCATCTTTCTCTATCTATTTTTATCTTTCTCTCTTTCTCCACAGTTCCCTCCACTATTTCAGTGACTGTGTCAACCAGCAAGCCAAAAGTGGAAGTTCATGAGAACACAAGTGAGTGAGCTCGTTTTAATTGACAATTTTTATGTGAGTTTGTGTCCACATATCAAGGTTTTCGAACCAAGTGGCTTAATAACACTTTAATTCTGATTTGGGAAACAGATGCTGTTCTGTCCTGTGAGTTCCGCACAGAAAAAGAGACCAACCCTCGAATCGAATGGAAAAAAAAGGGGAAAGATACTTCCTACGTTTATTTTGATGGTGAATTTACAGGTGAGCTTTGCTGAACATATTTCATCATGAAGATTAACAGTAGTTTAGCTTCAGCATATTCTCCCTTATATTCCCCTTATACTAGTTATTTAGACTGCACTGATCCAGCCTCCCCTTTTTCAGGTTCATTTAAAGGCAGAGCTTCAATGGATGGGGCGACAGTGACCCTGCGCGGTGTTACCCAGAAAGACTCAGGGGTCTATTACTGCGAGGTCACTGCAAAACATGATAAGACCCACTTTGGGGAGGTCACAGTAACTCTCAGTGTGTTAGGTGGGTTTATTCTTCCTTTTTGTATTCGCTCTCTTAAGTATACGCAAGTATACTATAACATATAAACGTACTATTCCTGTTTTATAAGCTACAGGTCAGCTATTTTTTATTTCCTTATACCATTCATTTCACTGTCTGTCTGTCCGTCTACCCTTTTTTAAATCAAGATAAAAGTAAACGTGCTAATGTTAGCCAACTAGCTCTTTTTCAGCTGTACTCCCTGAGGCCTAACATTATAAGCCCATTACAAGGGCCATTCACTTTTATTTTCTCAGTTGTTTTTGAACCTTTCTCAGCAAATGTAGCACACAGTGAGATTTCATTACCTGATGCAACTGCTCACTTATATGTGTGTGACCTAACAGATGCAGAACCAAACAGTACTAAACAAAAATGAGAACTTTTGATGAAACTTTAACAAAACAAATTTTTAAGGTTGACTTAAAATTGAATAGTTTTTTTCACCATGTGACATTATTGTCTGAAGTAATCAATAGTGTAATTACAGATACAGCAAATACAAATTAGGTTGAAAAACACTGGAGTATTCATTTAACTTTTAGTGTACAGTTTCTACTGACCACAGTGTAAAATAAAGAACTGAAACCCAGTGCAATGACAAATATCCCCCTCTGTGTGTCCCTTGGCAGTGCCTCCCCATGCTCCATCCTGCCATGTTCCTGAGACTGTGATGAGAGGCTCTGCAGTGGAGCTGCACTGCAAAGACAAGCTGAGCTTTCCTCCTGCTACTTACAGCTGGTACAAAGACAACAAGCCCCTGAGCACGGCCCACCTGCCAGACATCAACTACAGCCTAGACCCCAAAACAGGCACTCTGGTTTGTTCCGACACTACTGAGAGCTGTTTGATCTTAGTGATATGAATGTGCAGATAGCTGAGCTATGTGGGTGTACAAACACACAAACACAGTCTCCTGTTTGCAGTTCCTCTGGCGGTCATCTGCTGACAACGCCCTGATTAATTCTGATACAGAACCAGCTTGTTTACTCTATGACCACTGGGCTTGTCATTGATTTTATTCATCTCAATCTTTGTTTACCGTGCTTTCTTTCCTTCCTTCGCCTTTTGAACAGAAGTTCAAGAGTGTGTCGAAGTCTGACGCAGGGCAGTACCGCTGTGAGGCCTCAAACGGAATAGGAGCACCAAAGAGCTGTGCAGGCCAACATATGAAGATCACTGAATGTAAGTTAAACAGGCCTGAATGGCCGATGAAACCAAATGTATAGGAATCTATATATACCATATATACTAAACACAGGTGGATAGTAACTAGTTACATTTACTTACATACATGACCTTCAAGTTCATTTTTGATGGATTCACACTTCACTTAGTATTTTGAAATGCTTAATAATTTTACTCAAGTACAATGCTGTGAAAAAATATTTGCTCCTTTCTGATTTCCCCTATTATTGCATATTTTTCACTGTCAATAATTGTAGATCTTCAGACAAATTATTGGGCTAATATAAGCGTAACCTGAGTATAGAGAACTCTTTCATACTGTTGTGGAGCATTTTCAGCGCAGTCTTCTTTGCTCAAGTACAGTGCTGTGAAAAAATATTTGCTCCTTTCCAAACTGCTCATTCCAGGTCTTTCCACAGCTATTCAGATGTGGACTCACTTTTGTGTTTTGAGCTGCTTAACCAGTTACACCTTATCCTCAGCTCCCAGAAAGATGAATAGAACACTCCTTCAAGGAGATTCAAATGGGTTACAAAGCCATTTCTAAGGACCAGGGCCTCCACAGAACAACAGCACAGAGATGATTTCAGTGGAGCCTTCAATAATGGGAAGATGTCTAGGTCAAAGCATCAAGTACCTCCAACCCATTAGACTCCATCACCATGTTTGACAGTTGCTATGATGTTCTTAGGCTAAAATGCTGTATTTGTTTTATGCTAGACATAATGAAACCTGTGTCATCCAAAAGGCTCTGCTTTGGACTGCCCATAGACCATTATCCCAAAAGGCTTAGGGATAATCTATGTACTGTGCTTGCAAATGAGAGACTAGCATTGATGTTTCTTTTGATTAGCAGTGGTTTGCAATTTGCTGCTTGTTTCTCATTTTTGTCTATTGTGGAGTCATGCACACTTACCATAGCTGAGACTGCAGAGAGACCTGTAGTTTTTTGTATGTTCTTCCGGTATTTTTATTATTATTTTATTATGAATTCCTGGCTAAGTTGTTGGTGCACTCTTAAAGAAATGTTGGCAGACTTGCCACTCCTGGGAAGATTAGTCCATTTCTGGTGGTCTACATTTGTGACTCCAGCTGTTGATCTGTGGAGGCCCTGGGCCTAAGAAATGGCTTTATAACCCTTTTCAGATTAATACATTTAAATTTTTTCCTTATCTCTTCTGGAATTTCCTTTGGTCATGAGAAAGTCTACTTGTAGAAAGCATGTGTGCATGTGGTGACTACTTTAGTCTGATGGTAAGCTTCAATATGAGGTTTAAATTCAACATTCTGGCTGCTTCTTATCAGCTAGTTCATTTTCAATTAAATGTAGTTTATTGGTTGATGGGGTAACTAATAAGGGTTAATTACTTTTTCTTAGGTAACATAAGTTTTGGAAAACTTTGCTTCTAAAAGAAGTGATTATAATTTTAAAACTCTTTCACATGTTTAATCACATTCCCTTTGTCTGATATTACATTTTGCCTAAAACCAAAAATCATTCAGTGTGACAACTAAAAGAAATCAGGACAAATACTTTTTCACAGCACTCTATATTTGTGAGGATAGAAGCTAAATTTACTTTTTGACATAGTGCCAGTTTAGACATTCACACCGAGTAAGTAATTCTCTTGTTGTGTCCAATTTCATTCTGTTCTGTTGGATTAGCGCCTGGATTTCATTGCTGTTGCTCACACATCTCATTTCTGAGCTGCAGTATTTTATTTTAGACCAAAACAATCATGAAAAGAGAAGAATAGGGCCTTACAAATGGTCCACTCCAGTTTTGCAGTTTTATACAGAACTCATTATTCATTTTTTTCCATTCCATGATACTTTTTTTCATCTTCTAATTGTTTTTTGGTATAGGCTACTTTTACTACTTGAGCCATTTAAAGAAACAATATATTTATATGACTAAAGGTTTAAGATACTCCCCCCCTCTGAACACCAACAGCAGACTCGATGTGTGTGTTTCAGTTGAGCTGAATCTGACATTAGTCATAGCAGTGGGAGTGGGTGCTGCTCTTTTTCTGCTCTCCTGCTCTCTGGCCATCTGCCTATGTTGCCGACGAGGCTGCTGCCGCTGCTGCCGCAGTGAGTTCTGAGTCAAAAGCGACAGCTGACACACTAATTCATAACAACATACAATTAGAAAGCTATTTTTAAATCTTTTTTTCTCACTTTTTCTTAAAAATGGTCTAATCTGTGTGTGTATTTTTTTTTCAGAAGACAAGAAAAAAGGAAAACAGAAAAGGTAGTTTTGTTTGTTTGTTTGTTTACAGGGAGTTAAGTACCGGCATGCCTTCGGTCTGTTATAATATTAATACTACATATGTTAGAAATAGATTCAATTATGACCATATAAAATATTCACAATTCTTTTCCCTGCTCTTTAGGAACATGACCAAACACCGACCCCCTACAGACGTAAGTGCTCAGTCTCTGTTTTTACGAAGTCAAAACCCACAAACAACAGCTCAAAGGATTTTTCAGTCTCTATCTGAAGCTAATTATGCAGATATTACCTTGGAAAGTAAATGTCCCTGTACTCAGAAAAGAAGAGAAACCAAGATGACTCAAAACACATTCACAATAATAGCCAATGGGAAGAGGTTTCAGCACCTGCCCATTGGCTTCTGTTGCAGGGGTGTTTTGAGTCAGTGGGTTTTCTGCTCTCTTATAAAGTACAGGGAACGTCTCAAAATTATTGTCTGTGGTTGTCGAACGTAAATTTCACATGTTGTATCAGTATCCCTTTAAGGCACAATCAACCATTTTAATAAAACTGTTCCAGCACTGAATTTACTCAATGAGTGGAACAGACTAAGACTTTGTCATCAGCAATCAGAGTGGAGGAAGAAGCCAATGGCATGCAAAGCCATTTTAAAACTCTAAGACAGAGTTTACCAAACTACTTAAATACTAATGGTTATTCACAAGTAGTAGTGTTTTTTTGGTTTAAAATTTGTTTAAAATTGAATCCAGGTTGACCTATAGGTTTATGCATTTTTTGTTTAAACAATGGTTCAAAAATCTTTTGGCACACATTGTTTTATATGCAAGGAAATCATGCAAATTAGTTGCAGTATAACATTTATTACACATTGCTGTTGGCTTTAAGAACGATAAAATGATTTATAACTAATATTTTAGAGGAATTAATTTTAACTGGCATTAATTTTATGTACCAAAATAAATGAATGTCAACTAGTTGTCATTGGTGATCATCACTGTGATCTTTCCTCAGCCAAGACACTACAGGCACACTAAGTCTTTCATGATATAAGGAGGTTTCACATGGACAACACACACACACACAGCGGATGGTTGTTGGAGCACCACATGGCTGAGCCTCGCATCTTCACCCTGCCTTAGTTCTGCCTGCACTGAGGACTGAAAGAAAACATGACTTTCAGACTGGAGCAGTCAAGGAGCAGCACTGAGCAGAAGAATGTGATGCTGATACTCCCCCTAGTGGTGAAGACGCATCAGCAAAGTTACACTGTACCAGATCAGGGCAATTAAACTAGACTTACACTGTACAGAGCTCTATCACGCTAATGTATCTCTTGCACATGTGTAAAGTTTATTAGATCTATTATTGCAGTTTTTTTTGATAAATCACTTTTTCTGTATTTGCAATCTGCTAAAAAGTGTAAAAAGTGGCCCGAATATTTAATACCAATTTTCAATGTGTGTGAAAATGGATGTGAATGAGAGACAGTGAGAGGGGCTGTCATACGAAAAACTTGATTTCCAATAAAAACAAAACACACCAAAAATGCCCAGGTGACATTTGTTTTATTGAAGTTTTCTGGCAAATAATGTACATCAGCATTCACTGTTCAACAAGTACGGCAGACTGATTAATTAAATAACTTATCTGTCAGTTCCAGCGGGCTGAGGAAGGCTGTAAATACTAGCGGATGGAAACATGACAAACGTTGTGTTTGGAGTAAATCCGTCTCTTTGCTGTTCATGACCACTAAAAAACACTGCTGCTAACTTACTACTTTAACCAGCGATGTTTTGCTGGACGCTTTGAGGCCAGCGAGGCCTCCTCCACATCCCCGCCCCCAGAGCAATGCTGACCGAAAACTAGCATGAACATTTAGTGAAGTTAGCGCACACTAAGCTAGCTGGCTACAGCCCCACTTCTTCTGAAAACTACAACCTACAGCACTTACTTAGCGTTTCGAAAAAGAGGTATGTGAACCCTTATTCGTGTTCCTTAGAAGTGTACTTCCATGTGAACATCAAATCTTCCAAATGGGCAGTTTATTTTGGACTGTGCGCTGTTCCCGCTTTTCGGGGGGAAACTGGTTAGCGGTTGGCTAACGCAGGCTAGCGACCCACAGCAGATCAAACCGGCGGGCTAGCCGGACTGCTAACAGTGTACGGCCCATCGACTTTACAAGTGTTTTCTAACCAGGTAACCAGCTTACACTGCTGCATCCGCAGTGCTGTGTGTTTATTATGGTGTTCTTTAAGTTAACAGAACAGTTTCTAATGAAGCATTTTCAAACCTACACATGCTAAAAGTGGATAAAGCCGTAGTAAAGTCTGGTCTCTCTGCGCTTTTAGCTGCTCTGAGCGACTTCACTGCCAGCTCAGTAACCAGGCGGGTCTCTCTGTCTACGGCTAGCCTGTTACGCCCGTGAGCTAACCAGATAACAAAGGCCAGGCAACTAAATAAGCATTTTATATCACATAAAGGTCGCTACCTGACCATCCCCGACCACTTAAAGGAGAGATTTTCCACCGTCGCCCCGACCGTTTCTTCAGCCCGTTTTCGGAAGTCTGACAGCGCCGTGACTTTCGCCAGGATTTCCGGCTGCTTTTACATTGCCCTTCTGTTGTTTTGTTTCCGTTTCTTCCATTTCCGTTTTAAGTTTCCAGAATCAAAAGTGTGATGAGTGGCGAGCTTGTACAAGTCTCAAAAGTTTTAAAAAGTCACCGCTTACATCATTTTTGTATCACGACCGTGAAACCCAAAACGACTCCAATATGGCAACTGCGTTTGCTTGTATTCGCGCGTCCTCTTCCCACGACTGTCATCGACCAAAATAATAGTCTTCTCTATCGAGTTTTCCGACAAAACTATATCTAGCTATGCCGAATGAAGGTTCATATTGTTATACTAATGTATAATATGTGTTAATTATAGCATTCACATGGTGAAGAACTGCAATGGGCCTACTCAGTGGCCAAGCCTCGGCGTTGCGTGAGAGTCCCCTGCATTCAGACACCTTTCTGCGCCTCACGGTCTTCTCCTCTGCCGCCGCTAACTGTCTACCATAGCGCATAAAACTACAGACAAGTTTGCAGCCTGGCTCAGCACCACCGACACACCCGCTTAGCTACTTTTATTTTAATAAAAAATCACAAAAGTTATTATTAGCATGTATTTACAACCCCGTTCGGCTGAATTAGATCATTTAAACTTTCCATTAAACTGTTGGGATTGTAGAAGAGTTTGTTTTGTGATCACTTTCAAACGTTTCTATGTTGTCGACATTCATAATTTGCTTTTCTGCTATCAAAAATGATTTTAAATGTAACTTTATTGTTTTGGTTGCAGGTTAAAATTTCACTGACAAGATGTCAAAAAGTGAGCCTGAGGAGATGATTGAGATCGAAATTGATGGACATGAGAAACAAGAATGCCTAGAAGAAGGGTGAGTTCTCTTTCTCTTTTACTCTCTAAACAGTGAATTCACTTTTAGAGGACTGTGTAACTCCTATCCTGAGACTCATCAATGGTTGCTGTGTTCTCCAGTCAGAGCTCTGTCCTGTATGACTTCATTCTTCTGTGTGCGTTTGTGTGGTTTCTGTTGGATCTGTAGGATCGAGGAGCAGACCATTACATCAGCTGAGCTTATCACACAGGACATTGATATTAACGAGCCTGTTGGCAACTTGAAGAAGCTGCTGGAACCCCGTCTACAGATTCCTCTGGATGGATATGATATTTGTCTGCAGGACATCCAGGTAGGGGTTTATGTACTCCTGGAATCTCTGTTTAAGTCTCTGTTTGTATATAAATGTGTAGGTAAGCTCATCCTTGCATTATTCCTGCAGTTGCACCCTGACCACAGCCTTTTTGACCAAGGTGTAAAGACAGATGGTACAGTCCAGCTCAGTGTGCAGATTGTCACTAAACCAGGTGAGTGTCTTTTGTTTTCTTAGACTAAATGTACTTCAATTAAAGGTAGGACTTCTCTCATATTTTCAGTGTGAGATTGAGCTGTTAACATCAAGGACATCTTTTCTTGACCCCCCCCCTTTTTTTGTTACCAAGAAAGCCGATAATTATGGGTCTCTGTGTATATATTTATCAACGCAAAGCTAAAATTAGTTAGTTTTTAACTTTTGTTCCTGAGGTTGCATTTGAAAGGGAAGGAAGTGAGTTGTATTACTTTGCAAACCCTAAGAATATGCTCACCAGGGTGTCTGTGCTTTTAGGTGAAGAGAAGTTGAATATCCTGGAGATAGTGAAGCCAGTGGAGACAGTGGAGGTGGTGATCGACCCAGATGCGGCCGCAGGAGAGGAGGCTCACCTGGTAGAGGATGGACAGGTGATAGCAGTGGAGCGTGCAACAATTGCAGACGAAACTTCAGAACAGGTGACTCGATGGGCAGCCGCACTGGAGGGATATCGCAAAGAGCAAGTCCGGTTGAGCATCCCTTATGGTGAGTGCACAGATAAGTAATTTTCTTAGAAGAAAAATACATTTAAATACACACGAAGTTGTAAATGATTGGGTGCACAGTCATCATCTCTTTTAGAAATATTGTGGACTGTTTTTTTAATACAAGTTTGTCAGTATATCTCATATCACAAGTAGTTTTATAGCATAAATCTAGCTGTATTTGATTCACTGTTTGTCTTACATTTTTTGTATACAAAAAAGCAGTATTAATTCGTTTTGAATGAATTGTTTTGTCACAAAGTTAACACATTTACACGTAACCACCAATTCAGCCTACATCCGTTTGGCTCTGCCTGTTCACATCAAAGTAATTAAGAGTGTGTCAGCCTGGGCCACTTTTTAAATGTGGCACAGTACAGGGCAGCCAGTCAGAACAGATCTCATTTACATATGTCAGTCTTAAGGCAACTAAAACAGCCAGTTTAATTGTAAGGAGTAAAGAGGGGTTGCAAAATAGTAATGTAAAAAAGAATTTTGACTTTTTTTTGGTGTATATACATACCAACATCATATGGAAAAAATAAATTACAAGTAAAATGTAGAATAAGGGCCGTATCATTAAACCCTTACACTGATGTCTGTATTCAGTTATTAATTTTATTTGAGAAGGTATAAGGTAGTCATAGTTTTTACTGTATCCTGGTCAGTGTGTTTTAACAGTGCAACTCTGATTATGATTATGGCAGATCCTGTGCAGTGGACAGCAGACCAGGTGATCCACTGGGCAATATGGGTGATGAAGGAGTTCAACATTGAGGAGATGGAGGTGGGCGGCATCCACATTCCGGGTCGTCAGCTGTGCGCCTTCAGCCAGGAGGAATTCCTCCAAAGAGTGCCTAATGGAGAGATCCTGTGGAGCCATCTGGAACTGTTGCGCAAGTGTGAGTGTCTGAAAGAAACCACAGTGTGTGTTTTATGATTATTTAGCAATAAGTGACTTTTTTTCATGAGAGCATGTTCCTTTTGAATTCATTGTGAATGTGTCTTTTGTTGCCATTGTGTTGCATGCCTTATGCAGACGTTTTGGCGAGCCAAGAGCAGGGACAGGAAGCCACAGTCACGATTGACCAGCGTAAGTATTTAAACACTTTAAATATAGGGCTGAGAATGTGATCACTTTTATATCAGAATTGCTGTTTGAAACTGCTGCAGTTTTGTTTATAGCCTATATTATCAACAACGTTGTCTAAGCATGTTTTAAGTGGGGAAAATTAACACAGAGCTTGTGAAGTGCCAGTAGGTTCTACTAATACAGGTTGGAAAAAATGCTACAATATTTCTTTAATTGTGGTTGGTATGACTTGGTACATGATGATGACTGACAAAGGTCACTCAGATTCTGTGCCTTTCTTTACTACAGTTTTATACACCAAATCTTAGATTGTTTCAACATGGTTCCAACCTGTGGACATGGACATCAAGCCAGTAAAATGTGATTCGGATGCAAAACACAAATGTATTGTTCAGTACAGATTTATATGTTAATTTATGCTGATGTGAGTTAAAACCTGCTATGCCATTTATCCTTTTGCCATTCTTTATGGTTTCCAGCTGTGCAGATTATCCCCGCCCCTGTGCAACAGGCCACACCCACAGCCATAAAGGTGCCGAAGCATAACAAAATGCCCAGAGCTCCTCGCATCTCAGGAGAGGAACGCAGTTCCCCTGGCAACCGCACAGGTACACATGCTCAACATTACAGGAAGGAATGTTTTTCCCTGTTAATAGATAACTAATTTTTTCATTCTTTGTGAAAATTAGTAGTTTTTATATTTGTATGGTTTATAGTGTATCATGTGTCTTCTTTCAGGTAATAATGGACAGATCCAACTGTGGCAGTTCCTGCTCGAGCTGCTGACTGATAAGGATGCAAGGGACTGCATCTCCTGGGTGGGAGAGGAGGGAGAATTCAAACTCAACCAGCCAGAGCTGGTGGCTCAGAAATGGGGCCAGCGCAAGAACAAGCCCACCATGAATTATGAGAAACTCAGCAGAGCCCTCAGGTTAGAGCTTTATTCAGACCTGAAACCCAACTACAGCATTGCAACAAAATTTTGTCCAAAACTGACCTTAATCAACCCGTCACCCAAAGTTCTGCATAAAACCTGACAGGTGCCAGTTTGTGACAATAATTAGATCATGGATCGATATTATGAAAAAACACTAGAAACAAATGTACTACAATAAATTAAGTTAAAATCTCGCTTCACCATCCTATTTATCAAACAGTGCTTTTAAACAACATCTTGAATGTTTGAAATGGAACCTTATGGAATGCAGGGGGAATGGTAGGGTAAAATCTGTTAAAAGCGGGAGACTGTAAGACACAGAGTGTGTAATATGAACCCAATCCCAACCCCCCGCACATTTGGGTAAAAAATTTCCAGGTTTGGACAGACACTATATGTACGAAAGTATTGGTACAGCCCTTTTAATAATTGAATTCAGGTGTTTCATTCAGTCCCATTGCCACAAGTGTATAAAATCAAACACCTAGCCATGCAGTCTGCCTTGAAAAACGTTTGTGGAAGAATGGGTCATTCTCTCTAAATTCAAGTGTGGTAATGTGATAGGATGCCACCGTTGAAACAAGTCAGTTTGCAAAATTTCTTGCGTCCTAGATAATTCACAGTCAACTGTGAGTGGTATTATTGAAAAGTGGAATCATTTAGTAATGACAGCAACTCAGCCATGAAGTGACCACACAAAGTTGCAGAGCAGGGTCACCGAGTGCTGAGGTAGTGCATAAAAGTCAGCACAAAAATGGTGCGTCGGGAGCTTTGTGGCATGGTTTTCCATGGCTGAGCAGCTGCATGCAAGCCTTACATCACCAAGCACAATGCCAAGTGTCAGATGGAATGGTGTAAAGCATGCTGCCACTGGACTGTGGAGCAGTGGAAACCTCTTCTGTGGAGTGACGAACCACGCTTCTCTATCTGGCAGTCTGATGGATGAGTCTGGGTTTGGCTAATGCCAGGAGAACATTACCTGTCTGATTGCATTGTGCCAACTGTAAAGTTTGGTGGAGGAGGGATAATTCTATGTTTTTCAGGGGTTGGCCTAGACCCCTTAGTTCCAGTGAAGAGAAATCTTAAGATAATCCTTTATTAGTCCCACAATGGGCAAATTCTCAGTGCTACATCAGCAAAGGGTTAGCAAGGCACTCAAGAAGAGAATTAACCAGCAAGTAATTAACCTTGTTACCTTACCCTGTTACTTGACAAGGTTTTACAGATTGTTACTTGTTACTATATAGACAGGGTTTTACAGTTAATGCTTCAGCATACCAAGACATTTTGGACAATTGTATGCGACCAGCTTTGTGGGCACAGTTTTAGGGAAGGCCATTTTCTGTTCCAGCATGACTAGGTCCATAAAGGCATGGTTGGGTGAGTTTGGTGTTGAAGAACTTGACTGGCCCACACAGAGTCCAGACCTCAACCCCATTTGTGAACACCTTTGGGAACTAGAATGGAGATTGCGAGCCTGACCCTCTTGCCCAACATCAGTGTCTGACCTCACAAATGCTCTTCTAGATGAATGGGTAAAAATCTCCACAGACACACTCTGAAATCCTGTAGAAAGCTTCCCAGAAGAGTGGAAGCTGTTATAGCTGAAAAGTGTGGACCAACTTTGTCAATGCCTGTGGATTCAGAATGGGATGTCATGAAAGCTTCTGTAGATGTAATGTGTAGGTGTCCCAATACTTGTTCATTTAGTGTATATTTCAAGCTGTACCTCTGGTTCATCTCTATGTATTGTGCAGTGTTACGCAGTTTACAGCTCGGGTTGGTGTCATAGTCAGTTTACTTTGCAGTACACACATTAAGATGCAAGCTGCATCAGCAGTCTTTGTTAACTTGCATAATTGCCACAACTCCTTTGTGATTGTTTATGTGCTGTTGCTGCATCTGTTTTATCTTATGAGATGTTCAATGAATAATGCATTGCTGTAGTTGCCATTATGAAACAGGAGATTTATAATTTATAGATCTAAGCAGTGCTTTCTGAGTGTCTCACTGCCTGATGTGTCCATAACTGTCACAGTGCATACTGACCCATCCCCATCTCACCTCTCTCTTCCACAGATACTACTATGATGGTGACATGATCAGCAAAGTGCCGGGCAAGCGCTTCGTCTACAAGTTTGTGTGTGACCTGAGGACTCTGATTGGCTACAGCGCAGCTGAACTCAACAACTTGGTGACGGAGTGCGAGCAGAAGAAACTAGCGCGGGTGCAGCTGCATGGGATCGGCCAGCCCGTCAACACTGTCACCCTGGCAACGGCTACTGGGCAACCTGTCACCACAGTCACCCTGGCCGCTGCTGCACTGGAGAAGGACAGCTGAGTGGGAAGGCTTGGGTACTCTAAGCTGGCCAGAAGTGGGACATGGGAGAAGAGGAGGGGCAAAGGAAAGGACTTTGGGCAAGTGGGCTTATGAGCTGGCATGTGTGTATGTGTGTTTTAAGAGTGTATGTGTATATACATGAATGAGTGAATGTTGAGGGACAATATAAGAAGTCCTGAGAGAGGGAGAGATGATGAAACTATCAATGACCATGTATGGGCTTTGAGTTTTTGTATGCTTCTTCTCTGACTGCAGGGTAGCTTTGGCTGCATTTCCATTGTATATATATTCTATGTTTTTTGATAGCCATGAGGGCAGCGTATTTTGATATTTTCCATTTGTAAAGGATCTGTTGTTTTTTTATTTTGAGGTTCTGATTCCCTCAAGGTGAGGTACTTTTGGCTGTCCACCAGGGGGCAATAAAGAGACAATTGATTTTTGAATTGCTGAATTTGATCATTGTTTCTGTTGGTAGCATATATACACACCCATGCACACTACTACTAGACCAATAATCAATATTATCGAATATTGCAGTAATATAAATAAGTTCTTATATGCAAATGATTATTTCGTTCTGTTTCATATGCCACATAATATTTTTGTTGCTTTGCCTTTATTTAACCATTCCATTTGCGATCATTCTTCATTCAGTCATTCATGATTGGTTAAGATGTGTCCAACAGGATGCACTTAATGGTAGACAAACCATAAAATCACCAACTGATTAACTACACGCATACATACTCTGAACAGCACATAGAAAGATTGTAATACATTTTCAGGCTTGCAAATAACACTGGGATTTATGCAAATGAAACAAAGACTGGTACATGCTCTCTGCTCTGTGGTAGAGAGTAAAATGGACCAGTCTGTTCAGATGGGTGCCAACACCAGTTATAGGCAATAACTTGGTTTCTGATCAAACAAACTCCTAATTTCTGGATGTTCAAAGTGTTCATGCCATCTGTGCTGAATATAATTTATGAAGTAATATTAGAAGCTAACCCAGTTGGTTATTTTATGGTAATTATATTATGATCAAGAAAAATGCAAGCTATAGTCCAGTTTTCCAGTTCTGCATTTTGTAATCATTGGTAGGTATGACAGTAGGTTCCCAATCCTGGTCCTGGAGATCAACCACCTTGCACTGTTTAGCTCCAACCCTAATCTAACACACCTGATCTTGGTGATGAAGGCCTTGAGGGGCAATGAAGATTACAGGCAGGTGTGCTGAACCTGAACTCTTCAGGGAGGTAACTCTCCAGGACCAGGATTGGGCACCCCTGAGTAACATCAACAGTTCGCTACCAGAGTTAAATGTCGGGAGCTGAAGACCTCTGCTAAAGGGTCAGGCACCGTAATGCTTACATGGTACTTTGTAAATGAATTTTTATCATGATTATTAGGGGTGGGAATCTCTAGGCAATTCACGATTCGATTCCGATTCAGAGGGCTGCGATGCGATTATAAAACGATTATCGATGCATTTTTTTTTCTATACATCATTTCTATTTTCTCACTGTGTGAGGACATGGTAGTTTTAAAGCAAAGTATTTGTAATGATCCATAATGCATTTATGTCCAATATCTTTTTTAATAAAACAAATGGGAGTGATGTGTCAAGTGAACTGGAAGCCTCTCATTCACTGCCTTTGGAGCACGAGGCACTGCTGCTACTCATCTGCGATAAAATGCGCAGTTACGGTGAAATAAGGGGGGGGGGGTCGCTGTGTCAAATATCTTCGAGACGGGTCGTGTGCAGCATAGCGCGAAAGCTCTGTTTCGCAACGACTGAGAATTGCCGTGCAGACTGCAGGTCACATAGCAACGATGCGTTATTTGCATTTATAAGCAGCGCAGTTGGTTTCCTGGCAAGTTAAAGTCGCACAGTAAAAAGTCTTAAAGATGAAGTCGAAAAAAGATGAAGATGAAAACTTTTCCTCAAAACTAGAGCAGTTTCTTGTAAACTGTCTCTCAACATTCGGCTGCCTTACGAGGCCTAAGTCTTCTTATTCTCCAGCTTCTTGTTCGAATTTTCGCGTTCCACCTTAAATGGTGCCGCATTTACATACTCAGCCTCAGTCAGAATTTAAGGTGGAACGGGAAAATTCGAACAAGAAGCTGGAGAATAAGAAGAAAAAAAAAAGAAAGCTTAAGAAGAAAGAAAAAAAAAGCGGCTACAGCTAAAGCTTAAAGCAGAGCAAAGTAAGTCTGTGTTTTAGTTTATACTGTTTAGCCTATACCAGGACATTATCACATACTGAGACATACTGGACATTAAATGTTGTGGCTCCCAAGGTGGTTTGATTTTTGTTGAAAGGACAAAATGGCTCTTCTTATCATTTGTGTTGTGACTCCTGACTTAACCTGGCTTTTAATGCAGAAGGAGCCGGTCGGATTTCTCGATCATCAATGTGTGTTTTTGTTATGTGCACCTCACAGACTGTCCAGGCGCTGCACTTCCAAGTTCTGCCTTTTGCGTTCCGTCAACATTACGTTATAAATTAAATATTTAGAAAAACGATTTTTGACATTTGTGAATCGGTTCAGAATCGTTCACGTCCGCATCGCGATGCATCTAAGAATCGATTTTTTCCCGTACCCCTAATGATTATATTGTTTATCGTGCCAATTCTCGCAAAATTGTCTACATTTATATTATAATTCACTTAGAGTAAATTAGATGAGCTTGCCTAGATAAAAGAAGGGTGCCAATGAGTCAGTTTGGCAATATTTTGTGGGTAATTATAAGGGAAACTGCCGGCTATAGGGCAGGAGTGCCCACTCCTACCATCCTGGAGAGTTCAGATCCAACACATCTGGCTCTAATGTTCAAAAGCCCTTGCAGGCCTTTGTTAGACTAGAGTTGGTGCTAAACTCTGCAGGATGGTAGATCTCTAGGGCCAGGACTGAGCAGGGTAAGTCTCTGTAATGTGCTGCTTTGTAACTGAATCTTGATCACACCAATCTTGTTTATCAATGAGAATAGTTTCTCTAAATTTACATTAATGCACACTCTGAAGTACAAACATCACAGATCCATAGAATTGTATGTACATTCAAAACTTTATTAATGGGATACAGTGTAGAAAGCCTTTCCCCAGTCTAAGCCAAATGTTCTGGATAGATACATACAGGGAAAAATACACAGAAAGAAGGAGAGATTGAGGAACGTGGAGAGCCTTCTCTTTCTTCACTGCCCCATACTGACCACAGACACTCATCTCTGAGTATCCTTGCATAACCGCAACACCTGATTTAAGCGCTTTTGTCTATGAGCTGAGGGAATGAGTGCAGTGTCCTTAATGTGCTGTGAAATTCCACAATGTGTCACATTCACTTCAGCTGAAGGTCATATGTCTTGTGGATGGCCTCCTAGTACCACTTTTGTTTGGCTTAGTTTTCACTCCCCTTCCGTCACTCTGCTTTCTAACAGAGTTTGGAAGGCAGGTTACAAGACTAGTAAAATGACTCTAAACACATGCTAAGCACTGTGAAAAGAAAGGCAGAGCTGTGGAGCGAGAGAGTGCTAATGAGATCATTCCAGTATGAAGCTGCATGGCAGATTTTCATGCTAACACAATTAACGCCCTAAACCATTTCCATCGCTCCGACAGTCTTCCTAATGAGCACCTGCCGGCATGGCACTAGGAGAGACAAGTGAAGGATAAACTGAGGAAAGAAGAGAAAGGTGCCGTCCCATTTAGTGTTTGTGAATATCACAGACACATATGAATGCAAATGGGAAACTGGAATAATAATAACCATCGATCCAAAATGGTGGATATATTTAAGCATTAAAATTACACTATTCTCCTTCTCTTATCAACTCCCGACACGGAATGAAACTGAACAGGGCCGGAGAGAGAGGCCCATAGAAAAAAAAGACAAAACACAGAGTGCATAGAATGTCAACAAAACACATGGGCTTATATTACACTTCATTATCATATTACATACAGCTTCTCAGCCCCATGCAGCCGCGTGTCTGTTTATGTCTGTGCGTGTTGTGGCGTAATGTAAAAGAAGAAGAAGAAAAAAAGCACTGACTTCATTTAAAGCATGTTTTTTGTGACAGATTTTGGAATTCTATTCTTTAAAATTACGTGAGCACAAGAAAACACTAAAATGTACAATCCTGCTAAAATTTCTACATGAGAGAGGCCGATGCACACTTGTGGATCTGAAACCTCTCTGTCATAACTGCCATGCACTAAATAGGTACAGCTATTTTCTGCCTTATTTCAATACATTATTACACACAAAATAAAAAAAAAAACAAACATTCATTTTTCATTATCTCCTTAAGTTGTATATATATATATATATTTATATATGTATTTTTAATAGCTTTTTTAAAAATATTTTTCTGGAAAAACAGACCTGCAAGGACAGATTGGTCCTGAAATGGAAAAAGCTCAATGATGAGTACATTATTCTGGCTGTCTTTTGCAGTTGGAGTCTCTCGAACTCGAGCCCAGCACAGCTGTCGTCTGAACGCCCGGGACAAAGACAGGATGATGAAGGGAGGAGACAGGGAGAAAAGACATCAAGGGCAGGAGAAGAAAGGATCATGGACAGGGCCGGAGTCGAGAGAAGAGATGGATGACTAAGAGAGGTGAGTCATAGACACCATAGAGAAAAGAGAGATAGAGGTTGAGTTAGGCTTATGGTACATGATTGACAGGTGCATGAGAACAGCCTGGGAAGTGTCCGGACAGACAGACAGACTGACTTATGGCTGGATGTGAGACGATGCATCGCTTTTGCTGTGCAAAACAAAGTGAACGCTCATCTGTGATTAGATGAAATGGTGAAGCCGCTCTCATCTCCATGGCAACAGAGCTCATCACTAGTGTAGATGAAGGGTGAGCCTGTGTTCTCAGTCCTGATGTAGTGGGGTGAATGGGAGGGGGGAAATTATGGGGTGATGGAGATGCTCTTTAGTTCTGCATCTGCTCAAAGAACTTGTAGGTGGGATTCTCATAGCCGTTCTGCTGCATCTTAGAGAGGTGACGTTCTTCTGGGGTCACTGCGGCGTCAACCTGAACACAAAAAGGCATGTGGTGACCGACGGCTTTGACATACTATACTACTATACTGTGCAAATAGAAAACAAAATCACACACCTCTATGACTCCATGGTGGATGGAGGTATACTGCTTCTTCCTCAGCATTATGAGGGTGATGACAATGACGGTTGCTATGACGACACCGCCCACCATTAGGCCAATGATAGCTCCCTTATTGGAGCCCACATCGTCTGCGAAGAACACCTGAACACAGAAATGTCTCTTAATCACCCACTTCTGTAAATTCAGTCCGCCGCTGCTTGTGAAAAACAACTCTGAATTTAGATAAATGTGTGTTTTATTCGGTGAACCTTGTCCATACTTGTCCAAAGTGTGTATGGTGTGTGTTTGCACTAGGGGATCAGTCAATATCACTGATAACAGAAAAATGAGTTGGCAATGAAACTTGTTGTCGATTAGTTGGCATGACAACGCTTATGGTTTAAAAATTATTCATTCCAGGGCCCAAATCCTACATTTGTCTTGTATCTTACTTTTCCCTGCCGTTCACTCATGACATTTTTACGTGGTTATATATACCAAAACGAGTCATAATCCATTTTTATATTTATGATTTTCCAACAACAGTTAAACAGGCGGTTTTTGTTACTGTGCACTGAATCCAAAGCGGGCTGTTTTTTCCATCTAAATTTCCAGATACGGACTGTATGGGAGTGAATGGTACAATGTTTACATACAACTCCTTTATTTCAAAAAAGCAAAGAAAATTTGTTTGGTGGCCTCTTGTGCACAGTCAGGGCTTTTTCTGTGTTGGTACAGGACGTCTGACTTGGGTGATTTATGGTTAGTAATATCAGGTTAGTTTATGGTGTTACTGACCACACAGAAACTAATTCATTTAGCTTTGCTAAATACTTTTTTTTTTCTTTGAAAATTTTAGTGTTGTGAGTTAGTCCGAAAAAAAAATCGATTCCTTGATTCCAGGCATTTGGGAATCGAGAGGCAACTCACAAACTTCTAAGACTCTAAAATCTCAATTCAAGTTTGCCCACACCTGCACGCAGTGTAAGATATTCTGCTGTCCCTTTCTAGGCAGGCTTTCTAAAAAATGCATCCTTCAACACATACATAGATAGTGCAGTTGTACGCTTTGCTAAGGTCAATTATAATTGTTGTAATGTTTGCAGATGTCTTACTCGGTACATTGTTTTTTATGATTATTGATTATTGTGTGGAACTGACTCTTGGAATCGACTCCCATCAATTCTGAATCAGAATCGATTCCAAAATGTCTGGAAGGCCCAGCAAACATGATTTAGAAGACATGCTAGGCATCTTATGTTTGAAAGATCATTGGGCAAGAGAAATAATTAAAGATTCAAGCATAATTTCTCTTAACACTGTGTATAAATATTTAATGTTAGTGTATATATGTTAATGTTAAATATTTATGAATGTATAAAACTGTATAAATTCATTTAATGTAAATTATTGACAGACTAATAACTGCACTTTCTCTTTTCCCACTTAGTCAAAATAGTAATGGACCAATCAATCAATTATGGAAATGATCGTTAGATACAAATGTACACTGCACTAAAGTTAAAGTGTTTATAGTGTGTATACATACCAGTTTCTGGTGATGTACTTCATATCCAGCACTGTGCCTCTCTTCAGTGTCCATTCTCACTTCCGGCATCTCTTCTGGCTTCAGACCGGACACTATACACACAGAGAGAAAGGAATTAAAGAGAAAGAGCAAGAGCAACTGCTGTTAGAGAGAAATATAGTGATTATTATAGTCATCCTAAAAACATTAAATCAAAATGATGTAATTAGGAAAGGGACAGCAATAAAACAGGCACTCACCGGGTCGTGTGGGCAGTCCCCTGTCTGGAGCTGGACGGGCATCTACAGGTTCAACTGAGAACACCAAAGGAAACACACAACAAGCCGATTACACAACATCTTTTCACCATCAACTGAACTTAGCTCCCACTGCTTTACCCACTGCCGTTTCTGGTGTGATAACTGTTTCACTGCCTCTCTGTGTGAGAGTGATATGGAGCACTGTAACTCCTGCTGTGGTTATTGTGGTGGCTGTGCTGCTGTGTGATGGGTACCGTGGTTGTCAGTGTTGGCCTGATTGAAGCTTTCAGGGTGGATGAAGCCCAGACCGTCCTGCTCTGGAGGCAGAGCGTCGAGAGGGGGAGTGCTGTCCGGCAAGTCCAGCATCAGAGCATCATTACCGTAACTCACTCTCATATCTGTCTGCAGAGAAGACAGCTGCTGCGTGGCCTCTGCCTGGACTCGCTGCATCAGCACCACTAGAGAGAGAAAAAGAGAAAGAGAGAATTTAGTGCTTGCGCTAGACTGGGGTAAAGCTTGACTTTAAAATCCTTCTAATTAATCCATCATTATGTATATAGCACCTTTCATACAATTATAATTGCTTTACAGCTTCGCACAGTTAAAATGAAGACTTAGAAAAGCTAAGAGAAAAAATAACAATCAAAAAAGCTGCAAACCATCTCCACTGTGTCATAATCATCACACAGATAAACAATATTTATATAATTCAGTGGATCAACTGGAGCTCCATGTGATACAGCTATATGATAAAGCTAATTTTTTAATTTTTACTTTTATGGTTTACTCTTTCAGTTTCTCATGATCATAGATTTTTTTTAATGTGTGTTATACTTGTAACTGCTGACTCTACTGTTTTCCTAGTAAACGCCAAGGAAAGGAACTAAAACAACAAAATGTTATGTGAAACAAGTAAAAAGATTATCCTCAATGGCTAGCAATGTCTTGCAGTAATGAGATGAAACTGGAATTTACTATATTTTGTAAAATACTATACTTTAATCAAACAACAGTATTGAAATCATGAAATGGGAAAAAAATTCTTATTGAAGAACTATCTTTACATCATACTGTGTTGCAGTAATGATCATTTAGTCACGTAAATTTGAAAACTTTTACTAAAAAATCAATTTTAAAAAATCAATTAAATCATCAGTAAGATCAACCAGCCATTATTGTCTGTTGTTTTAGCCATTTAATTTTTTTTAAGTTGGGTTCCAGTATTTGTTTTTGTGACATCAATAATTAACTATATATGGAAGAGCCACAAATAACACCACCCTTGCTTCTGAATGAGTCAAAATCGAAGAATTAACTAAACCCACAAGCAGCACTCACCTACTTGGTCCTGGATTTCATTGGCCACTCGGGGAACCTTGTAAAGATAGCTCAGACTTTCATTCAGACGCTCCTCAATCACTCGCAAGTGGGTCAGCATCTAAGATCGGTGGGTTAAGAAGGGTTAAACGGTTACTCTCTAACACAACGCTGTCATGCCCCTCTTCTAGGCTAGCTGGGTAAATGGAAGAGTCATGTAGATACCTGGGGTCGGATCTGAGCAGCTTTCTTGGGGTCCACCATACGCACATGCTCAAAGTGTTTGAGGGTATGCTGCCTGTCTTTCTGCTCAGCACGCACATACTTCTTAAACAGGCTGAGCACCTGACGAGGCTGCAGGACACAAAGGGAGACATTTCACTATTGTTAGTCAAGTGGGTGATTGAGATAATTAGCTTGTGGGTGTGTACAGAGTATCTGGTGTAGGTCAGTATGTTGCTGACTACTTGGAACTATTTTTTCGCATGTACTTATTGCTTATTTGTTGTTCATGTACCCGGGGTTGATCAGCCTGCAGGGCAGTTAGGTAGCTGTCAAGTGCCAGGCGGCGACGGTCATTGAGGAGAGCCTCTACTCGAGCAATGTGAGTCTCCACCAGCTGCTGTCTTTCACTGGCAGCCTCCTGCTCCAGTGCCTCTACCTTTTCCTGGAAATGCTGTACACACGCACACAGGCCACAGAGCTCACATTAACACCTAATGCCTTTATATTGATCTTAGTGCAACCAGCACTGGCTGCGTTAGCCTCAATACACTTGTCTTAATGTCCAGATTAACTGCCTTTACATAAGCACCATTTTAGCCAATACATTAACACTGATCACTCTGCGGTGCCATTAACCAGCCCCCAAGTAAATTGGGTATTCATTAATTATGTCAATAAGCAGTCACATTCGTGTTGAGGGCACCATTACCTGAATAACAGCCTTCTTATCAGCACGAGGAAGACTCTTCGCCTGCCTCTCTGCCTCCTCCCATTCCCTCATCACCTGAAAGAGCAAGAGAGAAAGAAATTACCTTTTATTGTAAAAATTGTAATAGTCATCTTTGATTACATCTTTGATTACAACACTCTGTAAGTGGTAATTAACTCTCCTGTTAACAATCCTGGAAGTCCAGCACAGTTTAGTGTTTTCCTACCAAACCTACCAAGGTGCGTTTAGATGGTCTGCAAAAACTTGGGAGTTCACGTGATTGGCTGACAAAATATAAAATACAAGTGGTAAACTAAGGGTAGCTCCATGTTACCTGAGTTATTGAGTTGTGATGTATTACAAGCCACAGCAACACACTGGACCAAGCTGGCCCTGGTTCACATGTATTCCTAACGTGATAAATGTGCCATTTGGTTGATGAGTACCTGAACGCATATTGGTAGTTACAATTTAGTGACTATTTTCTGACTCTGTGCTCTATTTAAATGCAGACACAAGCTCAGTTTAGTGGTATAACAATGTCTTGCTAATTTGGTTGGGAGCAAGAGCAGATTTTTGCCCAGATGCTATTTTAATTGCGTGAAATGATAGCATCTGCACCGACAAGGGTGGAGTGGTGCAAAAGAGGGTGTGACATTCAAAATCCCCACACGGTGGCAATTCTGAACCCACTTTGGTCCAAACTTGTGCTTACCTTAACTTCAACACCTGAGTAATGTTACATTTCTTATAATTCGGTTGAAAGTGAATGTGAATTACAGTTGATGTCACCAGGAGTCCATTACTCAACACAGGCGTTTGTTAGCTGATGTAACAGAACGGGTAGTTGGCATTCTCGCTAAGCACACTGACCTGTCCGATAACATTTCATTAGTAGTTCAAACAGCACCTTAACATGTCACGGAGGAAGAACATGCTAGCATTTATTATTCCATCTATATTGAGGCATCGCTGTGCATGCAACATTGCATTGGCTTACTTGTTTCTATTTGTAATTATTTGGTTTATTTGACATATACAGTAAAACAGTGATCATATGGACTAAGAACACATCGTAAGTGTGAGAAAATCACTGACCTCACAGCCTCTTTTGGCTAATTGCTTGATGGAAAAGGAATTAACCAAAATATAAGAGTGAGCACTCGCACGAGTGAACATCCACAAACACAACAACTCACAAGCACAAGAAAAGATGCATTTGTTGTAAGTTTCTGTAAGATTTTGCCATCAAAAAGATACCACTGTGCTGTGCCTCCAGCACACTCTTAAAAGGGAACAAAAGGAAGTGTTTTTTTGGCAGCTGTACACTTTCTAATCCTGCCCCTTTTTGATACCGTACCTTTCTGTACCAGGTTTATCAGTAAAATATCAAAAATATATCTGCCACACCCACACACAACAGAGCTGTGATTTCACACTTTATTTCTGTGCTTGTGCTATGATTACAGAAACTAGGCCCTTTGTTGTTTATGAGTTGGTGAGGACCATCTGAATACAGCTTGGCGATTATATTAATGATTATATATGAATTGAATCAGACTGAACAGGGAAATCACCAAACTGTGCTGGACGATGACCCTTCAGCACCTGAGCTCTATGTTGTTGCTTACCACAGACATCCTCTCCCTGTGTTTGGCCTCCAGACGTTCTTTGGCCTGCTGGAAGTGAGCGTGTTCGTTAATGTCTCCAGGAGCCTCCAGGTAGCGGCCCACAGCGTCTGGAGGACTGGGGGCCATAGTGGGCACTGAAGAGAGGTGGGAGAGGACAGCAGGAAGAAAACACAATGTTACCCTCTTTATCCTCAGAAATGATACACTGAGTCGATTTTTATACAAACAAACAGTAACACTGGTTAGTAATCACAAAAAGCTGGCAATTCTTCTGGAAATGTTTCTACTGATAAAAGCACAGTTGTGTAAAGCAGCAGACTTCATGACTGTTAGCAAAAGAAGGCGAAATGTCAGAAAGACAGCACAGTGTTAACTTCTATTCCATATTACTGTAAGCACTCTGCGGATGCAGATCGGTGAGAAGAGGAGGTGGCTGTATCAACAAGAGAAAGAGTACAGACTGTGCACTAGGGTTGGGCAAAGTTCATTTTTCAGAATTGCCAACAGGTCTTTATATTATCGTTCATATTCAACAAAAGAGATGCTCAATTACAAATAAAACCATTGTTTCTTAATACTTTAAACAGTAGCGCTGAACAATTTCCAGGCAGCGCCAATCAGTCAAACGTGCTGAGCATCTCAGAAAGAAATTTTTTCCACTTGATTGCATTTGTGCTTTTTCTCCATTTCAAACTCTTACATTTGTACTTCGTGCTTGCAATGGAATCTGACTATTGGACAGCTTCTTTTGTATCATTTAATGTGCACATACAACTGACCTATCAATGCTTGGCCCACAAATGCCTTCTTTTGTCGCTACTGTTCAGAGATTTACAGAATGCTGTCAAAAATTCAGTGTGCATTATTAATATCTAATGATCAGCATGAACCCTTGTGTTCTGTTTGCTACATAGCTCATTGATCCATCTACTTTACCAACAGAATTATAAATTTTATTTTAAAAATAGCTAATATAGCCTTTTATTACCTCAATAATTTGTAATATTAAAATATTTGTAGTTAATAGTTCAATAGACATTTGCCTTTGAAAAACCACAGGGCTGTGCCACGTAAACTTTGCTATAATCAGTGATGAAGATGGGTTATAAAACATCATAAAATAAAAAAATCTACACTAATTTAGCTCTAATAAATGTCTCATTTAGACCCAAACATAACACAAGTGGTAGAACGACTGAAGCTGGTAAAGTTTCTGCTTTCTGCCTATCAGATCTAGGGTTAGGGTATTCCTAAAATCTTAATTACATGACCTTGATTACAAAATATCTTTCAGATGTAAACAAAAGAAATAACATTTGAAATGAATAACGCATGCTAAATGTTCCATTCTGACAAAAAGGTTCCATCCTGGCAACAGCTTGCAAAAAAACGCATCCGTGTGAGCACTGATAGATCAATTAAGTGGCAATGAAACCATCTCAATCAAAGTACTAATGCTGGTCAAGACTGTTGGACATCGGAACAATAACATGCCCAAGCCTACTGTGGACTGAGCACTGTGGCGAGTCAGCTCATGTGTGGTGGATGTGACAGCAGGGGACAGCTGGTGTGCTCGGAGCGGCTGGAGGAACAGCGCAGTGTCAGTCTCCCACAGTGACCAGCTTTGTGCTTAACCGTGTGGAAACCACTGAGCTACGGGTCACTGCCACAGACCGGTCTGACCAGCCGCCCACACCTGGCCTCTGCTTTCCCTCCCCTGCAGAGGCAAACTGAGTGAGAAAAAGGCAGCTACTGCAGCACAGACTCACTGCAGACTTCAGCAGGTTTGGACATAAGCTCAACTCAGTCACACGCAGGTACAAGGTCACAGAGTTAGACGACAACAACAACAACACAGGAAAGCTGAACCTAAGTTGTTATGTCATTTATATAAGTGCTTTCTCAAACTGTCAATGTAAAACATCAAATTAGGGCCCAGTTGATATATAATTTGGTCATCAGCATCAGCACAAATCTTGCCAATTTAAATGTCATATAAGAACACTACATTCAGGAATGTCATGTTATTTTAATAACCAAACACGCTGTTGGAAGCTGAAAGAAGCCTGTTTGAGAGTTTGTGTCAACTTAAAATGTCAAATTTAACATCTTAATTTATAGAGGCTATAAGAGTCTTAAAAAATGAAAACTGAGAACTCACAATCATATTTAAAATTGAATTATAAAAAAAAGTCATTAAAATTTATATCAGTTACCTTAAATTCAACTTGAACCGTAAATCATAATGCATTTCCCCTCGTATCGTGGAGTATTTCCAAGCAATCTTTTTGCGATCTATGAGCTAGCTGAGCATGATAAATTGGGGTGGTAGAAGGGGGAGGTGAAACATGACATTATTGTTTTTTATTAGTTTTTCCCACTCACTGGTGCACAGTGAGCAAAAATCATTACATTTGATGTAAGATTATGGAAAAACAAGAATTGGTTTCAGGTTGACTTCGGTACAACATATTCATCTCAGGCTCTGCGTCATACACTGCAGTGTAAAAGCTTCTGTAACGCACACACTTCAAAATAGGTCACATTTATCATTCTGCAGAGAAGTAGAGCATTAAGGCGACATTCCAAAGTGAGTGATTGTTAAATAGGAGCTGGACAGTGTCTCCAAATGGCCACCTCGCAGGGACCTGTAATCCATGCACACTAATGCAGCCAGCCATCTGCTGAGGCCTTGACAGTGCAACAGAGAGACGCAGAGTGAGAGTTACAGTGTGAGTTCACAGAGAGGCGGACGCTCCCTCCTACGCGACGCTGATGCTCTGTGGACTTACGCACGCTGCTGCTGCACACAGCCATGCAGTACTCCTCCGACTCAAAGTTATTGCGGTTGCCCCCGCAGCCCCCGAAGGTGAAGGGAGCGCAGTGGCCCATCTCCGCCACAAAGTACCAGCGGGGCAGCTTGGCGCGGCATGGGCCCCTCCGCGCTGGGGCCCAGCACACGGCTGACGGGAAGAGACATTCAACATCATACATGCTCGAATGCACACACACACCGCACATATGCTGCAGTTTAGAGTAAGACCCTACAGACCCAGAACCAGTGCGAGACCAGACCCCCAGGGGCCAAGACTTGACAAGTGTCACAATTACTTGATTCAAACTGATTACTCGATTAAAAAAAATTAATCAGTAAAAAAGCATGATTGTTCGTGATTTGAATGATAAACACAGTATCTGCTTGTAAATAAAAAGCCATGTTTAACAGATTCTCCACAAGAGGGAGCTATTAGCACTCGGGCACTTTTGTATGTGTCGCTGAAAAAGAGGAAACCCACTCCAGAAGGATCGCACTAATGCATGCATGTTTGTAGTTACAAATTTCATGTAAATGAATAAAAATTAAATGTTTTCTGTTATAAATTGCATGTATATGAAGAAATAATGTATATGAAATAAAAATGCTCAGTCAGCTAACAGGCTAATAGACTGCTAATATTCAAAGATCACTGTAAAACTGCATCATCAGAAGTAAAGAATAAAACACTTCTAAGCTTCAAATGTAAGTAGAGCTGTTCTGCGTGGCATTGAACCCTGTGTGGGAAGTGAATGAACACTAATGGGTTCTGAAATAACAATGAAATTTCAGAGACTCTTGTTTTTTCACTTATTTTCCTTGACTTTCCCTTTTCTTGTGTGAGTAGATCTTATATCTGATCTCCTCTACAATATATCAGATAAGTAGGACATAAAGGGTGGTGTCAGTTTTAGACTTTTTTAGACTGTTTTAGATTGTGATTAGAGGCTAAATCTCAGGACTCAAGACTTTTGGCACACACACACATACACATACACACTGTGTACACAGATTTTTTTCACTGCTCACGGTGGGTTTGTTCATAATGTGCATACACCTCAAACACAATCTTTGTTAGGATTGCTAAATAAATAAATTCTGGAAAATAAAACAGCAGACTGAAAACACTGCAGATCAGTACCAAATCAGCTGAGACTGCCTAACCTGCTCTGTTTTTGCATGCACAAGCAGTCTGTGTGTTTACACGTGCAAATGAAACTTACCTCGTACAACCTCTTCTATGGACTCAGTGGTTGTAGTGGTGGTGGTTGTCATAGCAACATTTGAGGCTTGCTCACTGGTATCGCGTTCATCTGTGGCGTCTTCATCCTCATCGTCTTCCTCATCAACATCTTCCACACCATCACCATCCTCATCATTATCCCAGGCTTCTTCTTCATCATCATCCGTGTCCTCATCGTCCTCTGTGGTGGCGGGCTCCTGCGCCTGCTGTTCTAAAGGGGCTTGTCTGGACATGCAGGTGGCAGAGAGAGGAAAGTATGTTCACACAGTTGTTTAGATTCCTCAGGGTAATATATATCTGTAAATCAGAGGCTCAAAACCCTCCTCCCCAAGCTTCCCAAGCTCCAGCCCTCTGCAAATTTTAGCTCAACCCTGATCTAACACACCTGAGACAGCTTATGAGGGATTTTTAGCAAGCACTGCTACCGCCAAGAATGGCAAACTCACAGATTTTGTGCTGGAATTCACAAACCTAAGGCAGTGATTAAATCTGTTGTAGGCAGTGTTGGGCAGAATATTCACTGAATACACTGTCCTAAATGTATTCAGTAAGGAATTCCATTGCAGTACATATAAAGGTAATGTAATGATTTTAAAATAGTTGATAAACAAGCACTGATTGTGTTTTTTCTAAAGATAGTATATATTTTTTTCAGTTTAGTGGGTTATTATTCCAAAAGTGTTCTCCCAAAATGTAAAAAGTGACTGTATTCTGAAAATGTAACTTGGCCTGAATACAGATTATTAATTTCTAAATTCTGAATACATATTCCTGATAATTGTATTCCGTTACATGCCAACTCTGGTTATAGGGATTATTTGTAAGTGTTTGCATGTAAACATTTGTTTCAGTGGCTGAATGTCACTTATGATGTTATGACAATTAAAGTCAGCGTTGTCTTTGAGTCATGGATAGAAACTAAGTAAATGATATTCATATATCCCAGTTTCATTGTTATCAATAAAACAAGTTAAATAAAGGTTAACATTAGTTTATTTCATGCAGCTGGATTAACCCTTCAAAGTCGGTGGAAAAAAGTGTCTGTTTCTGCCATTTAATTGGCTGGATTTCTTTTGTTTATTCTAATATATAAAGAAACTGATCTAACACAGCCAAAAGATACTTATTCAGCTTGTGTTGCAAAACACAAGAAAACAAAAGACATGAACAGAAATATAGGTTATACTTCAGTCACGTTACATCGTTACTCTGATTAAACGAAACAACAACAAATAGTCTTATAAAAATAAAATATATAAATAAATATAAAATATATAAATATATATAAATAGTTTTATCAGTATCTGTGAGCCAGGCTTGTTCCAAAATACAGAATGCTGATTGGCTGCCTAAATTCCATTCTATATCCATGTTATTAAGGTCAATGTGTCTTGATTAGTCTGTCATTTATTGCGGTCTGTAAATACACCTATTTCCAGCATCTCGTTCTGGTTCAACTCGTTTCTAGTTTAAGCCACACCCACTTTTAGTTTGCAGTTTTAAAGAGGGGACCGGAAAACGCACCAATGCTTACTGAGTAATTAAATTCTAACAGGAATATTTTACACTATTTGTATTTATATTAACTGTGTTTGTGTGTACCTGTCACTGTACTCAGTCTCAGCACCTCCCCACCACACGTCTGAGTTGGCCTCCTCCTGCTCCTCAGCATCAGAGTCCCTCTGCTCCTCCACCGGGCAGCACACAAACTCCACGCCACGGAAACGATCAATACCACACGGCAAGAGCATCCCAAAGTCATGAAGATTCATGAACTGATCGCCACAAGACTGCAGGGAGAGGGGAACAAGCAAGCAGAGAGAGAGAGAGAGGGGTTGCTGAGTCATCAGTACAGGGATTATAAGGGGAAAGGCTAATACTGATACTTTGCATTGCTATACATGTATTGTGAAAATGTGTAGTAGACTCTGACCTCTTTGGCCACAGTGTGCCAGTGCAGGTGGCTCTCACACATATCCATCCGCTCCTGGTGCAGGAACTTACACTTATCAGGAACCAGAAGAGCATCGCTCACAAACTCCCCAACTGGAGAAGACAAACATTTTGCAAAATTATATAGTAATTATATAGCAATCTGCTGAAACTGACACATTGTCTAATACATTCTCAATATGAAGGAAGAATGTCGATTTTAGTATAGAAATAGTGCTCAGAAATAGATTTTAGTCTGGAAAAGTCTGAAAAATTAACATTCAAAAAAGTGTATCGAAATCTAAAACTGTGTCACTGATATGCTAGCACTTGAAATATTTGTTCAAACCCAGGGGACCTGACGCTGGTATCAGATATTATTTTACCAGTTTGCATTTCTCCATGCATTACTTTTGCTCCTTATTTTATTCTCCCTCTCTACTTTTCTTTATCTTAACAGATTTTAATCTGGCGTGCTGGAGTCGTCAACCCACTCATGTTGCTGACAGAATTTAGCGGTGAGGTCCACAAGGCCCACGCTTGTGAGAAAATATATGTGCAGAAAATACACAGCATATCAATTCAGTTGCAGTTTAGGGCAGCCCAAAGGACATTTATTTGGCCACAAGTATTTTTATATGTTCAATATGTTATATAACTGGTTCTATGCATAAAATAGAGGTTTAAGATTAAACAAGTGAAGGCAAACATCGTGAGTACCGCACAGTGTGATGAAAAGTGCAGTGCAGAATGCAAAGTTTATTCAGAATAAAAACCTTTGGGATTTTGTACAAAAACACTACTTGATTAATAACTTTGTTAAAGCAGGATTTAAAATGGATTGAGAAGTTTTATACCACATTATCCTGTATTGTTTTGTGTTTTATTTATAGGCAATCTAATAACTGCTGTTACTGTCACTATTCAGCACTTTGATGATGAACCACTTTGGGTCAGTTTTGGACAGAATTTAGTAGTACTTGGGTCAGTTTCAGACTTCATGATGTAGTTCGGGTCAGGTTGGGTTCGGAGAGAATTTTCTCGGACTCAGGTCGGGTTCAGACTTCAAATGCAATGCTGTGTGTTGGGTTCGGACCTTTTCCAAGAGTCTCATGAAAGAAACTCAAGTTTCTTTCATGAAAAATACTAACTGGGTTTTTTTCTGAAGTCATTTAGTGACCTCAGAATCAAAATTCAGAGAATTCTGAGAACCTAAAAAAAATATGTGTATTATTACACCCTCAATGCAAAGAACAGTAAAGATTTTGTGGCACATCAGATCTTTCTTCTATTAGCATGTCAGAGAACGCTAAAATCCTGGGAACACTGTGTCTTACATGGTTTGGTTTCCCAGGCAGCAGACAGATGGTGCACCCGGACAATACAAGCACATGTGGACATTTGCCCTAAAGGCATTACTTCAATGTCCCAGATATCCAGGTTAATACCCAAACAGTGGCAGGGTGCTCTGACTAGAACATCACGCTGATGGGCAGTCCTAGTGTAAACATGCACACACTCACCCAGGCATCGGTAGGGCACCACAATGTGTACATGGCTGCGGCACTGACGTCTGCCTTTCTTGCACCAGTTCTCGATAGTGACAGGCTGGTTGGCTTCCACTACATTAGTAATCTGCAGATCAGGGTAAACCTACAGGAACAGCAAGCAAATCAACCACATGTAGAGTCGGAACCACTTTACTGCTACAAGTTTCTAACTAATCTACACTACCATTGTTTTAAAAATAACTGTTTAACGGTTTAATAAGTAAAAAGTCTGCCCAGACTTTTAACTGGATTGTGTTAACGTCTACGTCACTGAAATTACCAAGATTTTTGACTTCCTTATGATTGTCTGCTTATAATAAAACATAAACAACACTTAAGTATTATAAAGCAACCAGCTTTTCCTCATCCATGTTCAGTCTAATTCTTTTTGCCTTTTTTCTTAACCATTTCTCCTCTCCTGGGCTCTCTCTGTACCTCCTGGCAGTACTGCAGAATTCCCTCCTTGGTGCCGATGCAGCTTTTAGTGCCAGAAGGATCAGGCTCCCACTTGCCGCTCTGGACGTTGATGTGCATGTTGAGTTTCCCGCAGAACATGGCCACCTGAGGCTCCGCCAGCAAGCCCACTGAATCATCTGACGGTACCTACCACCAGCACAGAGACAGAAAATATTAGCCAAAGGAACATTTAACATAGTTTCAAATACAATATTCTGAGTGCCAAAATATGACTGTCCTTGTGTAAGTGAGGCGCACCATCAGCTTTCAGTACCTTTGCAGTACCTCAATAGCAAAAACATCACTGCACCAGGTCAAGGACAAATGAATTCACTTCCAAGTACCCTGAAAAACGGACTCTTCAAAAGAATCTGAAGACTTCTTGGAGTACTCTGAAGTTTCGCAGCACAAAAGATCACACAGTAAGATTATCACTTCCATCTCTGCTCCCAACAGTTCAAATATGCATAAGTCTATGATGGATTTTGAGATATCTACATTAAATAATCTCGTTTCTACCTATTCCAATCACCCCTTTATATTTTATTATTATTAAATAACACAAAAGGACAGACAAGATTTGAACCACCAATCATTTTCTGCTTGAAACATTAAAAATAACCATGACATCAATATTGCAAGGCATAGTATTAAACAAGCTGTGTTTACTGATACATACAAAAAATAATGATACAACAGAATGATGACATAAGGCAATATCCAAAGTGGAAAAACTATTCTAAAATTCATGTTAAATAACACATCATTGCTGTGGGAAAAAATACTTCTATCTCCAAAACGGTAACTTTACATGAGAAGGAAAGAACCTTGACTTAACTTTAAATGGAAGTTAATGGAGCCAGATTTTTTCCAACAGTTCTGACAGTGACAGAACAGTTGCACTTCTTTAAGTCTGAATAACTCCAAATCAAACGTGGCCCAGTCTGTTTTCCTAGCTATTTTAGATTCAACAAACCTTTTCTTTTACTGGTTCTAAAAATTGCCCTCTTGTGTCTAATAATAATATTTGTTCTAATTGCTTCAAACCCTGATAGAATTAAACTTTCTTTCACTCCACTTCTGTTATTCTATGTCTGTACAAAATTTTATTTGATCTTTTCTGTAAATCTGAAATAAAAGTGAAATGTATACATTAAAAAACAGTAAACCTAAACTGCTATAAAGAAGCCCAAATATCAGAGTAATTAATTAGCCATCATTACATTATGCCATATTAAAATAAGAACCATATTAATATTATTTTGTATTATTGTGTCGAGAATGAGTATAGACTAAAATTCCTGAACAACTCATTCATTAAAGATTTATACACATTAATAAAGATTTAAACTTTAAAAGTAACTTTTATTAAAAATAAATTCATTTACATGCACATTCATTGACCATGTAACATATGCATTAGGGCTGCACCAGATACCACCTGGTAATCATTATCACAGTATTGGCCTACGCAATACTGATTTCCTAAAAGGCTGTACTATACTGTGTGCAATGAGCACCCTGACCAATTACAGTTCCACATGAGTGTTTTTGCAGGGGTTTTGATCACTCAAGGTATACAAGCAATCCAATAAAGGTAAATGCTGATTAATAGTTTGATTGTGGCTCTGTCCACTTTCATACTTATTTTAGATTTAAGAAACTTCTTCATGTGTTGGTTCTCACATGCATTAGGCCTAAGAGTGGTCACCTCACAAATAAACAGACAAAAAGCTTTTGCTCAAGATTTAAATTGATAATCTTTCTGATCGCTTTACTGGTCATAATCTGCAGAGACAGTTCTCTCACATCAGTGGACATTCTCAGATAAATGATCAATTGTTGGCACAGTTGTATTCTAGGCTGCCTTGCATCTAATGTTACAGTGTTATGTAGTTATTACTTTTTTAAAGTAGTAAAAATGCGTAAAAAATTTGAATACCACCATTTTAATTGTGTTACACCAAGGACCATGCAGTCAGTCCTATTTTTAACAGTGCTGGGAAAAAGCAATGTTTTATTAAATATTCAAGCTAAAACATTTGTTCTGTTGGGACAACAGATGCTTATATGTCCTGAAGTCCACTCTTGTGATTAGGGCTGAACATGATCTCTGTTTTTGTGACCAGCGAGACCAGCATATCCACTTTTTTTAGCCTGAGGCTTGAACACTGAACATACTGTGCCAGACTGCCAGTTAGTTGTGGTTGTGTTGTCACATACACAGCAGATGGCTGTTTGGTTGTGTCTGGTTGTTCTGTGTTAGGGTTAAATCAGGTGAATTTTTTCCACTTAAAACTTGTTAAGACAACGTTGTTGGTAATGTAAATGTATAATAAACACTGCTGCTCTTGCAATTTAAAAACCGCAGTCTTTCAAAGTGCAATATCAATATAAAAACAATGAACCTTTCAGCCCTAATTATGATTTACGGTTTTGCTTAAGTGCACACCAACATCATCTATTTCTAAGCGTAATCATAGTAAGCAAGCACTCATTAAGGCTGCAGGATGTATCGTATCTTTATGGGCCAGGCCATTGTTCTTCCCAGATATTTCTGAAACAATGTGTTAGAACGTCACCAACACATTGAACTGTGGGATCTCATATGGAAAGAAAATATATTCCAAATGTATTTATCAAATATATTTTTGCAATGTATGAAAATAGCCAAAAATGTACTTGAATACGTGAACTGAATGAAGGGTTCTGTGTTTTGCATTGTACTTTGCATTAACCATGTACATATGTGGTAAGACAGCACTGTACTCTAAACAAAGAACATATCAAATAATGTTAAAGGTTCATTTGCTAATATTTACAATTAAAATACTGGAATACAAATTCATTGCAAAAGATATTTCAAACAGTGCATTAGAGCAGTATTTTGGCAATTTTCATACATCTCAGAAATACATTTACATACATTTGTTTTTCTATGGTACATTTTTATGTGTAATATTTCCCCATACATATTAAAATAAATGTGTTTTAAAATATATTTGGTTAACATGGTAATATATTCTGAAATACACTTTTGTATTTGCAATGTATTTCCGCTTGGATTGCAATGTATTTGAAATGTATTGCAAATATATAAAAAAGTGCATATATATTTTTTTTCCATATGAGATATAATCCAATATAGCTTTCAAAGCAGAATTGAGGAAAGGGTTTCGAATGGTTTTGCATAGTAATGCACCGACATTCACTTACAAAAACCACACCAAAAACTGAAAGAAAGAGTTCTTTTATATACAATTCGCCATTTTACTTATGTTTTGAATTACTGTAATAACACTGTAATAAAAGTTTTAAAAATAACTAGTTTTTCAATAAAACATTTCAAGACAGATTTTTTTAAATAAAATATTTTTACATATCACTGAGTACACAAAAGTGAAGCATCACATCAACCAAAAAAATGCTGCTACTGATAGGTAAACATATGCAATGATATATCAGTCCAACAAGAAAAAAAGATGTGTAGGTCAGTTCTTCATTAGATTATACTGTGAGGTGGTGTTACACAGAGGAGGAGTCTTGCTTTTTAGCACAGTAAGTATTGAGTCAATAGCAAATTGTGACTTTGCCACTATTTGATGTCCTAAATAAAGTAATCAAAAGAGTCTCCAGTAACAACAACCACCTCTAAACCAGCTGTGCCACCACTTGAACACGGTTCAGTTTTCAGCCATGCATGAATGAATGATTTGTGCTGCTATTTTGGCCTACAGTTTTTTTTTATCAATAGGGTTTGTGTATTTTTAGGTCTCTTTTAAGTTTCCCTTTTTGTTTTAATAAAGTCTTCTTCAATTGGCAAAGGCACAAAGTAATACTGTAGACTTAAAAAAGGACTGAAAACATATTTGGAATTGCAGAACAAAAGATAATCTATATTTATGTGATTTTAATAACATATTTTTACAGCTGGTACCCCAGCTGTAACATTAAATGTCACATTATAAAACGAAATTTCACATTTTTTCTTTTTATGCCTCCAGTGTATGTGAGTAAGTGATTACGTAAGACAAGAGGATCATCTTGTTCATCCAGTGAATACCATCCCCACAGCTGTGGAAACATATCACCATGACCAATGAATATCAGTTATCAAATTCACAGTCTGCTTCAGCTGAACTGTATTTGACTACAAATACAGTAAAGAATGTCTTATGTAAAAAAGAATAGTAATGGTCGAAAACAGAATCTCCAAACAGACATGCTCCCTCTTGGAAAGATGCTTGCACACAAACTGTAATCTGATGGCAGGATCAGAAAGCCAGTTACGCAATGTATAATGTAAAACTCCACTGTCCTTTTCAGTTCTGATTGAAAGGCTTTACACAGCCCTAATCCCCTGAAAACGCAGTGGGAATGGAGAAAAACATTAAAAGAAAACACAATGAAAGAGTAGACATTTAGTGGAAAGGGTAGAGACACATGAGTAGGGGAAAAGGTTGTGATGTACTAAAGAGAAAATGGAAAGCAAGAAACAAATGCTGCTTTGTAATTCAGAATACAATAGCACATCTCAAAGGTCAAGAGTCTGAAACATGCCAATCAGACGTGTAACTTCTTAGATTTACTCAAACAAAATTGATGAATGATAAATGATAATACACTCTAGTCAAGTGTATTTGTGAGGTAATCTACTTTTTACTCTGTGACATTTTAGTCATTCACATTTAGTGACTAATTCCATTTTTTCTGTCTAATTTCATTATGTTATGAAGCCAACATCTGTACTAGAGCTGCATGATTGGCCAAGATCGGAAACGGACGACTTTTGCTCCCAACATGCAATCGGCCCATTTAATATTTTCATTTTGGCAGATCTGTGTTGCAATTTTATGACGTAAATAATATAAGTCATGTAAATGCACTGTATTTGAATGCTGCTGCCACACCTGTACCAAAATGTCATAGCATAATTATGCATACCTCATTCTGTTAAATCGCCAGTTGCCTCTTACTTTCAATGTAGCACTTTATTAGATTCATGTTATTTAAACAATTTGAAATGCAATTTTCAGTGCAGTCATTTTTCCTTTTTGGTTTCATAAAGTCTTCTTCAACTGGAAAAGGTACAGAAGCAATGCTGAAAACATGTGAAAGAGCATAATTTATTATTTATGTTGGAACTG